ACTGCATATGAATTTTAACCCGCATGGTTTATTTCATAAAATAATTAATGTAACTAAATTGAATCAATAAGAATAAATTATTTTAGCATATGTTAACTAATAATGTGAAGCACAGATTATATATAAAGTTATGCTTAAATAACAAGACGTTTTGTTTTAAATCATAAATGTTAAATGCGTAAAATTAACTCATAAGCGAAAAATTATAATAAATCTATTTCCATTAAAACTTAAAAAATTTACTAATTCTATAGAATAAATATATGCATATGACATACATAACTATACCGCATGGTTTATTTCATAAAATATTAATGTACTAATTGAATCATAAGAATAAATATTTAGCATATGTACTAATTATGTGAAGCAAGATTATATATAGTTATGTAATTACAAGAGTTGTTTAAATCATAAAATATTAAAATGGTAATTAACTCATAAGGAAAAATTATAATAAATCTATTTCATTAAACTTAAAAAATTAAATATACTTACATTGTAACACCTTGAAATATATTTTGTCTAGGTAAGTTATTATCTTGAAATAAACAGAACCTTTTAATTATAAAGATTATATATTATTGATACAAATTCAAATATTTTCTGAATAACATACTGTCATTCAGTGCGGATTTTTGCTCAGCTTTTAACAATAATCAAGATTAAGAGTTCTTCTGTCGCCTATATAAATGATCTCAAATTCCCCTCCCAAGAACATACTATTAATTCTTAATTATTTTCATTAACTTTTTTATTTTTCCTTAATAATTTAAGCATGAGAGTGTTTACAAGTCTATTCTACCAGCACTTTGACATTCATCTATAAGCTAGTCTCCATTGCATAAAGACTTGATCGTAACATTTTATCACCCATTCATATCCCACCACATATCAATTATTACTTAAACTAAAATTAAAAATTTACAAACGAACTTCGAAAATAAATTATATTTGTAACATTTATATTAACAAAAGTTTGAGCAAGTCCAAACCAAACCAATAATTAGATTTGGCATATTGTATTAATAAGACAAATTAAAAGATTTCATATTTTTAAATGATATAAAATACACAGCTCAAAATAATAACATTTTGAGTCAATTAAATGTGGTCCAGTTGATCTTCTCACCTATGTGAGCAGTGAGAGATATTGAGTTCGAGTTCTCCTCACCACAAGTGTTTTTACTAATTTTGTAAGTTTAACAATACTCTATTGTGTTATCTCGGTTAATTGGGCCTTCGATCAATACAAAATAAACTTGTCCAAAATGGATGTCCAATCCACATCTTGTGAGTTGTGAGAAGGCCAATTTAGGCCTGAAGTGGAGAAGATAAGGACCAATTTCTATGCCCAACCGTGCAAGCTACACCTCCTCCACTTCCTTCCACTTGTGGTCCTCCACGGTTGGCCATTGTATTTGTTTGGTCCATTATAATTGCTTTCACTTTAGGCATTCTAAGAAATTATTCCATAACTAAATTTCTTTCTTTATTTCTTTTTTTTTTTTTTAATGCGACATTTTAATCTCTTTTTAACATAAAATTAATGACTGGCTTTCCAGTAAAAAAAAAATAACTGGCTTTAATTTTCCGTTTTTGCTAAATTTTATTTATTTATTCATTTTAATTTTAATTTTATTATTTAAATAAATTTTTATAATTATTAATTAATTTGTGTAATTTATATTTATGCAAAATCAAAATTTATTTAATTTTGAAATAGTATTTTAGTTGAGTTATGATGGTTTAATTTAGTTTGACTTATTTATTTGTTTGCAACATTATGTATACTATTATCATTTTTTTTTAAATATTATTTTTTAAGAGTTTATTGTTTATTATATTTTTTATGGAAGATATTTATTAGATGAATGACTAAAAATATTTGATTTATTTTTTATTAAATGAATGGCTAGGTGGGCATGAGTAAATTATTTCTTTATTATTTATTTTAGTGAGAACGTAATTAATTATTTATAGATTATTTTTTTAAAGAGTTTTAATTTATTGGTTGTAGGACTATTTTCTATTTATTCCTTTTTTTCAAAGGAGTTGTAATTAATTAGTTGTATATTTATTTATTTTCATGTAATTCTTATTTAGGGATATAATCCTTTTCTCCTCCCTTATTTGCTTGTATGTTTAATTTGTTTGTTGTAGATGTGATTTATTTTTATGTATGTGAATATATCACATCAACATGAAAACAATTTTTAAATTTCAAAATTAAAATCTTTTCAAAAGGGATTTTTATTAGTAAAATCATGTTTAAAAATTAAAATCAATCCCTAAAAATAAAAATTAAACTACACTACAACCACCGCTCTATCACCTACCACCTCAACCACCATTCCATCACCATCACTATATCTTTATTAATACTGAGAAAAATTTTTGAACCAAAAGCTATTAATTTTTATATTAGATATGAGTTTTTATAATAATGTAAGACTACATTTAGTACATGAAATAAAATAAAATAATTAAGAAGTGAAATGAACAATAGAATGAAACTAGGTTTATAAATTCCTTTCAAAAAAGAAAATAGGTTTATAAAATGTTATTTCTATATTTAATATGCAATAAGGAATAAAAATTATTTTTTTATTAGTTTATTTTGTTATAAGAATGGAAAGAATGGAATTAAAAATCATTACAAATATCAAAATATTCATAATTTTTATATTGTAATTTAATTTATTCAATGAAAATATATGAAATTATGTGTAAAAAAATAATTTCCAATGCCTTTAACTTTTGTTTTGTTTTTTCTAATTTCTTTTAATTTTTTAGTTTAAATAAATTTAAATGGTTTTTAATAACTTAATAATGAATAGTTTTTTGTTTAAATATTTCTTTTGTATTAATAATAAAGTAGTGGTTGTGTTGGAGTAGTGGTGGTAGTATCGTGATGGTGGAGTTTGAAGTTAAAGCTATGTTTGACAACAACCTTTTAAATATATCGAAACGTTAAACGCTATTTTTTTTATAATGTTCGGTAACATAACATTTGAATCAGTTTTTAGAAGTTAAGATAATGTTTATGAAAAACTAACTCATGTAACATTTTTAGTATTTCATAAAAAGTTACTTAAACAGCTAATAGTTAAACACTACTAAAACAGTTAACAGCTACCAAAACAGTTAATTTTGTTGAACAGATCTTAAGTTTGATTGAGATTTAAATTTTAAGAGATTGTAATGGAGTGACAATTATATAGGTTTTTGGATGGAATGCATGTTATATTATTTTAAGTAATGGTAACTGTAATACTCATTACATTACCAAGTAAGGTAAAAGTCCATCCAAAACATCACAATCAATTGTGAAATGTGTGACATCCCGACTTGGCAAAGTGATCCTAAGAGGGCGGCTAGAGTAAAGCTCTTGGCTAGCTTCTATGATGACAGACTAGCTAAGGTAGTAAAATGCGAAACACATGAATGAATCAAATCATATATCGAAAAGGAAAATTAATCATCAGATGTGTCTTTTGGTGACATTGTCTCAAGAGTTAGAAGAACTTTAGGATTAAGCGTGCTCGCTTAAGCGAAATTGGATGACCAAACGTAACTTTAGAGATTTTCCATTTCACCTGCGGGACAAAACTGTGTGGATATTATAATTGATTATATTGACCAAACGTAACTTTAGAGATTAAGTAATTAATTATAAGAAAAGGAAAGAAAAAGTTTGATTGGTAATGATGATTTTATAGTAATGTAGGTGGGTTCCATATAAAATCAACGTAGTGGAGGGTATCTTATCTCAATTGACCATGTATAAATTGGATGACCAAATGAAGGTAATTTTACATGGGAATATTTTGATATGCTATCATGACATCATTAGCTTGGAAAGCCATAAGAAAAGAAATCTATTATTATTATTATTATTATTATTATTATTATTATTATTTTGATATATATTGAAACTTTAGGGAATTTTAGTTGTATCTTGCCAAATATTTTTGTTAAAATCATGCTGTTTTTAATTTATTTTCACTTACAAAATTTATTTCTCTCTTAAATATTACTAAATTTTTTTAAATATTCATTAAGAAAAACAATGATAGAATGTTAGTTTTAGAAAATGTAGACCAATAATAATTTTAGAGATCACCATTTTTATTTTTTTATATTAATGAAAACCAAATCGAACTGAAATTTATTAAATCGAACCAAATTGTGTGATTCAAAATTAAAATATTTTGTTATTTTCCAAATTTATTTTAGTTACTAAGTAATCTTAATTTAGTTTGAGTCTAAATTAATTTTTGAGATTAACCACAACATTAAAAAACTAAATTGAACCAAACTTTCAAAGTTACTTCAATTAAGTAACTTTAATTTAGTCAAGATAAACTATTTTTCATATGAAAAATAAAAGAAGGTAGTTGTCAATAATCCCATGTGCGTGAGCATATTAAGATAGACTCTTGTCAATCACTAATACATAGTGTTTTTACTATCTCGCCTAGAAAACTTGGGCCCATGATCCATAAAGTATTTCTCCTATTTCAGATCCGAATCCTATATTTTAGCATATTCGAATTTATCAAATGACTCTAATACCCTTTAAATTCATATTCAGCGAGCGCCAGTCACGCGTTATTAATGAGTCGTGACGGGATTAATTCGACATTTAATGCCTCACAGATAGTATCTGATAAGGTCCCGCCTCATCACGTGAGGGTAATTTAGTCATTCTGAAATTTTTTAATTTCCCTCTCAAATAAAAAATCTACTTTTTAAAATTGAAAAAAATTAAATAAATCATTTTTAAGGAAAACAGAATCCAATGACTGCGAAATCCACGGCGTGCCTCGATAATGACGCATGAAATATTTAAAACACCAACTTGTACAAAATATTATGTCAATATCCAACCACAACGTGCCACGTATACTCCAGGTCACACTACTTTGTTGTGATTCGGTTTCTTTTAGAAATACTGCCAAACAAAACATTGTTGAAAATTTTGGCGGGCATTGAAAAAGAATTCAAATAAAGAGCAAACCCTAGAAACCGCATTTTTCCCTCTCCCCAACTTTCTCTCTCTTTCGCTCTTTCTCTAAGGTTTATGCGGTGAGTGTTCCTCCTCTCAATTTCTATAGTTTTTCCTTGTAATTTCTTGAAATTTTCGGTGAGTTCATTTCTGTATTTCTTTGATTACTGCTCGAAGGCTATTTTTACAAAAAAAATTCTGGTTATTATTTCACCATTTGATTCCGCTTATGTGATTTGATTATTTAGGGATTTATTGTCAGGGTTTTGTGATGTTTCTGTGTTTTTATATTTGCAGGTAGATTAATTAAAGAAATTTGAGATCTCTAATTCGTGTAAGTTGGATGTTCAAGAGCTCTTTGTTTCTCGATTTTATTCTGACAATGATTGTAGATTTTCTTTAAATACTTTAATTCCACGATTCAGTTTGTGAATACGTGATTATTTATATGTTTTTGTATTTTTTATTGAAGGATTTTCTGGAAATAATGTGTTTCAGGTCTCAATTGATGAGGATTAAGTTATTTTTAGTTCATTGTTGATTGAATTTAAAAAGGGGAAGTAGCGGACAATATTTTGTTAAATTGAAAAGGAAATAAAGGGGTAACTATGGGGAAAGTGTCTCCAAAGGATAGGGATTCAAAAACCCCCAAGAAGAGAAGGCGGTTAAGGAGCTCGAGCAGTAGGTATCTGAAACCTGGTGCGCTTGCTCAGCTTAGATATAACAAGGCTTCGGCTACAAAGTCATGTACTGATCTTGGGAAGAAAAGGGTTGCTGTATTTACCACCAAGAAGGCAGAGGAAGATGATCTCATGATTGAAAATAACGTTATTGATAAGAGCCCATTGCTTTTATCTCCTGTGAATTTACTTAAACAGACTCATTTGGTAAGGACACCAAAGACACCTCGAACTGAAGATTGTGAATCTGAGTCTCGGCTTGAGTCTCTTCCCACGGATTTACTGGTAATACTCACTTTCGTTGACCTCAGTTTCTTGTTTGTGGCTCTATGTGCATGCATGTATTTTTCTGTTTGACATAGCAATATAAAAAGTTCTAGACCGACTTCCTTGCTATATATTGTGGTAATATGCAAACATGTTTATGTATTGGCGATACAAAAAGGAAGGATACTGAAATTGTGGTGAAAATGCTGTTGGTTAATTTATCCTGTTGTTGCTGTTGGATGCGGATCTTAATTTCTGAATGGTGTAGTACAAATCCCTTTATTTTTTGCTTACTTTTCTTCTTTGATTTTCCTTGACTATGGTAATAATGAAAATCAAATTCTAGATCTGTAAAACTATGAATTTATTTATGTATTATCTTCAATTTAGAAAGCTGCTAAGTTAAATTAAAACTTAATGTGTGGAAATATTGCAATTTTGTTCAGAGTGGTAGCGTTCTTAAGATATGAATTTATGAAATTCTAGCAAGATGAATCCAATAACATTCTACATCAAGTCACCTTACCTGTTGATGTTTTTCAATACATTTTATTCTGTAGCTCTGAAACATCATCATGCTACCTATAGTTGTGTGGCCATGCTTTTGGAAATAGGCTCTGTCAATGTTTGCTGCTGTGTGAAAGCCAGTCTTGTTATATGGGATCCTCAGTTTTTGTTCAAATTAGGAAAAGAAGAATTTAATACATGATTCCAGTGGTTACCAACAAGCAGAATGTAGAATATCGCAAATTTTATGGTTGTAAATAAAACCTCAATAAGATTGAGGTAGAGATGATATCAATATATTGCTGCAAGTGTTATATACTGAAGTTAATATAATAGATTGACTTGTCGATGCCAGCTGTTTGTGTGCTTTTTATTGTTTTCAACTTTGTATTTGTAAGAGCTGTCTGTTCTTCTAAATAAAGATTTTGTATAATATTTACTTTCCATTTCTTTGGCGCCTATGAATTAAGTAAACAGTTCAAATCTTAGATATTGATTCTTGTTTTCTTTTGTTATTGAGGTTAAAATACTGTGTCACCTGCACCATGACCAATTGAGGCCGGTTTTCCACGTATCTCGGAGGATTAGAAGAGCAGTAAGTTTTTACTCCCTGCATTTGTGATTATGTGCAGATTGTGTCAAATAGAAGTGTTAAACTTCGAGGTGCATTTGCATGTGGGACTTGAACCCGAATATGAGATTGAATTGACCATGGGTGAATTTCTTATTCCTGGCCAGGTTTTGCTTGCAAGACAATTTCACTTTAATTACACAACACCGGATCGCTCTAGACAGGAGATGTTGAGAACAATGACACCACGGCCTACTGAACACTGGCCTTTTGTTAGGTGTGTATAAAAATTGTGAGGATTTTAATCAGGTCTTTCTCTGATTTGTAAGATGTCTATCCTGGCTAACTGTTTCCTTTTTCTTAATGTTTGAATGATCACTGCAGCAAGGGGGAAGGGAAGGCTGCTTTCCTGCCAAGCCCACATACTCCAAAAGCACCAAGGCATGGTCCCCGGCCACCTTCTCGCATCAAAGTAACTGAAATGAAGCAAATTGCTGCTGTTCTCTTCCAAGATTCAGCATTTCCTCCAAGATGCATGGTGCCCTCTGCTTTGTCAAAGCCACTGTGCAAATCATTGGCTTCTAACCGAGTTTTATTCTACGAGGATGAGTTATGCCAAGCAGTTGCTCAGAATAAGCTTCGTTGATCTCTTTCGTATCCCCTGCTCTTTTTGTATATAGTTTGTTTCTATCCCTATATGTTGTCATAGTTAGGAAAGGAAGCATGCAATTTTGTAGCTCTGCTGTGTTAGTATAAGGAGATAAGTTTTGCATAAGATGTCAAAAGAAGGCCTTTGGGGCCAAATTGAGAATTTTTGGGCCTTTGTGGCTAGAGGAGGAGGAGGCCCCGTCGCTGATGCCATGGTTGCTAGATTTTCCCTGTTTTTCTTTTTTTGCTTGTATTTCTGTACTGAATTTTTGCTGTACCTGCACTTGGTTAGTACTGAAAATTTTTTACATGTATGCATGATTATCCACTTTGAAAGAAAACGGTTTTTTTTTTTTTCAGACTCCTCATTCTTTCTCGATATTCGTGCTAAAAAAAACAATTTTCAGCCAGTTTCTTCTCTTTTCTCTCTTTTCCTTCTTCTATTTCTTCCAAAAATGAACCCTTTTTATAACCACAACATGCACAGCTGGACTAAGAGTCTCTCCAAAGTCGAAAAGATCAACTTAGGGAGGTACGGTCTCAGTTTAAAGTTATATTCTAACTAAACATAAAATAACAAAATCTAAAGAAACCAAACTATTAAAAGTACTCAAATCAAACCAAATCTAGAATAACTGCTTAATTGAGTTTAATAATTTCAGGTAGTTGGGAAGGAGAGAAATTAAATAAATAAATACATTTCAAAACAAACAAACAACAACAAAGTTCTAATCATACGGATTCTCAAAAAAAAAAAAAAAAAAAAAAAAAAAAAAAAAAAAACCAAATCTAGCAATAACTGCTTAATTGAGTTTAATAATTTTCACAACGGTAGTTGGGAAGGAGAGGAAATTAAATACAATAAATACATTATCCAAAAACAACAAACAAACACAAAGTTCTAATCATACGGATTCCTCAAAAAAAAAAAAAAAAAAAAAAAAAAAAAAAAAAAAAAAAAACCAGAAAGGACCTAAGCATACGGGAAAGGGTTTGTGAACACTTAAATTGGAGATGACAATGCTTGTGCGACAGCCTCACATTAAATAACATACCTAATATCTCTTTTTTTTTTTTTTGTTTTTTTTTTACTTTAATATAAAAAGGATTAACTAATTAATTGTAATTTTATTTTCTTTTGGCCTTAAGCTAATATTGGAAAAAAAAAGTCATATTACCTTTTGAAAAAAAAAGAAAAAATCATTTTTTTCTTTTTATTTGGAGGGTTCGATGGACTGAACTAATATTGTGGTTCATGGAAATTCAAAACACTTTTCACGTCTCACATTTTTTACAAAACGTGAAAAAACCAAACTCTTAAAATCTAATTTTAAGCTTACAGTTTTAAATATCTCTTTATACATAGTAGAAAAAGATTTTCTTGATTTTTGGTGTAAAAGCTGTTATCGCCAATAACAACGTGAAAAATACTTTCATTGTTCAACAATAGTCGATATTATGAATGTCGTGGTGTGCTAAATTGGTTCCCTTCCGTAGGAGTTGGAAGTTTGAACTTCTTTGTAGTAATGCTTATATTGTCCTTGGTAAATTATCTTTATACTTTAACATCAATAATCAATATATACATGATTAATTTGAAAGGAAATAACTATGTTAAATAATAACTTTTTAAGTAGTTTTTAATGTTTTGAAAATACCAAATGCTGTTTTTTTTTTATTGTTTAGTAATATAATGTTTGAATTAATTTTTAGAGATTAAAATAATGTTTTATAAACCTGTGTTCAACAATAACTTTTTAAGTCAAAATGTTATACTATTTTTTTATAATGTTCGGTAACACAGTGTTTGAACTAATTTTTAGAGATTAAATTAGCGTTAATTCATGTAACGTCTAACTTTTAATATTTTATGAAAAACTACTTAACCAGCTAACAGTCAAATGCTACTAAAACAGCTAATTTTGCAAACGGAACCTAAAAAGTTAACTCATTAACGTTTAACTTTTAGAGTTTTATGAAAAATGCACAATTAAATTCTATTAAAACAACTGACAATTATCAAAACAGCTAATGTTACTAAATAGACCCATAGTTAATTTTTGGATAATTAATTATTTAATCCTTAAGATATAGACGAATCACATTCCTATTATTTTATAAAATTACTAATTTGTCTTAATTTAAGGTTCAGTGCGGTTAAACTTTTTAATCCTTGGATTCAAAAATTTACATTTTAGCCATTAATATTTTATTTTTTAAACAAAAATAAAAATATCCTCCAGTAATTTTTTTTTTACAATTTTTCCTTTGGCACTAATCCTCATCCCTTCAATTTTTATCCTGCACTATACCCATCAGTCACCAAAATCAAAATGCCAAAAAATTATACTTACCAGAAGTTTAAAAGAACTAAGAAAAAAAAAAAAAATCAACACTCCTTTCGGCCCCATTTCCCAATGAATAAAAATTCTTTTGAAAGCAATGCAATTGAAAAAGATAGAGATATATATGAGAAGGGACAGCCACAAAGTAAACGAGAATCGTTTTATAACTCACAAGTATGAAATACACGCAGTGATGACAAAAACAATAAGAAACAGCAAGTGGAACCAGATCCTTAAAACTAAAATCGTTCAGAAAAAAATGGCAGGACATAATAATTTTTATGCACCCTTCTCTTATATACTAGTATAAGATAAAGAAAGCTAAGAAGCCTAGAAGAATTTGTACAGACACTCATTGAGTATCATAGGAGTAAGGATTTGGTAAGTTTTCTCCGAGGGATGGTAACTGTCCCAAAATATGTACTTCGAAGCATCTTCACATGTATGTTTGTCTTCCAAAGGATTACACAGTATGCTGACCTCTATATTTCCTGTTCCACAGCAACCTTTTGTTGCCTCTTCGAACCCTATTTTGCACATCAAAATTGCCATTTTTAGTTCTTGTAAAGAATTTGGGTTTTGCCAATTAGATGTGGTCTGGTTGGTCTTCTCACTTATGTAAGAAGTTGAAAGCAATGACGGAGCTAGGGGTCTAGGGGTGGCCTCTGCCTCCCCCAACAATTTTTTTTTTAAATCACCCATAAAATATTAAAATTTTTTATTTTGCCCTCTAAAATAATAAAAATTTTCAATTTTCCCTTCTTAATTCTTGAAAATTTTTTTAGCCCCTTCAATTTTTTCCCCTCTAAACTTAATTCCTGGCTCCGTCAATTTGGTGGATTTAGAAGAGGGCTATCTCTGTTGTGTAGCCACAATATTATTTCAGCTAATCGAGCCTTCCAATAAATAAAAAAAAGAACTCGAATTTTAAATATGACAATATAAAAGAATGAGTACCATATTGAGAAGGGTTCTTGATAATGGAAAGAAGTGGATTGTAGATGTCAATATTGACAAGTCTAACATCTGGAAGCTCTGTGTTGAGAGAATCAATTGCAGAAGAGATCTTGGAATTGAAGAGCTTTGCTGCTTCATTGGCAGACTCTGAACACTCTCTCACTATTCCTCCACCTAGAGTTCTCTGTGATGGCACGCACCCAATTGGTGGTAAATTAAGGACTCCAATTCTCCTTGCTCCAACTTCATAAAGTTCCTGTTAAAGTATTAAAACTAAGTTAATCACGGCTCAGTTAAACCGACTAATTGAACCGGTTTGATTTTAACATATTTAGATTTTAATAGAAAAAAGCCAACATTTTTTTCCGTGCCATACTAATGGGTTCGTTCGGTTTTATCTTTAAAAATTTTGATATGTTGAGTTGAATGCTCACCATTTTTATTGCGAAAATATATACATGAAATAGAGACAGAACACACCATTTATTTGATGCTATATCTATATTCGATAAATTTTCATAAAATCGGTCTTTACAGATTAAAGATTAACATTATAGCGAGTTCTAAAAATCAAGATATAATTTGTGAATATGTGGCTAATTAGAATTTACCGATCAAGTAATGTGAACATACCTTGTAAAAAGTTGAAGCAGAGCTCACCATTAAATCAGTATAGGAATTAATATCATATTGATATCTTCTAAATGGAAGAGCAAAATAGGTATTGGCAATATCATCGCTTCCTATGCAAACTATGAATAAGCCTTTGGATAGAATTGTTGATGTTCCTTCTTCTCCCACGATTGATTTTAGTTTTGATAAGTAACCTCGAAATAGGTCTAATTGATCCGATAATGAAAGTACAGACTGGTGAAAAATTAAGAAAATTAATTGAAATTAGAAATTAAAAAAAGAAAAAAGCTCAAATAAAGGATAATAAGTATATAAGATTAATTAATTAGTACTTTGAGCTCAGTGCTAATCGGAGAGATCGCGGGTGAAAATTATTCGTACTTACAGCTATTTTGGATGTTTGAGGATCATAACCAGAACCACCTGAAGCAAAGCTCACTCCAGTAAGAAGGTCTTCAGGCTGCACATTTGGATCAAGATAAGCTGGAACCAGCTTCTTTATACCTAATATTTGAGCTACAAATGCATAATCCATCATATATTAATAAAAATATTAAGTTAAATGATTTATATGAAATTAGCTTTTCAAAAATTTAACTAATTTTTGAAATTTAATTTTTCTAAATAGAAAAAACACAATGCACGCACGAGTTAGAGATATGACACTTCCTTTTAATTTAATTGAGCCGAATTTTCATTTTTTATTAATAGAAAATTTTCAATATCTCTAATTAAAATATTAATTAAACTGAAATGGAATATTTTGGTTTGGTATTTGGTTGTAATTGAATTAACTGAATGATTTGTTTAGTTATAATTGATTTTTTTAGAATAATATTTAGAATTTTTCTCTATTTCGAAGTAATAGAAATCGTGGGTTACCGGGTTTGGTTCAATTTTTATTTTTTTGTCCTCACCAACGACTGCTCACTCGTGTTGTCGTATCAGCCCATCGTTATGCCATATTATTAGTTTTTCTAAACAACTTCTATGGATGAAGTTAAAAATATAAAAGTGATTTAATGAACAATTATAGACATATGGTAAATTTTTTTTGTCAAATTTATCCTTTATATTTTTCATTTTTCCTATTTAATATGAAAAATGCTTTTGAGAACATTATAGAAAGAAAAATGGAATCGACGTATAAAATATGCATGAATAATAGAGAGCATTTCTAATGCAACTAAGAACTGTGGCTTATGTGTCTTAACAAATAGAAGTTGTAGATGGTGATGCGACTAAAAGTATATTTGTAGATGTTAGATTTTAAAAATGGCTTTCCAATACACAAAGAAAAAATCAAGTTCAACGCAAGAAGAAATTTGAACGCGAATAAAAGAGAAGACATTAAGAAAAATAAAAAATAAAAAAATGAATAAATAGGAAAAAAATAAAAAGCTAGAGTCATGTTGTCTAACAGATCCTCTAAAAATAGAGAAAGTGATGAATAATGTCTCTTTTTTTTTTTACACATCAAATCCACAGACTAAATAGAAAATAGCGTCGAAGAAGGTAAGTTTTTATTTTTAACTTTTAAATTTTTGAGACGTGGTAAATAAATTAAAACTATCCATAATTGTATTGTACATGTTCTAAGAAGTATATGTCATTGTATGTGTTTATGAAGACAGGCAGGTAGGTGATGTAAATTTTGCTAATTTTTCTATGTTGATGTCTAAATTTTATTTTTGTCAATTACATGCACTTGATCAATTTCTTTTTGTCGGAAAATATAAATAAATAATTTTACTCAATAAATGATATATTATATCAAAATTCATTTCTTTCATCTCCCTTGCCCTTTTTTATATCTCATTTTTTTTTGTCAAATGAAAATCTAAATTCTTTATATGTTTCTTTATATTTGAACATAAAATGATTTAGTTTCAAAATTAAACTGAACTAATAAAAATAACATCAATTCTTGTTTAGTTTTCTAGTTTTAAAAGATGTTCTACAAGCGAAAATTTAGAATTCGGTTGTCCTGATTTATTCAGTTTTTTGTGAAGATAATTCAATTTAAATTGGAAAATCAAATTTCAATTTAACCAACTAAACAAAAATGATTTCCATGACGATTGAAACCGAATACAATCGAATACCGTTAGTTTAATTTGATTTTTCAGTTAGAGTTAAACGTTTGCTTCCCCTAGCATATAGGGTAAAAAATTATTGATGAAATATACTCAATTTGTAAAAAATTTATAAATAAAAAGAAAAATAGAATATTAGAAAAGTTTTATACTAATTTGATAATTATCCCTATTAGCTAGCATAAAGTAAATACCTGCAATATCTGAAGGAATGAATCCATTGCTAAACCTTCCTGTTGGCTTTCTTCCAATGAAGTCTCTCCCATAAGGTGGGAAGTTACACTTAATAATTGTTTTAACATAGTTATTATTACCTGGATCCACTATTGAATCTCCAAACACAATAACAGCTGGAAGCTTTTCATGCATATAATTATTAGTTGATGAAATGTTTAAGGCACAAATTGGAAATAATATTATTACAACATAGAAAAAAAAGATAAAAGAAGCTGAATTGTAATAAAGAAACTTCATATTCTATGTCTCAGCTTTATGTGTTTGTTTTTGTTACAGAGATTTTGATACTATTATGATTATTATATAGGAGATTTTATGTATTTATTATTGGAACCCAGAATAATTATTTTCTAGTTGTTAGATATATGTTGGGAGTTGCGATAAATGAGTAATTAATTTATGTTTACAACACGTGTTTGTGTCTAGAAGTTGGGATTTCTACATCATAAACGCTCATTTAATAGCTTCATTGCATGAGCTGGAGCATGCATGGCCTTGCCTCCAAAGATCAGTCTCTGGACTTTGTACTAGTGAGATGCTTATGTATTTCATTTATTTTGATTGTGATATTCTCGTGTAATAAATGAATATCACAATAATAATAATAAAAAGAAATAAAAATAATTTATATTAGTATTTTTTTTTCCATTACAAAGCGAATAACCTAAAAGAATATTGGCCAAATACATAAACTCACCTTTCAACTTTATAAGTATGTATTTAGTTATATATAATTATATTGTCGAAGTATTTTCCTGTATTTAGTTATATATATGTAATTGTATTATATTCCTCTACTCTTTGGCTGCTGTCCATAAAATGAAAGAAAATACAAATGAATTGGATTTAGTTTTTATTTTTTAAATTTTCTCAACACTAAGTTTATTAGGTGTGTGTATATATACAAGTCTGGTGCTTGTTTGTGGTGTGGGAACAAAGCATCTATTTGGAATTTTGGGGGCTTAATTTCACCCGTTGTACCTGAATTACCCCATTTGTTAGGTAAAAATGTCAAACTTTAATTTATGTTACAGTAGAAAACATTTGGGACTATTCAAGAATCCAGGTGATATTCACCAAATTGGTAAAACTTACATGGTGAAAAAGACTCGAATTCGAAACATTTCACTCTTTATATCATCTACGAAAGATAAGAAGATCAATTAAACTACCCCTGATTTGCTCAAACAAATGTATTTTACTGTAACATAAATTAAAATTTTGATATTTTTAAAGGTTAATCTATAAAAATACCCTAAACTTTGAGTGTTGTTGCAGGATCACTCTAAAGTGACCTTTGTTCCCTAGCACCCCAACATTGAAACTTAGATATATTGTATGTGGGGTGACAATATATCAAAGTTTAGTTGGGGCGCTGGAGAAATAAAGGTCATTTTACAGTGATAATGTAACAACACTCAAAGGTTAGAGTATTTTTGTTGGTTAAGCCATTTTTGCACAATAAATTAAAATTTAGGTACATCAATATAATATGGGCGTAATTCCTGTACCACTGATGAAATTAAGACATACTTTAATAGTCTACCATTATGTATAAGTACAACACTAAAAGCTTTTTGCACTTTGAAAAGAAGGGATGTTGAAAATACGTAAACAGTTGTCCCACATTATTAGGAAGGAAAGGTAAATATAGATTGATCCAAAAACCTCATAATTGTTACTAACCCCACTTTGACCCAGAAGAGCCTAAAAAAAAAAAAAAAAAGGTGTACCACTGGATGAAATTAAGACATTTACTTTAATAGCTCTTACCATTATGTATAAGTACAACACTAAAAGGCTTTTTGCCACTTTGAATAGAAGGGCATGTTGAAATAGTAAAACAGTTGTCCCACATATTAGGAAGGAAGCGTAAATATAGATTGATCCAAAAACCTCATTTAATTTGTTCTGACTAACCCACTTTGACCCAGAAGAGCCTAAAAAAAAAAAAAAAAAAAGGCGAACTACGAAAAAAAAAAAAAAAAAGGCAACATAGATGTTTTTCTATTTAAAAAAGAAAAGAAAAAAAAAACATTATGGAACCCTAATGTGGTGGGTATAGCGTCAGTTATTTATTGGTTGATCTAATAAACAGGAGCTAAAAAACATAAATGAAAAGAACCTACCGTTTTCTTTCAATACAACCAAGAGCATACAAGACAGAAATATAAATAAAATAATGTTGTTAAAATAGCATATGATTAAGGGAGGTGAAAGATCATGAAGATCCACCCAACAATCATTGTGGCCTTTCGACGGTAGTTTTTGAGCTAGCTTTTAACGTTTTGACTGAGTCAAAACAATTAAATATTTCATTTAATTTAATAATTTTGTTTATAATGAGTTGAACGCACTTTTAACACAAAATGATTTAAACCGTTTTGATTGATTCACCTTTCTCATTATATATCATTTATTCATTTTATGTTTTTGCAACATGGGATTACCCACATTCTGCAACAAAGCCACCTCCATGAAAGCTTTCTGCCAAAACCTTCAACGACTGGTAATCTCCACTGTTAAGCTCAGAAAACTCTAAAGAAAGAGGAAAAAAACACATCACATCCGTAGATCAGTTTTGAGAAATATAGTAAAATAACAATTCTTTTAATGATGATTAATTATTCTTTTTTTAAAAGGAAATGATGATTAATTATATATATAACAGTACTTTTTCATGGTTAACATTACATTAATTTGTAACAGTCTTTCTGTTTTTGGTCATAGCATTTGACAAGGATCGTTGGCGTTAATTCATTACTTTCTTTTTTTAGGTATAAATAGTTGAAAAGTAATGAGGATAGAGATTGATGAGTGGACTGTTAGTTCTATCACTGTGACATTAATTAATACCTATAAGTAGTTACTTGTTAATTGAATATTCATATATAAAAAATTGGAAAAATTATAGGCAATGAATTGAATTTATATATAAAAAATTCTTCAAAGAGAAATATTAAGAAAAATTCATATTTCTTCATCATCATATAAATATATATTGAATACCAACTACAAGAATAATATTATATTAAATAAACTAAAATACAGGATATTATATATAGGAAATGTCAAAATTTTTATTGCTAATTTATTTCGAAATAAGCCGAAGATAAAGGTTATGATTTTAAGAAATTAATTAATTTATTTTATATTTATGATTTATGATTTATTATGGCATTAGGTGAAGTACTAATCCTTGACATTAAAACTACTAGAGAGTTAAATTATTTAGAAGGAAAAATAATGTATTACTAATCCGTTAATTAATTTAATATTAGCAATGGATTTTTTAAATTTAAGCAATTAAAGAATCCATTGCTAAATTGCGTTTTTCTTTTAGTATGGTCATCAAAATTCTTTATTGTAGGACCCATGACTCTACATGATTTTTTATTGAGCAGAAGAGAACATCCAATCTTAATTTATTATTTTATTTTTAGAGTAATTTTCTATCATACAAAATATTCGACTTAGTCTTCCAAAAAAAAAAAAAAAAAAAAAAAAATTTTTTAGGAGTAATTTTTCTTATCATTAACAAAACAAATATTCGCACTTAGTTCTTCCAAAAAAAACAAAAAAAAAAAAAAAAAATCAACCTGCTTGCCAAATAATGGACCAGAACCTATTCTCCCAAATATACGTTTTTGATTGAAATTGAAATTAAAAAAAAAAAAATTTTGGAGTAAAAAAAAAAAAAAAAAAAAAAAATCAACCTGGCTTGCAAATATGGACAGACCTATTCTCCCAATATACGTTTTTGATGAATTGAAATTAAATGATGGGTAGTTTAAGAAAAAGAGTAATGTAAAGAACAAAAAGGAGTCTTTGAAAGATTTTTTTTATTATCAATCCACTTTGATTTGAAATAACGAAAAGATGACTAGCAATCCATGTCCCTTCTATTACTAAAGTGGATATCCAAATGTGGATATAAATATACCACTCCCGTTTCTATTCTAATCTGGTGATTCCAATCTAAAATTTAAATAGAAAAATAGAAAGGGTTCGAATAAAATCGTAAGAATATGTATGTTGTACATTTTATTGCATTTCTCTGGGATTGTAGTTCAATTGGTCAGAGCACCGCCCAAAATAATCATGAGTACCTACGATATTATAAGTTTCTTCCTCTTAACCGAATCTGTAACCTTCATTAGCAAATTCATTTTCTATGGTTTCCTTGAACTACCAAAGCGTTTCTTATAAATCTAATTCTGAAATTCCATCTAGTAAAACAAAAGAATTATAAATTTCTAAAATAATAAATAGGAATATCGCAAATAGAGCCATTGCAACACCCATCAAGAGAGTGGTTCCCCATCCAGGAGCTACTTTACCATATTTCAAATTCAATGGTTTCAATAAATCCCCTACAACAGTTCAGTGGATGAAGGGAGAAACTTCTCGAAGGAGGAAAAAGATCCAATGACTTCGAAAGAATTGAACGAGGAGCTGTATGAGGTGAAAATTTCATGTGCGGTTCTGTAGAGTAGCAATAAAGGTGACTTATCTGTCAACTTTTTGGAAAGAATTGGGCCAAATTTTCCCAACCAACCAACCACTATCTGCCTTTATCATTTAACTGCCAAGCTTGAATCAAAACCATGTTATGCACAACTAAGCCTCGTTTGGTTCAAGTTCATCTACTTTTTGGGATTTCGTGAAGTTCGATCCAAGGAAGTAAAGTTTCAAGAAAATTACTTTCAGGGAAATACAATGTGCTTGTATTTAGTTGATATATTGACTTCCTGAAAAATAAAATTGTTTTAATAAAATTTTATATATGAATGTCAATAATACCCTACCATGAAGTTGAATATATCAATTGAAATAATTCATTGAAAATATTTATGAAGCAAGGGCAAAGTTTTCTAATTTCTAGAGCTCAAGAAGTTCACTTTCTTGGGTTGAGGGGTAACTTACTTCTTGTATGGTCAAGGAAAAAAGAGTTTCAAGTTTCTGGAAATTTCTATATTTTTTGGAACCAAACAAGATGACATTTCTCTCTTTCCCGAAACTTCAAGGTCCCGAGCAAAGTCACCCCAACCAAACGAGGCCTAAGATTATACTAAAAAAAAAAAAAAAAAAAACGCAGCCTAAGATTTACTAAAAAAAAAAAAAAAAAAGAATTATAAGCAAAAAAGATAACTGTCATGCTCTACCACCGTACAAGATTGTGACAAACGTTGAAGCTTCAATTTGTGGGAACCAAATTAGATGACATTTCTCCACTTCATGGAAACTTCGAGGTCCGAGCCGAGCAAAGTTACCCCAACAACACGAGGGCCTTAAGAATTTAAGCGAAAAGAAAACTTCATTATCTCATACACCTACAGAATTGAAAAAGTTGAAGCTTCAATTTGTCAAACCTTTCCGAACCTTCACCTTTCATTTGAAGGAAAAAAAAAAAAAAAAAAAAATCACGAGCTGAGATAATGGGCAACTCTTCTAGTAGATTATAATTCCACCTATAGCAGTATATTCAATAATCGTAGTGGCTTTCTTGATTGAATAAAAAAAAAAAAAAAAAAAATCACCGAGTGAGATATGGGCATACTCTTCTAGTAGATTATAATTCCACCTATAGAGTATATTCAATAATCGTAGTGGCTTCTGATTGAATAGAGAAAATTGAAGTTTCTTTTTTCTACAAACTGAATTAGTGTAGTCAAATCGATTTGGTTCAGTTTAATTTATGGGTTAAAGTAATTTATTTCCTCCAATCAAACCGAAAATCGAAATTAAAGTCACGGAAAAATTATAAACTAAAACGAGACGGATAGACCAAATGAGAGAACTAAAAAATCGAAGATTTCCTCTAATGCTCATGCATGCCTCATATCTAATCGAAGATTTCCCTCAATTAATGTCTTCCATAACAAAAATACAGAAATAAAAAGTAACTAATAATAATGAGACATTTTCACTCTTAAATACCAATTTGATAAGAATCATCAAAACATGTTGCTTATACTGGGAATGATCATGTTGATTAGGGTTTGGTAAGCCTTCTCTGTGGGATGATAACTATCCCAAAATATGTACTTAGTGTCATCTTTGCAAGTTAATGGGTCATCAAAGCGATTACAAAGGTAAGTCACTTCTATTTTTCCTGTGCCACAGCATCCTTTAGTTGCCACTTCAAAACCTGCTTTCGCAACAGAAATGTAAATGTGATAATACTAAAGGAAATTTTTGTATCAAGATAGCAATTTGTGGTTATAATTAAGTAAATCATGGTTATTAGGTTATGTTCCGCAATAGTTTTTTGAATAGCTGGTCAAAACGTTAAATGCTATTTTTTATAATATTTGGAGTTTGTTCAGCCAAATTAGCTATTTTGATAATTGTTAGATGTTTTAGCATCGTTTAATTGTTAGCTGTTTTAGTAGTTTTATAAAGGGCTAGAAGCTAAACGTCACAAGGGTAATTTTTTTATAGAAGCTACTGCCGAACACATTTTTCGTAACATAACGTTTGACCTAACATTTAGAGGTTAAGATAACGTTTTATAAAATGTTAACCCCTGTAACATTTAGCTTTTAGCGTTTTATGAAAAGTTATTCAAGCGCTTACTTACTAACTACTCAAACAGTTAAACGTTATTAAAATAGTTAATTTTACTAGCAAACCTTTAGTTTGATTTATAGGGTTATAGAAGGATTTTGATTAAATTACCATATTTAGCAGGATTTTGAATGAGGGAAAGCAGTGGATAGTAGATGTCAAGATAGATAAGATTTGCATCAGAAAGTGTTGTGTTGAGGGAATAAATAGCAGAAGAGAGCTTGGAATTGAAGAGAATAGCTGCTTGGTTTGCAAAATCTGCACACTTTCTTTCTATGCCTCCACGTACGGTTCTCTGTGATGGCACACACCCTGCTGCTGGTACGCCCAATATACCAATTCTTCTTACGCCAAGTCCATAAAGCTCCTGTCAATTTCTTTCCCTCATTACATATTCAGAATTTTCAGTCAATCATTAAAAAACAGACATTGTAAACGTATTCTAGCCAGGAAGTACATAGATGACTTGACAATAATTTTAAGTTCGAGTTTCCTCCTCAATGCTTAAAAAGAAAAATTTATTGTAAAAAAAAAAAAAATCATTCTTGACAATTAACAGTATTTAGGGCTGTTTGGTTTAGCCGATGAAGGTTAACTAATAAATGATGGTATTTGGTAAAATTTAAATAGTGATTAAAACGTAAAATACTATTAAGGATATAATTGTTTTTTTATATCATATTATGTATTATGTATAATGTACATTTGTTTTTAAAAAATTTTAATGTGAATATTTTATTTGATTGGATCAACATAAGATATCATGTGCGATATTATTGCAAGAAAGCAATAATGTCCCTACTTGGGTAATATTCTGGTATTACGTTAAAGTAGTAAGAACAAAACGACAGAGAAGTGACGCTGAGAGGCAACAGTGTAGTGATATATTTCCACACTTTAGTTTTAATAAATCATAAATGCATGATGCTACTTCTACTTGTGCAATAAATATTCCCTCCCAGTCCATTTCTAATTGGGAGAATTCATGAAAGGCTCATGCAATTGAAGTTTGGTAAAAATCCGAATTGAGCAAGACAAATTTTCAATTAGCACTAGCTAGGGTGTTTTATTACCTAAATTCAATTTAAAATATGAAGAAAATAATAAATTAAAATTACAGACCTTATTATATAATTCAAATCATATTTAAGTCTATGGTTTAAAACCAATAGTTAGTTGAATCAGAAAAATGGACATAAAATCCGGAATTCTAGATTCAAAACTTTAAACCATTATTGTTAGAAAGAATGATTTTTATTTGAATATCATTTTTCGCTTCAACATTAAGATACGAAAAAAGATTTTACTTGAATATACATGTGATTTTACTATTTTACTGTTATACCAAAATTTCTTTTCAATTCAATGCTGAAAAAATATTTTAAAATATATTTTCAACTCTACGCTAATGATATATGACATGTTACGAAAATAAATTAGGTCAGAATGTATCTAATAGTTTTATATATATACGCTAATGATATAGGGACATTGTACGAAAATAAATTAGGTCAGAATGTATCTAATAGTTTTATATATATATTATATACTATATATATATATATATATATATATATATATATATATATATATATATATATTAACCAGGAGATATAATATATATAACCAGGAGATATAACATCATTCAAAATATAAAATATAAAGGTTTTTTGTCTTGTGTTTCCTAAAATCGAATTTGTGTTCTCGTGACTCCGGAAATAAAATTTACTTACGACCCGATCAACACGCCTTAATCGTAGTATTACTTTTTCTTTGCTGTCGTGAGAAGGACGTAACTTAGCTTAGCTGTTAGATCCTAAATTTTTTTTTAATTTTATTTTTTCGCTAAAAGATAATATTACTCTATTCATGCAAACCAGCAAAGAATGTATTTCAAAGCTTGAAGATTTTCAACCATAGAAATGTTCAACATACCTGGAAAAAGCTTGAAGCTGAGCGAACCAAGAAATCTGTATATGAATTAATATCATAGTGTAATTGCCTTAAAGGAGTAGAATAATAAGTATTCAGAATATCGTTGGTTCCTGTACAGATTAAGAAAACGCTTTTGGATATTATAGTTGCAGTTTTTTCTTCTCCAACTGCTGATTTAATCTTTCTTGTGTATTCTTTGAACTGCTCTACTTGATCAGATAAAGAAAATGCAGGCTGCAGATAATAAAATCAAGAAAATTGGAATTCCAGGTTTAATTATGGAAACTTATAGTTTTGGTCATATAACAGGAAAATGGAAACAAGGATGCAAAGAATCAAGAAGATCAGGGAAGCCATTAATTACTGGTAATTTGTTTGTGATAGGATCGTAGCCATTGCCGCCTGAGGCGAAGACAACTCCGGTGAGAAGGTCTTCAAGCTTTAGGTTTGGATCGAGATAAGCTGGCAAGAGCTTCTTTACCCCAAATGCTTCAGCTGGTCATTAATAAAAAAATTTATGTTTTAGAACTTAATTAATTAAGTTAATTATTATTATTATAACTTAAAACTTAAAACTTAAAACTTAAAACTTAAACGTTCTTTGTTTCATAAATTAGTGTTGAAACCTTTTGTTTTTAGTCTTTTTTTTTTTTTTTTTTAACTTAAAAACTAGTAAAACTTTAAAAGCTTAAAACTTGAAACGTTTCTTTTGTTTCATAATTTAGTGTTGACAGCCTTTTTGGTTTTTTCAAGTCATTTTTAGTTTTTTTATTTTATATTTTGGCATTTGTTTATTTTTTCGTATAAATTTTTGTTTTACCCATACAAATTAAAATACAATGATAAATATAGTATCAAAATTAAAAATAAAAATTTAAGTGTAATATTAATTGGATAAACACATTAAATCAAATGCGCATTTGAAAAAATATAAACGAAATAAAAATCTTAATTTAGGTATTTGTATAAAATTTTATTTAGTATTACATTCATAGTGTAAATAAAAATGTTCAAGAAGAAATAATAAATGTTTGAAAAAAAATTTCATTACTTTCATTGATTTAATCATATGATTTGAAAAGCAAAACATGCAGGAAATGGCATTAATTTAGTAAGGTAACAAACACCTGCGAAACCTAGGTTGCTCAAACTTTGCGAGACGAGCAACTAAGAATACCTAATAACGTCGAGGAAGGAACCCCTGCCATTGCTAACTTCCAGTTGGTTTCCTCCATGAAGTCTCTCCAATAAGGTGGGAAGTTCAGCGTTAGCCAGTCGTTTTGATATAGGTTGTATATGTTGCCTTTTTTTTTTTTTTTTTGGCATTTTTATTTCTATAAAATTTTGTTTTACCATACAAATTAAAATACAATGATAAATAAGTATCAAAATAAAAATAAAAATTTAAGTGTAATATTTTGATAAACAAACATTAATCAAATGCGCATTTAAAATATAACGAAATAAATTCTTAATTTAGTATTCTGATAAATTTTATTTGATTACATTTCATTAGTGATAAAATAAAAATTCAAGAAGAAAAATAAATTTGAAAAATTTCATTCCATTTCATTGATTTAATCATATGATTTTTTGAAAGCAAAACATCAGGAAATTGCATTAATTATAGTAAGGTAACAAACACTGCGAAACCTAGTTCCAAACTTGGAGACGAGCAAAAGAATACCTATAAAGTCAGAAGGAACCCTGCCATTGCTAAACCTTCCAGTTGGTTTTCCTCCCATGAAGTCTCTCCCATAAGGTGGGAAGTTGCACTTAGCAGTCGTTTTGATATAGTTGTTGTTGCCTGTATCTACTATTGAATCTCCAAACACAAAAACTGCTGGAATCTTTTCATTGTTAGGCAAAGTTATAGTAGCAGCATTATTTAATGTGATAGAATTAATAGCCACTGCTAGAAGAACAAATAGAAATCTTCCAAATAGAAACATTTTTTGTTTTGTAACAATAACAAAAATGTAATTCTTTTGTGGGTTTTATATAGAATGTGCTACCTCGTTAATAGATGATATATATATATATATATATATATAGGTATTTATTGGACTCGCAAACAATACTTATTAAATGCTGAATAATATAGTTAGATATATGGTAGTAGTTGGAGTTCATTTAATAAAGAAGTTGCAATAGTAAAACTCATTAACTGTATTATAAACAATTTAAAAATTAATAATAATATAAAAAAAGCAAGTGAACTATATTTCGGGACAGGTGGAATGGAGGGACTAATTTAAGAAAATTTGTATGCTTTGAATTGATGGCATTTTTAGGTGTTCTTTGTATTATAAATTTGACAAATTTGAATTGAAAGGATAAAGTTGAATGATTAAGTAAGAAGTTAAATCTATAAAGATAAAATTAAATAATGTAGATATTTTAGCTTGGATCAATTAATACTGAAAGGTTAATTTCTACGCTTATATACTCTTTATAGATTTGTTATTTGAACAATGCGTAATTCATAAGACTCTTGCAACTGGATTTGAACATCCAGATTGACATTTGAAATTTGAAATCTCCTCCTTATGTTTAACTTGGTTTTGTCCTTAAAATTAAACTTGAATTGGTCTCGATGAGACAGGATATCTAGATGAAAGCGGGAATTGAAAACATCAGTGAACTGAGAAATAATATCGTATCATTAATTTAGAAAAATGTAAAATGGGGAAAATTAGTTACATAAACTCTTTTTGCATGTGCAAAGTAGCCAGCTAAATATAAATTAATTAAAACAAGGGGTGAGCAGCATTTAGTCTGAACCGACTCATTTCAATTTAGTTCGATGAGGTTTCTTAAATATCGGATATCGATCCGTTTATGTAGGATAATCGAATGATTTTCAATTTTCAGCTCCGTCATTTGTCTAGCTAATCAAATTGATTTTTATGCGAAAATAGAAATCCAAACCGATTGGATTAGTACTACAAGAAAAAAAGAAATTACCATCAAAAAATTGCCACTATTTCCTTATTTTTTGTCATTAATTTGGTATCACAGTGTTCAGTGCGATTTCAGTTGATATGATATCTATTTAGTCCGGTTCGATTAAATCGAATGCTCAGCCCTAGTTAACAACTAAACTAACTTATAATAAATTTAAAATTTATATGCTAATAGTTTGTGATTGACTTTCTTCATTAGCCGTAAACATACCAAATAGAGACACAAGGAAAATATGCTTGAGAATCATGAAATCTAATATAATGATAATTAATGCAAATGATAATTTACGTGTCTTTCTTGAAAATGAAAAATACACTATAAATTATTATTGATAGAGACCTTTTTTTAATCCGCTATATTAGATTAAGGCTTTAGATTAAAGTAGCTAAAAGTCGTTCGGTTTTAATTTAACCCTTTTATAACTAGAATACGGTGATTTTGAAATTAAAATTGAAGATTTTGAAACCCTCATCACGGTACTTATAAATAAAGTATTGTCCATTTCCGACTTGTCTTTACATTATGGTTTTGCTATCGATATGTAACAATCAATTCATACGACTCTTATCAAGAGAATCCCCTCTTTGGTATAATTCAGAAATGGTATTTTCAGCCATAAAAACTTTCATTTTCAACATCACATCTCTTAAGCCTCGTTGGTGGGACTTTATGTACATCCGAATAATAAATGGATATGCTTGAAAAGTCTCTGTTGGTTGCTCAATTTCTCTTCCTTAACTATATAGTTCGATCATTGTCTTCTGCAAAATCCTCTTTTTGAAAATTTTTTGGACTGTTTCAGTTTGTTTTCTTTATCTGATTTGAGTCGCTGCTTCCATAATTAGAGTACAAGAGACAGTCTCTGTAATCTGAAGCGCTGGATCCATAGAAAAACACTTATGGTGAGTGACAGTCACAAATTTTAAAACGTGATTAATTTTATATTCAAAAACATATGAAAATATTTAGGGTCTTTTCGGTAAAATTAATTGTTTTGATAGCTGTTAGTTGTTTTACGAGTGTTTAGCTGTTTTACTAGCGTTTTATAAAATGCTAAAAGTTAAACGTTATATGAGTTAACTTTTAACTTTTTATAAAACGCTGCATTAACCTCTACAAATTAGTTTAAACATTATATTACCGAAAACTATAAAAAAAACATTTAGTATTTATACCATTCAAAATGTTAAAAACTTCTTTAAGAAGTTATTTTCGAACACAAGAGAATACTAAGATATATATTTTCCACTGCCACTAAGCCAATTATAACATGTTTGATGTTTCAACAAATACTATTATCTCACATGTCTTGTCAGTTCTAATTGAATGCAATCACATGTCAGGAATCAAATCCGTGAAATCCCAAACCTAATGTAGTTAAATCTAAAAGTCAACTCAGGATATCTAGATTACTATTAACTTCCCTAATAATTAGGGTGGGATTTACCTTAATCACATTTCAAAGTCAATTAAGGATCTGAAATTACCGCAAGTCAAGGAACAACTATTTGTCAATAAATATTAATTCAATTTGTTTATATATATACTTAGATTTTCAACAAAAAGCTAGTTACAATATGATAGTCTGATTCTCACATAATTTGGACAACCAACAGGTGGTTTCATCAAACAACATAAATTCAATTTTTAGGCGAACTTTATCTATTAACTTTATTTATTATAAGATCAAGAGTTTCAAATTTGGAATCTAAAAAAAAAAAAAAAGAATATTTATTATATACAGTTGGTAAAAAATTCACAATTTTACACATTTTAAAACAATAACAAAAAAATAATAAGGAATTGATATCATATTTAAATTTTTGAATGAAATTGGAAAATTTATGATTAATGAGAGGCAATTTGTCGTACTATTATTACTACATCTGTTATATGATACTTATTATATTTGAGAAAATAGTTTATTTTAAAATACTTGTTACATTTATAATCTCAAGGTGTAATAAATATATTTTTTTTCATATTTAGTTTTTGATATGACCAATAATAATTATTTCAATTTAATAATTTTTTTAAAAAATTAATATTAAATTAAAGATAATATAATCAATTTACTCAATAATTTATTATAACTATTATAAAACAGAAGTAGTATAAAATTTGTCGTAACCCTCCAATCACTGTGATGTTGACAACTCTACGGACAACTCTAAAACCAGCCAAAAATATCTCTCTAAATCAGAATAAAAGGCAATTTTATTAAATTCTATCCAGATCGACGAGTCGTTCAGAAACTGAATTCAAAAATCAATTTGATTTTTTTTTTTTGAAACATTGTTAAAAGATATAACTAAAGCGAACCAATTGAACCGTGAATGAACCGATCGATTTATAAAAATTCACAAGATCTAAATTTAGTATATTTTAGGGTTAAAGGAATATTTTAAAATCAATTTAGGTTGTATTATTATTTTAATGCTTTTAGTTGTATGTTAAATCATATTTATGAAGCTCCAATAATTAGACTTGCAGATTATTTATAATTATCTTAAATTAGTAATATTTAATGAATATATTATTAATACTTTGATAACTGATTCTTCAATTATGAACCGCCACTTAAATCAATTCTCCATCTACCTGATTTTGAAATTTGGTCAATGTCTAAATATAATAACACTAGTAGAAAGCCTAGAAAGGAAAAACTTCAATCCAATTTCTCTTTAAAGTTACTTTTTACTCCCTAAAGTATTATTTGTCATATAGGTATATATAAGGCGCTAAGTGTAATTTCATTTTAAAATCTTTTTTTTTTCTAAATTTTTTGTAACATCTCAAAAAAAAAAAAAATCACATTTTCCTTTCCCCTACTGTTTCATCTCTTTCGAAAGAAATGTTTTTTTTTTTTTTTTTTAATAACACTAGTAGAAAGCCTAGAAAGGAAAAACTTTCAAAAGAATCCCAATTTCTCTTTAAAGTTACTTTTTACTCCCATAAAGTGATTATTTGTATATAGGATATATATAACAGGCGCTAAGTGTAATTTTCATTTTTAAAATCTTTTTTTTTTTTCTAAATTTTGTAATCATCTCAAAAAAAAAAAAAATCACATTTTCCTTTCCCCTACTGTTTCATCTCTTTTTCGAAAAAGAATGTTTTTTTTGTTTTTTTTTCTAGGTCCTTTCTTCCATACTTTTCTTCTTTATTGTTGATTTTTTGTTTTTTTCATCCAATTATTTTTTTTTTTTTTTCATCCAACTTCCGCACTCTTCCCTTTTCTTTCCTCCCAAAACATAGCTTTTGGGATTGTTTGGGAAGAAAGGACAGAAAAGGAGATGAAAAGACAAGGGAAAGAAATTACTTTGAAAAAAGTGTCTCCTGTTTCGCAAATTAGGGACTATGGAGGAAAAATTCTCTTCCACACAAAATGATTTCTCCACAAAATGAAAAGAATGAAAAGAAAAATAAGAATTTCAATTACCAATAGAAATTAATTTGAGTAAAAATGATTCAAGTCTTGTAATAAAAAAGTTGAGTATTCGATTATTGTAAATTGTGAAAATTTTTATTGAGTACGCTTCGCGTTTATGAGCCTGACTATTTTTTCCAAATTGAAATTATTTTTATTAAAGTAATGAAAGATGTTACAGTAATTTTAATTTCTATTCTATCTTTTTACTCCACATCTCTGGCCCTTATCCAAACAAGATGAGAGAACAAAAAGTATATTTCCTCATTTCCTTCATATCCTTTCAATTTCCTCATCCCATGGTGTTAGGTTCATAATTAAGGCCTTGGCCCAACTTAATTACCAAATTAATAACTTCATATTGCAGAGGATGTGACAAATTATTTCTAGATTTCCTTTTTTAAAATTTATTGTCTTTCAGGAAAGCAGATTAATATTAATTTCATGGCCCTACATAAGCAATAATGCAACTAATTTCGATTATCTTGTTTTAAATTTATATCCAAAATACCATTATCTTTTCAATGAATTATTGTTATTGTTGTTGGGACTCCTTTTCAACTATGTGATTATTATTATTATAATAATAATCCATTTAGATACATTTAGATTAATCTATTATAATTATTTATAATTAATCTATTTATTTTTTAAAAAATCCATTTAGATTAATATACACGTTATATGTAGTAAAATTAATTATTTTAATAGCTATCAGTTGCATATTAGTTGCCGGTTATTTTACGAACATTTCATTAGACGTTAAAGAAAGTAACATTTCATAATTTGCTTCCTCAAACTTTAAATATTAGTGTAAATTTATGCCATTGGATATTATTAATACTAAAGATAGTATTTTGACTTTATTTAAAACATTTAACGCCACCTAAGACGCTTGCCACATAGAGTTATATTATAGATATTTTCATTTAATTTAAATTTTGAAATTAAAATTTTAGGATATTACACTTAATTTCCCTCTCTTTTCTCGTAAATTTTGAAATTAAAATTTTAGGATATTACACTTAATTTCCCTCTCTTTTCTCGTTTTTATTTGTTGAGTTTCTAATTTTTGAAGTGCAATTTGACGGTATTTTCTAATACCCGTATCTTTATATTCGGATTGAGTGACAATTATAATTTTCAAATCCTTAACTTTATAAGTAAAATTCGCTTGAAAATACAGCTATCTTTAAATTAAGCCAAACAAATTCAGTAACCAGAGCCAAAGATTTAGTCAAGTGAGATGCTATTTTACAAGTCCAATAGATTGTGTGAACCTATCAACCATCAAAAGGTAATAGAATATCAATGTTGGGTCAAATAAGGTATAAACTAATAGCCTTCATCTTCAAAAAAAAAAAAAAAAAAAAAAAACTAATAGTGCGCTTCACCCGTTCCAAGCTGTTTTTGATTTTATTATGTATACGGATCAAGATCGCATGAATAGTTGATAGTTATGAGAGTTCCTTTGTCCCATCTATCTCTAGAACCAATGAACCCACGAGAGTTTTGAACTTGAAGAAGATCCCTCTTGCACCTGCAGCTTTGCCCTGGATTTTTAAAGGCACTACCATCACCGTTAACGTTTAATATTTTTCCAAAGTAAAATGTTCATACACATGTATAATCACGGTTCTACTGTTACATAAGTTTTTCCATTTTGAAATGAAAACATGACAAAATACTCTTGATAAATCCAAAAGAAAAAACAAAAAAAAAATTGCCTGGATTTCTAAAGGCACTACCATCACCGTTAAGTTTAATTTTCCAAGTAAAATGTTCATACATGAAATCACGGTTCTACTGTATAATTTTTCCATTTTGAAATGAAAACAATGACAAATACTCTTGATAAATCCTAGATATAATGTAATGGATTGGAGGGAGAGAAACAACATCCCTAACCAAATTTCTAACAAAAAAGGTCATCTTACTTTCATTGCCATCTCTCCAAACATAATCAAATTTCTAGTGATAAGTGCATATACAACCTAGCAATAGATTCAGGTTTCTCACTTAATACCGTTACCTTTTCAATGAATTATTGTTATTGTTGTTGGAATTCCTTTTTTTTTTTCACATAAATTGATTATTTTACCTTTTTAATTTTTGATTATTTTTTAAGATTTTCAATAATCACACTTACTATTTGTTAATTAACACTACAATAAAAAAAATTCCTTTTGTGATTTTAAATTTGACAAGATAAAAAAAATAAAAAAAAAAAGCCTATACATTAAAATTTTCGGGTCAACATTTAAACTAAAAGTTATACATCTTATAGAAATGGACAGATTGTTAGGCTAGGAAGATCTATATGTCAGGATCTATAATTTAAGACTCCACTATTCTTTTTACCAAACAACAGGGACTACTAGGTGTGTTAGTTTAGGACTACTAGTTGTGTTAGTTACTGACCCCGTTGGCTTGAGCCAACTGTCAGGTGTTGACGTTCCGATTTAAGACACTCCTGAACACTGATAGGAGAAGCTGCCTCCTTCTTATAGAATCGTAGCATTGTGGTCTCAGCCACAACAGTAGAGCACGAACAGCCAATAAAATGGACCGTGGCTCCTAGACAACAGTCAATATTTAGACATTATACGTAACGGATTACTATCGTGAAGGATCGGATGGATTGCTATTATAAAAGATAGAACCTGGATAAAACAGACAAATAGAAGATGGAACCTGGATCAAATAGGCAGATGATCAATAGTTTTACCACTAGATGAGTTCTTAAGAATAAAAGAATATATATATTAGTTTTACTACAATTTAGCGAATCACAAAGTTTTTTAAAAGATTGACAACCCTAAAAAAATAGTTCTAATAGTTAAGCTATAATAATAAATAAATAATTTTAATATTTGAGCAAGATTTTGCTTTAAGAATTATTAAATTCAACTTCTACTTATATAATTTATACACATTATGATATATACTCATTAATTCAAAAACATTCTTAATAAATTAGACAAAGCCCTTAAATATATACTAATTTAAAATTTTAAAATAAAATTTTTTGATAGAGAATCTTTAAAAAAAAGTAAAAATGTAACACATAAATAAAAAATAAAAAAGCAAATATAATCCTATAAAAAAAGGTCTGTCAATAGGGTAGAATATGAAGAGACGACACAGAAAAAAAAGGTAAAAAAAAAAGATAAATTACATAATTAAGTTATGAAAGTAACTACAAATAAGATATTCTAAAAAAAAAGCACAAATGTAACTGCAAATTAGACATAATTAAATAAAAGAACAAGGAAATATAATTCTTTAAAACAGAAAAAAAGAAATTAAAGAGTTGAGTTATTAATTTAATAAATATAATTGTTTGACTTATTAATTGAAAAAAAATCATTTATATTGTTAATGCTTTTTTTAATAAAAAAATTCAAAAACATTTATCAATTATTTTTTAAATAAAATTTAGATTAACATTATAAAAACATTTATCAATCATTTTCCTACTTATTGAACACTACTTTACAAAATTGGGATCCACGTAATTCTCACATGACCACACAAGCATTTGGGTTCTCATCGCTAAAAGCACTGACGGTTTTAACTTCAAAAGAGCTTGCACGTGCGAGTGGAGGAGGCTCCGGCTCATCTAGCACATTCCGCACGTACCCAGGTGGGGCCTTCTTATCATAAGCTCCAGGAGCGTAAGGGTGAGGCACGACATCATACGGTACGTAAGGCCAGAAATCAGCCTTCTTCCCCGTATGATGTCTGACACGTTGCAAGACCTTGTTTGGGTCTACGTATCCAGTGACGGTCAGCTTGTGTTGCTTGGGGTCCACTTCTACATTTGTTACTCCCTTCATGCCTTCTACTGATTTCTTCACTTTCCGCTCGCATCCTTCGCAGTCCATTCTCACTTTAATCTCCACCGTCTATTAATATCATGAAACACAGAAGATGTATTTTTGAAAAATCGTTTGGATTGATAGAATTTAAATAATAGAATATATACCTTCTATAAATTTGGTAGATTCCTTCATTTAGTTGAAAAAAATAAAAATTGACAAGTTTTATCATATAATAATAATAATAATAATAATAATAATAATAATCAAAAGATAAGCTTGCTCCTTTCAGTAATTAATGCGCGCAAAAATAAATAATAAAAAATCAGTAATTCTTTCTTATTTTAAACGGAGGATACGTTCTGTTTATACTGAAATCATATTCTAATAAAAATAAAAAATTTAAAATAAAAAAATTTATATATATGTTTAAATTAAGCATCATTATTCTAATAAAGATTTAAATTTAAAAGAAGAAAAATCAACAAAAATTAATTTTAAAATATCATTAAAAAGTATATATAATTAATTACCTTCAATTGCTTCCTTTTGAGCTTCTTATCACGATCATCACGAGAGCAGAAATCCAGAAAACCCATAATCACAGCAATGGCAGTAAAATTTTTGTTAGTTAACATCAAACAAAAGCAAAGGGAAGCTATAAATACCACGAGCTTGAGCTGCTAGCGTGGCGCTGTTGTGGATAACCACGTCTGATCTAAGTATACGTGGACAATTATAAGCTATTACATGTCATTATCTTGTCATCACTCGGATCCTCTAGACTTTTCCTACCGTTAGACAGCTAAAAAGGTATATACTGGTATCTCTCTCTCTCTCTAATTTGTGAATGTATATAATTATACATTCTGCACTGGTGACAGAAATTAGCATTTGAATAAACATTAACAACGCGTTACTGCATGTATAAGTATTCGATAGGACCTGATATCATTCCAACCACAGAACTTAATTATTATGTTACAAAGTATTTTCAATTTTGTTGGTTTTTTTTTTATTAAAAAATTTAAAATTTTCATTGTTGTTACTTCTCATCATCATCATCATTATTATTATTATTAAGAAAATTGTTTAGAAATGTTTTCATTGGGTTGTGGTTTGTGAAAATCACTGTACAACTATGTTTGTAAGTATATTTAATTTTGTTTGATATTTTCTCTTAAATAGTTGTATTTTATTTACAATTAATCCTATTATTTATTATTTTTTTGACTCGTAAGTTTATATTGAATCCATATCTAGCCGTGTATTCACATTTGATGATTGAGTTGAGTAAAAATATTTATTCGCTCATATTATGAGTTGGGTACTTTAAATTGATAAATATAATCCACGTGCACCTCTAACTGATAACTACTGGTCGATAGCAATTTGCTAATGAATATTAATGTTCGATAAAATTTTGACAGAGGTTACTAATAAAATTTAAAATGACTGTTAAGAAGATAAATATTTTTATACATTATGAAGGGCAATATACATATATTTTTTAATTTCTAAGATGAATATATTATTTTTTTTTTATTACATATCATATAAAAAATATTGACTACATTTTTAAAAATAGTAATTTAGTAGAAAATTATTTAAATATTCAAAAATAAAATGATCTATCTATACCTAATTTCTATATACAAGCGGTAGCCTTATTATTTCTTTCGCTTCTAATTTTTTATTTATTTTTAATAAACTTAGATCTATTTTTTCAATGATAAAACTGCTTTTCTATTATTGCTTTCTCTCTTTATTTGAAATTTTTTTTTATCTATTCTTTTGAATTATTACATAAAAATATGGTGTTTGATTTTATTTAATTGGAGAATTTAGATCTTAATTTGTAGATGTGGATCTTCGAATAATGGAATCTAGTAGTGCCACACGTTCTTTCACTGTTATTGGTGCATAATAGTGGGAACTCATTATTGTATGTCATATGTTACAAGGAGGGCTGTAAACGACCCGAGCTTTGGTGAGCTCAAGCTCGGCTGTGATAAGGATATACTCGAGTTCGAGCTCGACTCATTTAAAAATAGCCAAGCTCGAGCTCAACTCGATAACCATAAATGAGTCAGCTCGAGCTGGAACTCGAACTTGAAATCTATTAATCAAAATGACGCCGTTTTAATATAGTTTTTAATTGATTTTGTCTTCTTGAGCTAGCTCGTGAGCTCGATACGGCTAGTTCGTGAGCTCGGCTCGATAAAGTTGACTCGCGAGCTAATGACCCAAGCTCGAGCTCTGCTCATTTATTAAACGAACTCGATAGCTCGGCTTGATAAGCTTATTGAATGAGTTCGAGCAAGCTTTTACCGAGCCGAACCCTGAGTAGCTCATGAGTGCTTGTCCCGTTACAGCCCTAACTACAAGTTTTTGAAAAACAATCAATGTATAGAAAGAGAAGATATTTTATCATCCAAACCAATTTAAGGACTAGTTGCTACTATGAATATTTATATCTTTTGTTAAATATCATATCCGAGCAAAAAAATCTAATGTAATCTCTTTTAATTTTGGTTTTATTATTTAAAAGAACATAAATAATTCTTTGGTTTGTTAAAAAATAATGAACTCAATAAGCTATGACTACTAGTAATATTCTCATGCCGTGCACGGTTAAAAAAAATTTAAACAATTAAGAACAAATAATATAATGTATATATGGGTTGTTGATAGATTTCGAATAAAATTTTTTATATTATACTATTAAAATATATAAATAAAGATAGATGAATAATAAAAATTGCACTCATGATTTTTTAATAATGAAAATGAAAATGAATAGATAAACACGTATCGAAAATAATGGAGTTTATAAAGGTAAATAAAAAAATAAAATAAAAGGAGAATTAATTAGTTTGATTTATTTTATAATTAATACTATAAAAAAAACTCCCAACATCACTAAAATCTACAAATTTAATGCAAAAAATAAAAAATTATTTAATTTACTTTCAAATTATTTATTTTAAAACTATTACAAAACAATAATCATGCTATCGTTTAAATTCATAAATTAAATAATTTATTTATATCATTAAAAGCTATATAAGTTACTTACTTATACTAAATATAATTTAATTTAATCAATAAACAATCATAAAATCAGTTTATTTTCAAATAAATATAAAGATAAATAACTAAAGCACATGTTAGTACTATGAAATTTAAATTATACAAAGCCAAATAATAATAAAAATTACACATGTCACTTATTTAGATTCCTAAATGGCAGCACCAAAGGAAAACCAGCCTGCTTTATATGTATATTTTTTGATTTGATAGTTTATGGCTACAAAAACATGTCTAAACAATCATAAAATCAAGTTTTATTTTTTCAAAATAAATATAATAGATAATAAGCTAAAGCAACATGTTAGTACTATGAATTTTAAATTATACAAAGCCAAATAATAATAAAAATTACACATGAGCTGGTCACTTATTTTAGATTTCCTAAATGGCAAGCACCAAAGGAAACCAGCCCTGCTTTATATGTATATTTTGATTATGATAGGTTTGAATGGCTACAAAAAAATCATGTTAAAATAATTTTGTTAAAAAAGGAAGACAAAAAAATGTTGGTAATAACTTTTAATTCTATTAAGTGAATTAGTGAAAATAGTTGAAATATAGAAAATTCTAAACTTAAAACAAATGATTAATATATTTAAAAGCATGGACCAATAATCTTTGTCAAGAATACAGAAAAATATAGAGATACAACTTATACATTTTATTTCTAAAAAAGCTAAAGCGTTTCTTGAGGATAAATAATTTAAAATTTAAAAAAAGTACATTACTACACAATTTAAAAAAAAAAATAAACAGAAACGTTTAGATAGGAAACGTTAAAGATACATTAATGGTTGTTAGAGGAAATATTTGTTACTTTGCAAATTTGAAAGTAAAGCTTTATTACAAAGCAATACATTAATATATTAATTGAATAATTCACTGTTATTAAACTTTATCATTTTTTAAAAATTAATAATTAATAATAATCTTAAAGTATAATACATTAAATAACCAAATCAAACCAAATCAAAACACTAATTTTAAAATAAATCCAAACTAAACCAGTACATTAATACAAATTAATAATAATTACTTAAAGCTATTAATACATTAAATAACCAAATCAAACCAAATCAAAAACACTAATTTAAAATAAATCCAAACTAAACCAGTACATTAATACATTGAATAATCAAAGCAAATTAAACCAAAAACACTAATTCAAAATCAATCCAAACCAAATCAAAATATTAATACATTAAATAATCAAATCAAACCATGCCAAGTGGAAGTCTAATTGGAGGAATATACCACATATCAAATTAAAATGTCAAGTGAATATACCACATGTCAACTTTCTAGGGAATAAATGCTTGCTTTATATATATATATATATATATTGATTTATGATACTTGATATTATTATTAATGAATTGTATACAAATAAAATGATCAAAAATATTAATTTAAAAAAAATTACTAGTAATTATTTTTATAAGATTAATAAAGTCTAAATATAATATGAATACAAATCAGCTATCAATTAATATGAAAAAATTGTAAAACGTAGTTGATGAAATCAAGAGCTGATTGAAACTTCTGTCAATTATCATCACTTGCTAATTAAAAAGTCAGTTATCATTACTTGCTGATTAAAAAGTTCATTGAACACATATAACCTAACTGTTAAATATGAATCAACTATCAGGTGCATGAATTAGTTAGAACCAAACTTTTGATCTTATAAGGAGAGAATCGTTAGCATCAAAAGGTACTTAAGGGAGAAATTTTCTTACCTTTCTCTTCAAACCAGTCAAAACATTCAATGTAAATGTGGCCTCTGCCTAACTTAAAGTTGGACTGGAAATAAATTCTTTTGCTACTCATTTGTCAAATTGTTCCACTACTTTAGGAATTATAACTTTGAGCCCTATTGTTGCCTGTGCTCTCTTAAATCTCAATGTCCTGAAACTCTCAATAGTTTCTTTCCTATAACTCTTTTGGTCTTTGAGAGCATTGTGTTATTAATCCATAAATAACAATTGACTGGTGAGTGATCTAGTAGGATTCTGTTCTATTAGGCATGCCAAAGTTTATTATAATAAAAAAAAATCGATTGGCTGATAGCTTGAAACGTGGATTGCAGGTTAAGCGATAAAAATTCTCCACTTACTATAATTTGTAAATTAAGGAACTGAAAATTATAAAAAGAGTTTATATGCATTGGATAAAGTACTTTGCACACAAATAAATGTACTGAAAATGTAAAGACAACTTATATAGTAAAATAAAGGGACTAACTAGAAATTGTAATGAGAGCTTAAAAAGTAAATAACAATAGTTTGCATTGCCAATGCTGATGGCAATGAATAACACTATTCACCTGAGGGTTAAAAGACAATTGAGTCTCTAAATTATATCCAAATTAATATTTAAATTCACTTATGCTCGAGAAATGACTTTGAGTTATAACATCTCTATTTGTGTTTTATGTCATTATCACATGTCCTTCGGTGCAAAAATTAAGCTCTTTTCGTCCGGAAAGTAAACATCTTCCATCTAAAGTGTATGTCCAACCAATAGTAAAGAACTCATTTCTTGGATGAAAAGACCCAATCATAAGACCAAAGGATAAATTAGAAATGTCATAATTATTTTTCAAATATAGAGAAATTTAAGTGTCGATTTGAATATTATTTACAGACTCACTTATATTCAAATATAAAAATGCTTAAAATCTAAAAAATTTTAGCATTAAACCACAATTTTCATCGAAAAACCAAAACAAAAATAGTGTAAACATCTTGAGGAAGCGCCCTGTCAGTCATTTGGGGTGCCTTCATCTTCCTCAGGCCTCACAAAGAACTCAATAAAAGCTATTCGACTAGGCTGTTGATAGCCAGCAGAATCAATGTGTTGATGTGAATTTGATAGTCTCCCAACTGAAACCAGGTGCTGAACTTTCAACATTCCACCTCTCCCAATGGTCAACTTGCTTCCTCTGTTCTCTTTAATAACGGTACCGGGTATGTTAGAAGTAGTTGCCCTAAGGAACTTGTATTTATACCTGCACACAAATAACAGAACCGGAAAGATTTAATTAAAGACTGGTGCCTTTGATGTAACAAATCAAAAACAATTGAAGATACCTATAAGCAACTTGGTGATCACAGTGAAATGCAATTAACAAATCAGTATTCACATAGTACATGAAGTCTATCTGCAAAAAAAGAAAAAGAAAATGTTTAGGCTAGTAGATGGTCAAGTATTCTGAGGACGACTTGCTTGTATATGATTCACACCTGCAAATCTCCATGGCCTTCAGCTTTGAAGGTTACAGATGGGGGTACTGGTTTTAGAATAATCTGGATGCTGGCTCCTGGCCATTCAAGATCATCGATAGCTTCCTTCAGTGCTGCAGACTGCATTGCAAGTATGAAGAATTCAGCATTCCTTAAAGGAGGATGCATTTGATGGGGAAAAAAAAAAAAGATGCTCAATAAGCATGAGTGACTCCATAAATCTTACTATCAGAAGACCACATAAATATTACCTATTATATCAGTTGCTTGAATAGATATCATCCAAACAGATTCATAGGTAATGTAACAAGAGAATCTTCAATCCTATTGCAAGAACATAAAAGGACTGGTCAAGAGCTCATGGGCATTTGCCAGGATACATGCTACTACTGCATTCCTTGAAGCTTGAAGCTCCAATAAACGACATTCAGATGAAAAACAGTGAATGGAGTATTGAAAAAGTAATTAACAGAACTACTCAATGACTTCGGAAATGAATCGGGATGCAAGAAGAAAAGCAAAGTTATGATAGCATTAGATTCCTCGATCAAATAGGTTCACGACAATTCACTCTCAAAAAACCCAAAAAGGCATTAGGTGATTAGATCCCAACTCTTTTAGGAAGCAGTAGAAACCCCATCTCACTATCAACTATTTTCTTCCATAAGATGCATGCTAAATTCATAATTTAAATTTGAATTAGTAATATATTTATACTAAAGTGTGTTTACTGCAATAACATAATGCATGTCCAGAGTTTGTTTTTAGGATGTAGAAATCTAATATTCTAATGCATGTATTACATAATATTACATTGAACCATATTCAATGAATCAGCAAGTTCTTGAAAGAAATTACCATCAAAAGCCACACTGTAATATTTTTTAACCAAGAGAACACTATATGAGAAAAATGAAATGGTACAAGTACCCAAGTAAACATGCATGGTGCAAACACATGAGAGACTCAAGGGCAAAAGTGAGACCAAACTGGTGGTTTGCTTACATGTAAATGCATATCTTAAAGTATACCTTAACAGTAAAACTTAGTGGTGTACTTCCTGCAGGTTCAAAGTTGTAGTCCCATGAAATTGTATCTGGAATTCTTGTCCTGATTTCCGCATAAATACAAGTATCTGGGGAATCAACAGACCTAAACATTGAGGGATAGTATGAGTTATAGCAGGATTCATGGACTTTAAATCTAAATACAAGAAACTCTTGGATTGTGGAGTGCTGTTGCCCCTCAAATAGGCATTTCTTATTAAACTTCCTCCAAAGAAACATGACAATCTCTTGCACATTAGGATTTTAAACAAAATGGATCAATGATAAACCATTCTGCTTAACCAAACAGATTTTAAACTTTTGACAAATGACATCTATTTCAATAGGGAAAACAAAAGTGTAAGGAGGATGCCATTTATTCCAATTTGGAAAAGAAAAAAAAAAAAAAAGCATAAAGAAGAATATGTAAGTTTCATTTTGAACATTTAAAAAATTTACATTTTGGGTATTCAATCAAACAATTAGTTGACATTAGGGATTTGATATTCACAGAAGGCCTAACTGCAAAGAACCACTTATACTACAATCCTCCAAAGTATCAATTTGAATTGCATTTTATTCTTGAACATCCTTGCTGCATATGAGAATTAGAAATGGTTTATTCAGCTTTTCAGAATGCAGATGAAGACCAAAACATCCTTGCTTTTATACTTCAACATCCTTGCTACATACAAGATTTTTGAAATCTAATAATTTTTTGGGTAAGTCTCAACTAAAGTATGCTAAGTAATTGTAGCACAAATGAGTGTTTTATTTCCTTAAAGTCCCATATGATGAACCCATGTCCAATAAATCTAATACCCTTTACCCTAAATATTCTAAGTAGCCAAACCGCAATTAGTCACATTTTGACCTGAAAAACTCTGTTGATCAAGCATTCTAGGTCTAGAAATTCTCAATTAAGGAGTATAGATAAGTAGAACATCTCCATACTTGAGTAGAAGCTGCATGTCTGGTCCAGGATATTGAATTTCAATTGCAGTTGCATGTCCAGGAACTGAAAATGTGTTCAAGCAATCAACAAAAAGCCCCAAGCTCAATCCAAACCTAGGCCGTCCTTGAGCATTATATTCATATCGAACAAAAAGCTACAAATATAAATCAAAACTATTCATCAATTAGACACCAATAGGGAAGCTCCCTGCTACAGGGGGGACAAAAAAAGAAAACCTACTTTTCTCAACTCATGAAAAAAAAAAAAAAAAATAGTTACAAAGTATTCATCAATTTAGGACACCAATAGGGAAGCTCCCTGCTTACAGGGGGACAAAAAAAGAAAAACCTACTTTTCTCAACTCATGAAAAAAAAAAAAAAAACTACTTACAAAAGTTTAGAAAACATCCCATTTCTTTAGTTTTCAATTGTTTCTCAACAATTCAAACAAAAAGTTTGAGGTTTTAGTAAACAAAAAAAAAAAAAAAAAAAAAAAAAAATGAAACAAAAAAAAAAAAAAAAAAAAAAAAAAAAAAATGAAAAGCAATCAATTTCTTGGTTTTGGTACCTCTTTTTGGAGATAAACTTTTGCTTGAAGACAACCTATCTCCTCAACTATCAAAACAATGCCATGCTCAGATAATTCCACTACCGCGTCCTGTATCACATCAATATTGGATAGAGAAAAGAAATGTTAGAACCACAAAAAATCCTACAGGTCCGTGCAGCATAAGCAACTTCTAAATAGACTCTATTATGTCCTTTTGGTCCCAGACCTGATGGCGTTTCCATCGAACAGCGGAAAATGCATCAACCATGCCTTGCACATTGTCCATCTGGCACACCAAATCAGGTGCCTCCGGCTCTGTTGCTGATGAATTCATGGTCTTCTTAATCAATCAAGTGTTTTAAATATTGCATATTCAAACCTGCATATATGTGAATAAATTAATAATTTGATACACAAAGATCCAATATCAAATTGATTTTCTGTTATTAACATCATCATATACAATTAAGATCTTCATCCAATCAAATTGTAGGAAGTCCCAAAAAATCACAAACTAAGTTCAACTACTAACAAACAAAAGTTTGCATCAGTAAAAGAATATCAATTTGCATCTGCAACCCAAAAAATGTTTCTCAATCTGCTTGTTGGTATCTGAAACCAAATGTTTCCCATCTTCCACTCTGCTAAATACACCAATTCACCATGCTTCAACTCCATAAGTGGTTGAATGCCACACAAACACCAAAACCGATAATGATATCTCAAGAACCACAGAATTGTTTCATATTTAATAATTAGAAAAGTTAAAATAGATATCATCACGTCAATATATCCATTGAAATAACGAAACATAGCTTGCTATTTTGCAAATTCCATAGCAAAAGAATACTAGTTTAATTTAAAGGTTCATTCGAATAAAAATTAGGTGATATTGCATATGCTAAGAGCTCAACAAAAAGGCTCATCCAAAAAAATAAAAATGAAAATAGAAACTGAGGGGTAGACTGAAACTCATACCATCTCTAGCAATCTCAACTCCACCAAGTTCGAGCATAGAAACGACACGGCCTCTCCAATTTCTTTCCTGAGTAGTAGAGAGAGCTGAGTCGGGTTACAGCACTGTATTGAGTTTCTGAGAAAGAAAACGTACCGCCCTTACAGCACTTTCCCTGGATCTTCAAGACCGCTCTGTTGCTCTAAAACTAAAAGTAATGGGCTTTGGGTTTTCGCAAGACAAAACTTGATTTTGAATTGGGCCTTCCTGCTCCCTTTTGGGCTTTTAATTTTGAATTAATAATTTCAACAACTATTTTTTTTAATCAGAAAAAAATTCCAAAGAACAGCTCCATAAGGTAAATGTGAATGTTGACCATTTGAATCTTTTTCTAAAATTCCTTTTTTACTATGTTTTCATTCATTTTTATTATTCCTCCCTCTCTAAATATAAATTCTTTAATTTTTATACATTGATTAAAAAAATACTAACTAATTTTTTTATATTATAATAAAAATATTGATTGATATGACTAAATTACTTTTTATTTCACATTAGTAATTTTAATGATTTAAAAAATTATAAAACTAGTTAACATATATAAGAATTTAACTGAAAAAAAATTATCAATCACTCCTTAATATTCGTAAAGTGATAAATATTTATAGATAAAAATATTATTTTAAAACTTGTATTTGTAGATAAAGAATATATATATATATATATATTTAAATAATTGTAAACTATAATTTGTGCTTTTTCATTTTTTTTCTTCTCTTTGTGCTTGTATCTTTCATTAGTGGAACTTTGCCGTTTAGAATTGTCCATAAACGTTGACGTGGCAAAGCATGAGTGGCCCTCCATATGCAATTCCGTCACGGACCGCCGAGGGTCGCATTGCTTACCAAGATGAACATAATGGATGGTCTAGATTCGATCAGCTAAATTATCTTTGCCAACGGTAGACCTGAAGACCACAGGATCACACCGATCCAGAATAGCAGCTAGAAGTACTTGACAGGCAGTTGAGTTTCGTTCGAAAACAATCAAGTCAAAACGCAACTTCGGTTTGGATTCCAAGATCGTTTAAGGGAGAGAGCGAGAATGATCGCAGACGGGGTGGAAGACGAAGAGAAATGGCTGGCGGCAGGGATCGCCGGCTTGCAACAAAACGCTTTCTACATGCATCGCGCTTTGGTAAACCCTATTTTTTCACTTCAATTTGTTTCTTTCTCTGAAAACGCTAACTTTTCTCTCCATATAAATCCTTTGGTTAGGATTCGAATAATCTCAGAGACGCTTTGAAGTATTCAGCGCAGATGCTCTCTGAGCTACGGACTTCGAAGCTTTCTCCTCATAAGTATTATGAACTCTGTAAGATCTAACTTGCAGATTGAATTTTATTTTACCCCTATCAATGGAATTTATATTTAGAGGTTTTAATTGTGTTTATGGTTTGTGTTTGAATGCATTAGACATGCGAGCATTTGATGAATTGAGAAAGCTGGAGATTTTCTTTAAGGAAGAGACTAGGCGTGGTTGCTCAATTATTGATTTGTATGAGCTTGTGCAACATGCTGGTAACATATTGCCAAGATTGTAAGTTCATTTTCATTTTTAATTTACTTTTATTTTTATGCTTTAATGAGCTTGTTTGTTTAATTTTATGTGATTTTGTTTACTTTCTTTATGAATCAACTACCACTCAAAAAGTGCATTTTCTATTTATTATGCCCTTCAGATATGTTATTTTTGTAGCAATATTCGTGAAATCATCGCTGTACTTCTATTTGCTGCTTGATTCATCCTGATTTTGATTCTTGATTGGTAAATGCATTCTGAGAGTTGTGATTCAAATTCACTTCTTGTTATGTTTAATTGTCAATTATCAGAAACAGGAACAAAACTTTATTCTTCAAATTTCAGATTTCCAATGGCAACAGGTTCGTGGATATAATTTATCCATGGTTGTGATGAGAGCTGGTCTTTTAAACTTAGGGGAGTGACGTGATGTTTTTGATTCTTTTAGTTCTGTGACGCTTTTTGGTACTTGTCAAGATTAAGAACCAAGTTGTATGCCTCTCTTTGGCCGTCATTATCTGAATGACATTGCCAGCATTGTTGTCTTCAAGTGAATTAGTTTGCCTTGGAATTCCATGTACTAATACTCTTACTCTTCGCATGCGTGACCTGAACTCCTCCAAACATTTCAATAGAAATGTGTGAAGAGAACACCAATAGAAATGCTCATAGAACTGTATAGTAAGCAGTCAACTTAAGGGCTTCATTGGTTAATTAACTAATTATCTTAAAACATAATTAATACTTTTTTGCTGGGTAAGAAAACTACCAAGCTTAGTCCCAAACTAGTTGGGGTCGGCTATATGAATTCTTTGTTTCACTTATCCGCTATGAGCAAGTTAATATCAATGCAAAGCAAAGTATAAGCCGGAAATAATTTGAAACTACGTGAATCTTTTGCCTCCGTTCTATTTTGTTCATAGTTATATCCTCATTAATATCTAAATATCGTAGATCCTTAGCAACAACTTCCTTCCAAGTAGTTCTAGGTCAATGTCTTCCCTTTTTAGCATCCTCTACTATTAAAGTATCACATTTGCTGACCGGGGCATATTGGGGGGTCTATGTAATATGTGACCATACCGTCTCGTGTCTTTCTCTCATTTTATCTCCAATTTCCGCTACTTGCATCTTTTGTCTACTGTTAACCTTAAATATGTGTTGGCCTTTTATCTTCAAGGTTGGGTCTCATTTTGCTAGGCATTGATCTTAAATATTCCCTAACAGATGCTAGCATTCTTTTTTCTTTTTATCTTCAAAAGAAAAATAAAATGTCACAACTAAGCAATTTGAGAGTTTTTGTATATGCAATTCCTAGTTTAGTTATGCTGGCACCATGTTGAAGATTTTGTATATAACTGACAAGGTTAAAAGGATTGGCAATAGTTCCAAATTGGACCCAAGGTGCTTTTTCTTTTTTGGTCATTAACTCTGACATCGTTGTTATTGGGTCTCACCTGTTGTTTTTGGACCTTCATAAGTCAGGATTATTTGCTTATGCCCTTTCAATCTAAGCTACTTGACTTCTAAAATACATGATATATGCCTGACTAGTTTTCTATCTGCCAAATCTGCTTTCGTAAATAGGAATTGACCAAGCATAGGGGCCTGAAAATTTGATACACATACATCTATATGTGTGCCTGCATGTCCGCTATATGCCAAATCTGCTCTCATAAAGAGGCATTAACTGAGCTTGTGTAGCATGCTGGTCACCAGGCATACGGACATGAAAATTTGATACACATACACATCAAAATTTTTGTTTTTTGAGGCCAAGAATCTTGATAAGCTTGATTTAATTAGAGACTTGAATGATGGTAGGTGACCTCCTCCACAAATCCAATTCTTTTTTAAGCTACCAAATTAAATCGTGTGGGCCGAATTCTTCTTTCTTGCTTCCTATAAAGGAATTCTATCTCTGTCCTTTCCTCCCTCTGATCAGCTGGACCTATATTAGCCCAAGAACTGCTTCCTGGTGCCTTTTCCCCTTTTTTTCATCCTTAGCTTGGCTTGTGGAAGGGCTACTCTTGAAAGGCTAAAGCTGTAGTAATGTAGATAGGCTGATAATTTAGGCTTTTTGTAAATTTGTATTGATCCTTTGGTTTGAACTTCAATTTTTTATGAAGTAGCTAAAATATTAATCGTCATAAGACATGAAATCTTTAGTGGAAATAACTATTAATTTCCTCATTCAAGAAGCTGCACCAAAATAATAAGTTCTTGAGAGAATGTAAATAAATGCTTGCATGTGACATGCATAATTCTTGCAGTAAGCATCTTGTGTGTTAGATTGCTTAGAAAAAGATGTCAGTCCATATAATGAATGTTATTTGTCTGAATTCTCTTACTACTTTGCGTCTTATTCTATGTTTTCTCTTCCATTTTTCAGGTATCTCCTTTGTACTGTAGGATCAGTATACATCAAATCTAAAGAAGCTCCTGCAAAGGATGTTCTGAAGGATCTCGTTGAAATGTGTCGTGGAATTCAGCATCCTGTGCGTGGGCTCTTCTTAAGGAGTTACCTTTCTCAAGTCAGTAGGGATAAATTACCTGATATCGGCTCTGAATATGAAGGGTAAGGATATTATATAGTTGTATGCATTCTGTTAAAGGTTTAGGTTAAAAGTTTATTTCTGTGGTTTGGGGAGAAAATTTAGTGCTTTTAGTGTTGAAGACCAATTAACTTGAGCAGTTTTAGTCAACGTTGGGCCATGCTTTGATGACCTGAGGGTAGATCTACTTTGTGGTAGCAAAAAAGGGAAATCCATCTGTTTGTTGTACGTACTAAGAAAACATGGATAGCTATCGAGCTTTTGCCGTTCTCATTATAATAGCATGTGTACCCTTCAACTTGAATTATAACACTAAATTGACAGGGGTAGTATTTGTATTGGTTACATTCTTTTATCTTGTAATCCTGTGGTTGATTGTTATTGGGGCTGAAAGATGTACATCGGCTGTTTGACCTCTTCCAGGGATGCTGACACGGTCGTGGATGCAGTGGAGTTTGTGCTGCAAAATTTTACTGAGATGAACAAGCTGTGGGTTCGGATGCAACATCAGGTTGGTTGAAATATCTATGACTACCTGCTCTCATGTTTGGCATGCATCACAATGCTTGCATGTCGTGGAGGTAAAATATATCATGAGGGCATGATTTCTGGTCATGCAGGTCTTATACTGCTTGTGAATCATTCATACTCTTAGCTGATCCTGAGTTGAGGCTTGCTATCGGGCTCTGCAGGGACCTGCCCGGGAGAAGGAGAAGCGGGAGAAAGAAAGGAGTGAGCTGCGTGACCTTGTAATGCCAATAACTCATAAATGGTTAATTTCTGCAATGCAACTGTGTAGTGTATGTGGAGTGCACATGAATGGCTAAGTCTTTGCTCCTGATATTTAATAGGTGGGGAAGAACCTGCATGTCCTCAGTCAGATAGAAGGTGTTGACCTTGATATGTACAAAGAAACTGTACTCCCTAGAGTCCTTGAACAGGTTTAACTTTTATATTTTACTGTTAATGGTATGCATTTTAGTGTTTTTGTTTTCCCCATATGCTGTGTAGTCATACCATGCTGGGTTTTAATTTCAATCATTTTTACAGGTTGTCAATTGTAAAGACGAGATTGCCCAGTTCTATTTGATGGATTGCATTATTCAAGTCTTCCCTGACGAGTATCATTTGCAAACTCTTGAAGTTTTGTTAAGTGCTTGCCCCCAGCTTCAGGTATGAACTTTATATTAATTGTTGTCATGTTGTGATGCATTTGTTGATTTCATTCCCTTTCGGCTTTCAACTATTTATACTGCAACAATTGCAGCTTCTAAGTTCTGTTTCCTTTTGTGCCTTTATGTTTCAAAGCCATCTGTTGACATCAAGACAGTGCTCTCTAGATTGATGGAGAGGCTCTCCAATTATGCAGCTTCAAGTGCAGAAGTTTTACCTGAATTCTTGCAAGTGGAAGCTTTTTCAAAATTGAACAATGCCATAGGAAAGGTAAAATTTGGCGTATAGGTTAAACTTTTCAATGATTAAAAATATTTTGAATTGATTACATCAAGCTGTCTAGAGTATCACTATGGAAGTGCTATGAATTTGCATGTTCTTGTCGTTCCTAGTTTCCATAGACGTTCTGGAGAGCTTGACATTTATTTCTAAATGAATTCCTTACTCGTACTCTTTGCAATTATTTATTCAATTTTCAGTTCTATGATTAGAAAATTTATGTTAAAACTGCAAGTACATACGTATTTGTTGATGCAGGTAATAGAAGCACAGGTCGATATGCCTATTTTTGGAGCTGTGACTTTATATTCATCTCTCCTAACATTTACTCTCCATGTTCACCCTGATCGGCTGGATTATGCAGATCAAGTGTTGGTAAGTCACTTTCTGAAATACTTGTGCTATTGAATTCACTTATATGTTTGTCTTGGAAGTTGGGAAGTTCCTTGTAACTTTGCATGGGCCTACATTTTCTTGTCATGGAAAACAAATTAGATTTCTGTCAGTCTTAGTGCCTATTTTAGATATATTTTTTTGTCTAAGTGATTCTTTGTCTCTATTGATTGTTAGGGGGCATGTATTAAGAAATTATCAGGCAAAGGGAAGCTTGAAGATAGCAAAGCGACAAAACAGATTGTGGCACTCTTAAGTGCTCCACTAGAGAAATATAATGATGTTGTTACTGCATTGAAGCTTTCAAACTATCCTCGTGTCATGGAATACCTTGACAATGAGACCAATAAAGTTATGGCAACTGTTATAATTCAAAGTATCATGAAAAACAACACATGTATTTCTACAGCTGACAAGGTATTCTTCTCTATGTTGCTCATCCTTTTCTTTAAAATAGGTTTTCTAATCAGACTCTTTTCTTGTTATTTATGTCATGTAGGTTGAGGCATTATTTGAATTAATCACAGGGCTTATCAAGGATTTGGATGGAACTCCAGAAGAGGTTATTTGGACTTTACTTCACTTTTTCTGTCACTAAATGTATTGTATAACCATTAGAAATTAAAATTTCTAAGTATCTTTCTTAATTTTCCACCAAGCACATACTGAATTGTTTGTATTTCTAACCAGTTGCTTTTCTCTCATCGTATTCTTCTGGAAACTCAGCCATCACATGTGGTTATTTTTCTCAATGTAAAATCCTTCTTTCTTCCATATCTAGGTTGATGAAGATGATTTCAAAGAAGAGCAGAATTCTGTTGCACGTCTTATTCAGATGCTGCATAATGATGATCCAGAGGAAATGTACAAGGTATTCAATTTATTGCAGTATGTGCTTATTATCTTTTTAAGAAGCAATTGATATGTTGAACATGTCTTCTGCTGTTTTATTTTCTTTTCTTTTTTTATTTTCCGAGAGCAGTTTATCAATTAAAAAGATACATGCAAGTGGAGCTTGACTGTTGCGTATTTCAGTATGTTATTTTTAAACTTTGTCAGTCTTCTCCTTAACATTGCAGATCATATCTACAGTTAGGAAGCAGATCATGACTGGAGGACCAAAGCGTTTGCCATTCACTGTTCCTCCTCTTGTCTTTTCTTCTCTTAAGGTTTGCTTCTTTCAAATAGTGTTTCAGTGTTTGAATTGGTTAAAATTGCTGTTGCGAGTCCTACAATTTGGACAACTGTAATTTATCAACACTGACAGCACACCTCATAGTCAGTTATCTGTTCTGAATCATGCTATATTTCATGGAAATGCAATTGAATAAGCTGCAATAGCCATCTGATAATGAAGGTTATATCTGCTCAGAACCCAATCTGAAGCAACTTGCAAGCCAAGTAAAGGAAAAAAAAAAAAAAAAAAAAAAAAAAGAAAAGAAAAAGTGCTTAACCTGTCTATTTGGAAGCTTGGACCTACATTGTCATCTTTTTGCAATGTGATTTCCAATTTACATAATAAATATTGGGTATTTTTTTTGTATGCAGTTGGTTAGGCGACTGCAAGGCCAAGATGAAAATCCTTTTGGAGATGAAACATCGACCACGCCAAAGAAAATTTTTCAGCTTTTAAATCAGGTACATGTTATTTGAAGTTGTTTGTCTGTCTTTTATGCTGGCATATTGATATAAAAAACCCTATATAAACTATTTTGTTTCAGACAATTGAGGCTTTGTCAACTGTCCCAGCACCTGAACTGGCTTTACGGTTGTACTTGCAATGTGGTGAGGTATAAAGATGCTTGGAATATACCTGGGCTTTTTAGGGTTCCATTTGGCAATCCCACGTCTCATAACCAATATATTTTCATTTTATTTTTTATTGATCAGGCTGCAAATGATTCTGATTTAGAACCTGTTGCTTATGAATTTTTCACCCAAGCATATATTCTGTATGAAGAAGAAATATCAGTAAGTTGATATCCAAAGGAGTAAACAATAAATCTTCATAGAGTTCAACTCTTCAAGTCATTCTACGTGTCATTTTACTAATGGACCTTCTCGTAACAGGATTCCAAAGAACAGGTGACTGCTCTACATTTAATAATAGGGACTCTACAAAGGATGCATGTATTTGGTGTTGAAAATAGGGATACTTTGACACACAAAGCCACTGGGGTAATTATAGCTGCATTTTAGTTTTAATTAATTACTAGTTTCCAGTATTTAGGACTGTTTGTACTGATGTCAAGACTTTTGATTTGAGCAGTATTCTGCTAAGCTTTTAAAGAAGTCTGATCAGTGCAGAGCTGTTTATGGGTGTGCGCATCTCTTTTGGGTTGATGATCAAGATAACATGAAAGATGGAGAGAGGTGGGTAAAATGTATTTAGCATTATATTCATCAGCATGGTCTGATCTTTGCAATTTTACATTGATAGCAACAATTGATCTGTCTTAATGTGATATCTTTTTGAGTATCATGGAGGCATTTCACTAATGAAGAAAGAATAACGAGTGCTGGTCTCTGTTTAATTATTGCTTTTGGAGAATACAAAAGGCTGAGAGGTTGTTTTGAGGAGGGGAGATTGCTGCGAGACAATAATTTTGTCTCCCTAATCAGATAGATATTATTTGTTTGTGTCAGGGTTCTGATTTGCCTAAAGCGTGCACTAAGAATTGCAAATGCTGCACAACAAATGGCCAATGCTGCACGAGGTAGCACTGGATCAGTGACGCTCTTTGTTGAAATTCTGAACAAGTAACGGTTCCTTATCTAATTTTACTGGACTATCATTTCTTCCATGTGAAATAACATTTTTAACTTCTAAGATAGAAACCCTAACCTTAGATGTATTTGAAGGTATCTTTATTTCTTCGAGAAGGGAAACCCACAAATCACGGTTGCTGCAATCCAGAGCCTGATTGAATTGATTACAACTGAGATGCAAAGTGACTCCAGTATGCCAGACCCTGTTGCCGATGCTTTTCTTGCCAGCACATTGCGATACATTCAGTTCCAGAAACAGAAAGGTGGAGCGATTGGTGAAAGGTACGAGGCCATCAAGGTATGACCGGACAAATGGAGTTTCAAATGCGGTTTGCTGCCATTGACTCCGAGTATCCAAGTTTAGTCCAGTGCAATGTTGAAACCTTTTCTGCTTATTGGAACAATACAGAATCATACACCGATGTTTTATTGATGGTTTAGGAAATTAAATACGCTCGAGTACAGTTCAACCATGCCCATTTTGTTGAGGTTTTGGTATATGACACCGTGTTTAGCAATATTGCACCGAGTTGTATCAATTGTTTATTACATAAATCTTTTGTTTTTAAAATATGCTTGGGGGTGTCTTCTATTAACTTCCATATCTAGACAGACAGAATTTTGTCAATGCGCTAAGGCATATGCACTGGACGCTATATTCGGTAGGTGGCCTGTTAATGGAATATGTATCGTTAGACATGATCACATGGGGGCCCACTCATGAATTCACTGTGTTCTGTGGTGTTTATTAATTGGCAATTACATGAAAATTACCAATTAGCCAGTTGCATATTATGTCTTGTGGATCCAATTAAAATGGAGTTCAAGGGCAAGGAAATGCCAAATAAATGTTGTACAGAAACCAACTAATTTTACGTCCCCCGCTCTAGGTTTAAGATCAAGGGATTAGCTTTGTTAGTACATGATTATCCTCTAATTCCTACTTTGCTACTAGCTCAAAAGCTTATGCAGCAAAACATAACAATTAACAAAGTTCAGTGATAATTGAGCTTCATGATTTTGACCTGCAGTTATGGCATCTACATTGTTTGCTTAATGATTTTCTTAAATGGATTTTTAGCATCATTTTCATACTCAGCATAGATTTTCTTACATATTGGGAAACCCATAATTCTAAGTTGAAGATTAGATAGCAGAATTGAAAATCAAGCAAAAGTCTATTAGAGAAAAGCAAAAACGTTGAATTCATTTAAACTGACAATCAATAATGGAAAAAATGACATGGTGATGGAAGAAACCTACAATTTATATGAAAAACTAGCAAGCTGCTAATAAACTGAGCATGAAATCCAATTCCAAGCCCTTGAAATGATAGAGGAATAGATAGAATCCATGTGAGGCAAGGTTGTTTTCCTAACTGGATATTCCAGTCTATGAATACATAATTAAAACATATCAAAATCGGGACGTAAGAGAAAGAGGTGGGCAATTACATAACCAAATTCAACAATTAGACATCCACAATAATCCAAGAAACCAAAATCAAACCACCTCATGCTTCGCAGAGATCCTAATTACAGTCTGGGACAATAATTGAGCTTCTTTTAAGAGCAATGGAAAGAGAAAAAACGAGGAAGAACGTGGGTAATGCAGAGGCCGTTAACTCCTTATATACCCATTTCAATCACAATATGGAACAGGCCTTTTGCGCTTTATTCTTCTTTTTCTTCTGCTTGGGCGGTTGAAGGACAACTCTGATAGCTGCATCGAAAACTCCCTTCACATTCTACAGGAAAAAGTATTACGAATTTTATATGCTTTTGATGACATTCAAGAACTATACAACATAATACCCTGATACATGGGAATTCATATACCTGCTGTGTTTTCGAACTGCATTCGATATAAGCAGGTGCATTAATCAGCTTCCTCAGTTCCTCTCCCTTTTAAATAGAAAAATAATGATACTAATGGTTATGAAATAGGAAAGGAATATTCCAGGTTAGCTATTCTAACATGAATAAGTATCTACCTGAACTGCAGTAATGGGTACAGCACCAGGATGGTCTATAAAGAACTGTTTATCATCCCTAAGATCTGGCTCATTGAAAAATCACAGGAAAATGCAAGGATTATAAACTCGAGAATGTAAACGGTATTACATAGTCTGCATAGAGCAGCCCATGATTAAACAAATAGGTAACAGATGAAATAATAACTAATGATGATGAAGTAAACTAATTGCTTCCTAATTACAAAGGAAACTACATCTAAAAGCTTATAATGAAAGAAAACATTCTTTATAAGAACTAAATTCAGTGATGAAACTGTTGACAGGGCTGCCAGCCAATATATAGGTCCCATGGCATAAATATAAACTGACGGAAATAAGCTCAAGATAAACTCAAACCAAATCATACATTTTTAGACAGCAATATCAAGCCCCATCAAAGTGGAGTTCAAGTAGGGTTGACTTAATCACATGGAACCATTGTCCTCAATATATCCATTTAAATAATCCTCAGAGAAAATAGTATCATCATTCTGATAAATATAGCACCCTCTCTTTCTTCCCTCTAATATGAACATAAAGGTCGACTAAACATAAAAAACATAAAAAGCAATGACCTGGCTTAAAACCGATCCACCTCTTAATAAATAATCTATAAAACACCTATTTATTGTCACTCTCTGCCGATAATCATTTTCCATTCTTATCAGCCATGTGGTGGAATACAATGACTTAAACCTATAATTTCCACCATATCCCTCTCTCTTTCTCTTTCTCTCTCTCCCTCTATCACACAAACATGCAAACACAAAGACACACTCACAGATAAAACCACAAGAGCAACATTGCTAATAGATTTCAATCAAGAGCTTTTTTAGTAAGATATTTTAGCACAACACTCAATTCAGGTAGTAAAATAAACATCTTTCCATAAAATCTAGAAGATAACATTATCCTCCTTGCAAATTAAACTATTAAGATAACAGTCAAGAGAAGGTAAGCCACCAGGAAAGCACATCGCTGCTGCTAAACCATATGAGAATAATTTTGTCAGTGAGCTTTTCCTTGGACAAAAGATGTGCTACCCTAGGAAAACTGAATTTTATAGCAACTTATTGACTTGCACCCATGAATAAGAAAGTTTTGATTACTTATGGAAAGGATTGGCAAGCAGGCCTCCAAATATTGATCATGAAGCCATTGCGGAAGAAACATTATCATAATTCATCCACTCAATAATGTAGAAAGGAAGATGAAAGAAAGAAAAACACGTCTAATATAAGTTTCTAGGGAAAACATACATTTGTAAACATGTCTGCATTAATAACCATTGGAATAATGAACCATCTCAGCAGCATCTAAGGCCCATAATTACATGTAAACGATGCATAGTAGATAATTGAAGCTTCAGATGATCACATTAAGACAAACTAAACTTGAAAGATTTCTGGTATAAGAATCATGTAGAAAAGCAATTGACGGGACTAAATCATCACAATTTATTATTGAAAAAAGAAAAGGTTTATAGAACGGGAAAACAAAAGTATAAGCATATGTATGTGTGTAGATAACCAAGCTAAGTCAATAAGCATATTTGATTCAGATACCAATACAGAGGAAAATTTACCGAGCTTTGTTCCGACAAGAACAATTGGGACCCCAGGTGCATAATGTTTCAACTCTGGAATCCACTGGAAACGAAACCAAATATGGAATGTTATAAAAGTGTTATGATTATTCTTGCACTTAGGAATACTGCAATTGTACTCAAAAAGAATCCATGTAATTATGTAAATATCAACCTTCTTAGAAACATTTTCGTAACTGGCCTTGCTAATGAGAGAGAAGGCCAGTATGAAAACATCAGCTCCACGATAACTCAAAGGTCTTAACCTATTATAATCCTCTTGCCCTGTTCAATTAGCAACATACTCAGACCCAAAAGGAAATAGACTCTACTACGAAGTATCCAGAGTTAAAGGGGAAAAAGCCTGTGAAAATTACCAGCAGTATCCCACAATCCCAGGTTAACAGTGCTTCCATTGACAACTACATTTGCACTGAAATTGTCAAAAACAGTTGGCACGTAATCCTGTTTAACAGAAAGTTCAAGAGGAATTATGGCCAAGGCATGATAAGTCAAACTATTCAATTAAAAAGCTTTTAACAACTTTATAATTTATATAAAAAAAAACAAAATTTATGAAGACAGATTACAAAATATTATTTTGGCATTAATAGGCTCAAGGACAACTGGACAAGAAGCAAAAAATTTGAAAGAGGAATTCAGGAACAAGACATGTTAGAATTGAGAGCAGACCTATTTCATACAATCAAGTTAGATTTTGATGTAATCGCTAATAATAAAAACACCAGTACGTGTCTGTAATGTATGTATTTCATAAAGTAAAGACTTCCAAGTATTTATTCATTTCTACATTTTCCAATAACAGAAGGGAGAAGTATCCTTCTCCAAATAAAAACATCCATAGTTCTAAAACTGAGCCAAAGGCAAAATGATACTAATGCATACATTTCCAATGAAACAATTTATTCATTTCTATAACCCTTTTCTTTTTTTTTCTTTTTTTTTTCCCTTCTAAATTAAAAGAAGCTTTTCCAATGCTTTTGCATTAAGCATTCAAATCGGATAACATAAATATCACGTCCTCAATACCATTCCCAAAGTGAGAAATAAAACTAAAACTTTACAAATGAGCAAATTTCATAATCAAAATTCAAAACTTTAATCTATAATCTTAATAATTCCATACTCATTTGTAACAAACATTTCCAAATTAGGTATCCCTCAAACAATCGAAATGGGTATTGAAAGACCCAAAGTGCACAATCAATCATAATGCCATGTTTACCCAAAATCCAAAAAGATTATTAAAAAAAGAAAAGAGAGAGGGAGGGATAGAACTACCGTAGGAAAAGTGTTGCTGGTGTAAGAAATCAAGAGACAAGTTTTACCAACGGCACCATCACCGACCGTGACGCACTTGATAAACCTGGAAGCGCTCATTTCTTTTTTATTTTAATTTTTTTTCCTCTCTTCGTTATTTATTGATATTCGTAACACCGAGAATTCAAAAATTCAAGAAGCCTCAGATCTTTTCACCTGAGGACAGTACTGACGCCAAACCCAGAAACCCTAAAACGACCAATGCGAAGAAAAACAGCTTCTTCTTTTTCTTTCTCGTTGCTTCTTCTTCTTCAGTAAGCCATCTGTTCATCGAAAAACCGAAAAAGAAAGAAAATGAAAAAATGTTGAACGAAACCCTAAAACGAGAGAAAATGGAGAGAATAGAAAGAAAAGGGGAAACAAAGAGAGGGAATGTAACTGAAAAGTGGAGAAATTTGGGGAAATTGAGAGAGAGAACAGAGAAAGAAGCTCTTTGGCCGGGAAATTATGCCGTTGAACCGTTCGTTCAGTAAAACCAATCTTCGCCAACCAAAATCTCCGATTCTTTTTCCCGTTTTTTTAATTATTTTAATATTTTTTTCCTTTTTCTTCTCCTTCGTTTTATCATTACGCATTAATCGGATCGCGGGTCGCGAACTGTCTACTCTTCGATTTCGGATACAACCATAACAATTTGGCGGAATAAATAAATTTACTTTCTGAATTTTGAAACTTTGAAGGCACTCTAAATTATATGCATGATTTTTCACATACTTAAATTTGTAAACTTTGATAAAATTGCTGCATCTTTTCATACTAATATTAATATTTTCTCTGTTCTATTTTAATAGCAATATTTATTTTTTTTATAATAATTAAAAAAATGATCGAAACACATAAATTTTACAAAAATATATAATATAAATATCGAAATTGCCCTTCTTAAAATTAAAAAACTATTATTTTATTTTACTAGAAATAACCTAATAAATATGACTAAATTGAAAAAAAAATAATTAATATACTCTTAAAATCCTAAATGAGCATTTAAAATGAAACCAAGTAAAATATTGATCTGTTGTTATTAAGGTAGAACTTTTAGAGCTTTTAACTTTTTTATGTAAAATACTGAATTGATACGTAGTTAATATAAATTTTTAAATAATTATTTTCATATTTTTTAACAATTTGATAAGTATTTAATTGATTTAATTTTATAAATTAAAGTGTTAGATAAAATGATTTTTATAAATTAAAATATTAGATATAATTTTTCTAAGTTAAAGTGTTTGGCTTATCAATATAGATGTTAAAAATGCCACAAGATTAAAATAACCAAATTGATGAATGGATTTATGTATTCAACCATAATAATTGTGATAGTTATTTTATAGGAAAATTACTACTCATTTCTTTCACAAGTTATGAAGTCCTCAAGATTTAGTTTAGTAATATTGCTTAATACCTATCCAAAAATTTCATTCACTAGTAAATGAAAAATTAAATAGTGTCGACCAGGTGTGGTCTAATTGTATAGTGACATTTTAAATATGAAGACATAAATAGTTAAATATTACAACATATTTGATGGTAAACATGGTATTTTTTTTTTTTAAGAGGTAATGACTAAATTGTCTAATGGCACAAAATTTTAAGGGTTTTCCAATTTTTTTTCAAAAACATTAGGGATGAAAAAGTAATTTTAATCAAATCTCTTACACTAATCTGCCTCTTTTATTTTAGAAAATATTTTAAATAAAACTAAATATTTAATCCTTCAAATTTTATAATAATTATAACTTCATTTCTCTTATTTGGTCATTTTGCATCAAGTCATAATAATTCAATAATAAATATAAAAGACTAAGTAATAACAATGTATTTAGTTGTAAAAAGCCAAATAATTGAATATTAGTATTTAACTGTTATAACGACTATCTCTATAAAAATTATTAAATAGATTAACGATACAAAATTTCATAGATTAATTGATTTATTATTAAATAAGAAAAAAAAAATATAATTATGATCAAGCATGAGGATTCAATAATTATTTACCCTAATTAATGTACGGAAATTGTTCAATTCGATTTAACATGTTGCATATATTATAAAATAATTATCTTTAAACGATTTATAAATAAGTAAATTCTCATAAGAATATATGTCTCTTTTTCAAATCATTCTTATTTCTAGTCTGACATTACAACAGTCGACCATTAAGTAATTAATCAAATATGTCTTGCCAAATAATTACATGTCCCAAAATTTAATAATGCTGAACTACAATTCAACTGTGCTTGAGGATTTTCTATGAAGTGAAAATGAGAATGATAGAAGTTGACCACAAATGAACATTTATCCTTGTCGATGAGTTGATCTTGCGATCATGATTTGCATCCTGTAGCCTCCATTTCATACCTGTGAAAGTTAACAGAGCATGCAATAGAGAAACACATAACATGTGCCTTAGGTGACATCCGATGAAATTGGAACCATTACAGAGAAACACACAACGTAATACATAATCAGTGAGTGATGCCATGATTTTACAATGGGGCTAGAAGAATTTTTCAGGGCTATGAAAGCTTGAAGGTTGAACGCAGCATGACAATTAGTAGGCAATTCGGGAGTTAGAATTGATACTATCTACAGTAGGTATTTGCATTTCCTAGTCAGCAATTACAGTTGATAAAAGAGAGCAACAAATTCAAAACAAGTATTTTATCTTTCAAATTAGTACAGATCCAGTGACTCGAGCACTCTGCGAGCTTGGATATGTAGTGCAGTCAGTCTTTGTTCAGGGTCAAGGGTTGAGCCAAATTGACTGGCTGCCCATATCAAGGAGGCCGATTTCTCACCAAGAAGTCGCCTGATGTCTTCATGTATGGTAAGCATCGGAGGTGCTTCCCTACCATTAACATGACCGATGAGTAGCAGCAAGAACTCCCCACATTTCAACCTAGCAAGAGATAAAATCGTTGTACTTTAGCAATAAACTGTGACTCACAATATATACTCAAGCCAAGAAATAAGGAGAAGAAAAAAGTGTAACTTTGACATTCTTAATCAAATCCAAAGTAACCTAGAGCATGAAATGAAAATGGGATTGTGTTATATGTAGCTAGAGTATATTTTGAATAAATGGTGATTTATAAGTTGAATTACAGTATATATATATAATATTATATATATAATATAATATATATATATATATATTATTTTTGACTATATATTAATTAATTAATCATTCATTCATGTTAAATCTCAATGTACCATCATATATTAATATTAAAAAATCTAAAGATATAAAAGAAAGCCAGCACTACTTAATTTTATAAATCATATGGCGAAGCATACTCCTCTAAAAAATATTCAAATAAAAACCCATCGCGCAGCCAAGGATAGCTAAACATTTGGTAATTTTTCCTCGAATATTATATTTCATATGGCGAAGGCATACTTTTCCTTTTTCTTTCAAAAATATTCAAATAAAAACCCATCGGCGCTAAGCATTAGGGAATGCTAAACATTTGGTAATTTTTCCTCCGACCAGGATAAAAGATCCCATGATAAAAAAAACTAATGGAAGATTATAAATGACAAGTAAAAAATGAGCAATGACAACATGTAATGTATGTCATAAAAGAACTAATAAATAAATAAACGGGGAGCACATGAGCTGATGAAAATTTAATATTACCTGAGATTTTCATCCACTTGCTTGTCCCTGATAAGCACTGTTACTTCCTCAATGCCATTACAAACCTCAAAATCCTGAGCAAATAGGGATGTTACATGACAAAACAGAGGTTTTGAATCCATTAAATAACATGATTCAGCAGGTTGAAGAAATCTTAATCTTAGCTGTGATTGCAATAAGTTTTAAAAGTAGCTTCTTTAGACCTAGCAAAGTACTAGAATGACTTGGTGTGCAATCTGAAAAGCAAAGAAGTCCTAGCCTTACAGCAGAGAACATATGTTGTAGCAACCCAAAACATAATTACAAAAGAACAAACAATAAAGGGAAAAAAACCATACACCAACTGGTTAGCACTATAATAGCCTTGAAACAACCAAGGTACCATGCGTAAGTGCTGTTCACAGCATCAGCATAACCCTTCATCTTTGAGAGCACAAAATCAAGGCCCCTGTTTCATTTGATATTAACCCTAAACGAAATCCCTTCATTTACCTTCCTAAACTCTAATTAGCCACAGACAAATAAGTCTACTTCCTTGAAACCCTAATTTTGATACAAAATTTTCAGCAACTATTTCTTTGATAGTAAGCTTTAAATGAGCTATATTCATTTAATCTCCTTCCTAAACAAAACCATAGAAATTCAAGTCACTTGACTGGGGTCCCATATAGAAAATGATGGGAGAACTCAAGGTCAAACCAACCATCAAAATCCGTAAATCAGAATCACATCTTTATTTAACAGGAAAAGGAAGTTTTACAATCAACAAAAGTCAAACGAGCTAATTAGGGCAGTCTATAAGAGCTCCTCCATTCTGCCCATGCTGTATTAAATACTTAAAAGTACATTTTTATATCCTACATGAGTGCCAGTCATTATAGTGATTTATTTTCATAAGATTACCAGAAAAATGATTGCAAATGTAAGCGCAATAATTCCTACAAGCAAGTTAACAATTGATGAGATTTAACTTGAATTCAGGGCTAAATGGATATTATCAATGACAGCCTTCACAGGAGATACTATAAAATCGAGTTCATTTTTAACAGTGTGCAAGCATATAGATGTGGTACACCTATTAAGTTAAAACATCATATTATCCTATTATCTCTAACTGTTTTGCTGCAAAATCTAGGGGAAAAAGCAGAAACTGATTGGACATTAAATTTAGATAAACATATCGAGTGAATCTACTTCATTAAAAATGAACTTCAATAAGAGAAAAGTAAATACCATTTGATTGGATGATGAATCTAGCATTATTGAGATTAGAGCATCTAAACAGGCACCTTGCTCTGCCGCACCTCTAGTAGACAATATATGCAACAAAACCTGCAAGTAACAGATTCCAAGCCAAACAGCTCAAATTTTTTATCCAAGAAATTCTAAGAAAATGCCATGGAAATAAACAACACTACAAAACCATTATGATAAAGCACATGATTCACATATAAGCACATTTATACATATTGGAAGAATTGGATTCCTTTACCAGCTTACTGACTTCGCTGAATGAATGAAAATGGACAAGAAGGATCAACAGCCATATTAAGTGAATTGAATTCCTAAATTTTAGTACATAATTTCGAGATAAGAACCCATACCTCAATAGCCTTATGTTGATGGGCCAAAATCGTGCTTTCTCTGTGGAGAAGACAACAACCTTCCAAAACACGAAGCGCAAGCGCAACCTCTGCACCTGTTGAAGGACCAGTAATCTTCAAAGGCTCGACTCCAAATATATGATCCAAACTGTCCACTTTGTCATCCTCTGTTTCCTTGAGAGAATGCCGAAACAGAACAGGAACCACTGCCAATATCAATTCCATTCATAATTTTCATTTTTCAGTTTCTCTCAATTGAATGAGCGAATTTAATTTAAATTTCAAAGGAATCAAACCTTGAAGTTCCGGTATAGATTGTGTTTGGCAAAAGAGGTTGATAGTGGCGTCGGACTGTGCAACGGATCTGAGGAAGTTAAGCAGAAAGCGGAGGCCACGGAGGCGGAGGAAGGAGAATTCGGCGCGAGCATCTTTGAGGCTTGTTCGAAGAGCGAGAGTGACCTCTCGGTACAATCTTTGTCTATTCAATGAGTTAACTAACTCCTCGACTGCCGTGACCGACGCTTGTGCCTGTGGATCTCCTTCACTTGAATTGTCCTTTAAGCCGGAGCTCCATAAGGCCTTTTTCAGATGCATCCCCTCTCTCTCTCTCTCTCTCTGTTCAATACACCGGCAGCCACCGTTTACACGTTTTTTTCTTTCTGTTTTTTTTTTTTTTTCTAATATTTTGGCGTCAGAATTATTCAAAAAATTAAATTTCAAATTACTATTTAATCCTTAAAAGTTAGCATAATTAATATGGACAATTGTAGATTTGATGTACAAACTTTTCAAAATTTTCTATTTTTGTCTAAATGAAAAAACTTTTACAATCAAATATTCAAACCGCAAAAAATATTTTAATCAAGTATTTTGTGCATATATAGCTGCAGAAATTGCTAATAGAATGACATATACCAACGGTTCGAGCACATAATTGTGATGTTTGAAGAGATAAGAGAGAGAATAAAAAGACAAGATGCACTTATTGATAACCTACAAAGGAAGCAACCAAAGAATATTCCTAATGCTTATGGAAATAGTAATGATAAGCAGAAAGTGAGGATATTAACATGCTACGTTCTCCGTAACTAGTGATAAGATTGGTGGAATTATTATTGATGAAAATAGTTGTGTCAATATAGTTTCTACTTACTTTGTAGAAAAATTAAGGATATCTACTTCTAAACATCCTAATCCATACAAGTTTTAGTGGCTAAATGAAAGTAGTGAGGTAAGGGTGACTACACAAGTTCTTCTACCATTTTCAATAGGAAAGTACAAAGATGAGATATTATGTGATGTAACTCCAATAAGTTCTAATCACTTGCTTTTGGGAAGACCATGACATGTTAATAGGTTTGTTAATCATGATAAAGTCAAAGGAACTTGTTCTTTAACGAAAGATGGAAGAAAAATAACTTTGGCACCTCTTGATTTACAACAAGTACAAGCTGATAATCTTACGTTGGAGGAAAAAAAAAAAAGGAGAAAGTTTGTTTTTTTTTTATCAATAGTAAATTAGAGCCATTAATTGAAGAGAAAGTGAAAAAGATTCAACTAGTTGAAGAGAATTCGATTATAGCTAAGATGGAATTACAAAAGGAACCGACGTCTATTAAAGGAATTACACATCAAGTCGATTCTATATTTGAAAATGAGTTGCATAGCATTTTTATGCAACCAATAAAACATGATCTTTTTAAATTTATTGATAATTGTGATAGTGGTCACTTTTATTTTATTGTAATCTATAGCAGGTACTCAAAAGCGCAAAAAATTGGCCAAATATTTTGATAAAATGAATGTTTTAGAACTAAGAGGATAACACTTCTAGTGGTTAGAAGAGATGATTCTATATTCTTTTCAAAATGATCTTATGCAAGATAAGGAACTCAAGAATTTTCTATTTGATCGAGGATATGTATTGATTTAGTTGTACTTGAAGGAAGAGATACAATAATATATTTACGGAGCAATAAAGATTCGAATTTGAGGTCCAAGAAAGAGGGTATGACGTGTGTTGAAAACAGAAAGACAACAAGCACACGGTGATCATAAAAAGATGGACTTGAAAGAAGATACAAGGCTAATTAACATGATCCAAACATGTGCAGAAAAGGATCAACTAGCACACGGAATCATAAAAGATGGGACTGAAGAGATACAAGGGCTAATTAAACATGATCCAAACATGTGACTCTAGTCTAATTAGTTTATTTTTAATTAGCGTAGCTGGGCTATTTTAAATTGGGCTTTATATTTTATTTAGTTTTTATGCAGCTATAATACTTAGCTTTCAAAAGCATTGAAGAAGATGTTTGCCAATTTATGCATTTTAATTCAAGAGAGACGAAAACGGCTCATTGAAACTTGCTTTTGGAACTTATCAAATTTAATTTATCTTTGTGGCATTTATTCATTTTACCTTGAACATTCATACTTCTAGTGATATGGGTCAAGATCCAAATTCCATCTAGGTAGAAAAACTCCTAATTTTGAGAATTAAGTCTAATTTGGGATTTAAGGTTTCTTAGCTTATAAATACTTAGCTTTCAAGCATTGAAGAGATGTTCCAATTTATGCATTTTAATTCAAGAGAGACGAATTATCTTTGGTTCTCATTGAACTTGCTTTTGAACTTATCAAATATAATTTATCTTTGTGGCATTTATTCATTTTACCTTGATATCTTTAATTCATACTTCTAGTTGGATATTGGGTCAAGATCCACAATTCCATCTAGTAAGAAACTCCTAATTTGAGAATTAGAGTTTCTAATTTGGGATTTAGGATTTATATATCAAATTCGATTTGGAGTGTTAAGACACAATTCTTGGAGTTCCGCATCATTTGGTATCAGAACAAAAAATAGGGTCCACATTATAGCAAAAAATAGCGTTAAATATAACTAGTCCCTAAATCATATTAACATTAACACTTAAGTCACTCTATATTTGAGAAATTACTATGACGTCTCCAACTTAATTTTCCGTCTCACTATTAGGTCCTTCCATCCAAAAAGTAAACTCTTTTAGTTAGATACACTTTTTAGACATAATAATATACTTATTTTTTGGATGGAAATAACTCATTTTGATAGGACTTGAGAGTGAGATAAAACATAAGTTAGGGACATTATAATGCTTTATTAAATATAAAGGGATTTAAATTTTAACTTGAACATAATTTAGGAATCTAGTTATATTTTATCAAAATAAAAAATATGCTAACTAAAGTCTCGTTCGGTAATCGATTTTCGAGTAAAACTTAGCGTTGAATTATTTCTGCTAAACCTTTCAACAATATAATATTTATAATAGATTTTAAAGGTTGATGGAGCATTTCATTAAATATTATACATGATAACGTTTAATGATAATTGATTAATTTATATCTACACCCATTATTTTTTCCCTTGAATTCACAAGCTGTACTTTATTCGCAAGTTGTTTACCAATTAACAATTCCTAAAATTTTAGGATTTCACAAGTTGTTAATGCCCCTCTTATCCTCCTTTTCCACTAGCTATCGTCTATGTGAATTTGATTATAGCCTTAATTTTGTCCTTAGCTATTTGAGAACCCAACAAGGTTAGTAAATATTTCAATTGCTGTATGATTGTTTATTGTAAATTCATATTTAGTGGAATTTGCATGTAATTCTTTGTGTTATGGATTTATTATTACAAGATAATTTTTTTTTCTTTTCAAATTTTTATTTTTTATTTTGCAAGTCTTATTTATTTGCTAGATTTCATGGTGATAGGAAAAAAGAAAATCAAAGCAAACTCTACTAATATCAAGCTCAATACTTTTTATTTATAAATATAAAATTTAATAGTTGATAAAATAATTATAAAAAAAGTCTAATATTGTTAGTTGGGATATATGTATATATATCAATCAATGAAGAACAACTACGACAATTGACGGGCCTAAAGAACTTTTGACTTGAGAAAAACTCTTATAGGAGAAGGTATTAAGCTCTTAACAGTTCCTCTTCAATTCAATAATGTAGTTGAATATAGTTGTTAGAGCTAGTTGCCTTTTTGTAGTTGTTCTTCATCTTATAGTTGTTTCACTTTATTATTCTCTTAGAACTAAGACTCTTAAAAACTCAATAAGATGATAAGGAATAAGAGGCTACAATCCAAAGTAAGTTTTTCCGAGCTGAGTTGAGGGGATCATTTAAGACTTATTGAGTTCCTATCCCACTATTCCTTTATGGAATGAGTTTGTAACGTAATGTGTTAATGAGGTAGTTATGATTGTTCTAATTATGATATATATACTTAAAATCCTTGCGTCACTTTAGGAAATTCATGAATATTGAATTTAATTCCATCTTCTTCTTATATGCTCGTGATTATTTGTAGTATTGGCTAACTAGGCATAACCTATTTGAAAAGGAATGTCAAAGCATTTCAGATTCTTCCTTCAAACTTCCTAAGGAAATTTATAAAATTTAAAACTCTAGACAACAACATATATAGACATTAATTTGATCTTACTTTGATGATATTCCAAGGTCATAGAAGAATAAAACACTCCTGCACACCAGGTATAGCTTAGTGATGAGTACACATACAACTTGACAATAGATTCAGGTTTGAATCCCCCTCCCCTAATACTAAAAGAAAAAAAAAAGGAATAAAATACTCCTCATAAGTTAGGGAATCTCCAAACAAATAAGCATAATATGACAATTAAATCTCAAAGATAATCGTCTGAAAACTCTTAAATTATCTGTAAAGTATGATTTATTTCAATATATCTATTTCATAAGAAACTATTCTACCTTAGCTTGGATTGCACATATCACACAAACTTTTATGAGATAATCTGATTGATTTGTTTTCAAGAGTCTACTGAAAAAATTGCTAACTCTTCTTTTTATGTCCTTTTGATGCTTTCTACTGGATCATAGGAGAAGAGAGCAAGACATATGAGTGGGTAAGTTACAAGAGTTGGGAGTAAGGAAATTTTTCCTTTTGCTTTTCCCTTCTTACTTTACTGAATTGAACACAGCCATTCCACGGTAAGCCTAAGGACAATTATAAGCAATAGGGGATGAAAATAGTATGTTAGATATCGTAGAATGACATGCTAGAGGAGACTCGGTGTCATGCTCTCCGCCAACCAAGGTCGATTTGCGAGACCGAGCTAAAGTGAACTAGGTTGCAGGCATCATATTCTATTAAGAGCAGGTGGTGTCTCCATAGGGAAGGGACTCTATGGACACTATAAGACCAAAAGACCTATAATGTGCATCTCTCCGTAGGTGAAGAATTTGTTATAGGCAGTTCTACATTGACTAGAATACCCAAAGGCCTTGAGCTCAGACTTGAATATGTATTAGACCCTTATGTATATGCAAGGTATTTGCGTATTTTCATTGGTTCTTAATGTCTAAAGCATACATTTTTAGACTTAGACTTATTTATTTAATAGGTACATGAAATAGTTAGGGATGAGCATTTGATTGGTTCAATTAAAAATGAAACAAACCAGTATAAGTCAAATAGATTGAATTGAATTAAAACAATTCAACTCGATTACAACTATTTTTAAGTGGGTTTATGCTTATTTAATTTAATAAAGATCAAATTGAACAGAAATTTCAATTTCTTTTATTAAATTAAAACCAAATCGATTATGTAAAATACCAAACTAAAATTGAATCGAATCGGATTGGTTTAATTTAGTAGTTTGGTATAGAGATTATCAAAACGAAGGACAAAGTAGTAATTTAGGTAAAATATGGAGGACTAAACAGTAATTTCAACCTAGAACGTTATGCCCTTTGATTTGATTATCGGGTCTTGGGTTCCGGTTTTATGAATATTCGTGCGGCTACTGTATTCTCTTGAGGTGCAGTTCTTCAAAAGAAAAACCCTCTTCTGCCTTCTCCACTTTCTTCTCAGGCTTATTTCACAGTCAATTTCGATTATTTGCTCAGTCTTAATAATCCTGCGGCTCCAAATCAAAACCCTAAATGCGAGGTATAGTTGTCTTTATATGTCGCACTCAACTTTTTAGTACTTTCTGCAAAATTTTCGACGCTAATTTGTTAGAATAGGGCAGTCAGAGTGAAAGGTTGTTGTATTGAAATATCCAGAAAGCTATATTAGGTTGTTCCTTCTGCATGTATAGGAGTATTGGGCTAATCCTTATGGTCAACTGACTATTGGCAGTTGTAGTAACTGGCACAGAAAGCATTCCCCTAATGCAAATGTATGTCAACTGAAGCAACGCTGTGTTAACGAAGTTGGCTTCGGTATTCTGTTGAAGTTGCAATATCACAGTAGGCCAGTGGATGTCTTGGGGGTGAGTTAGGGCGTAGAGTTCTTGACCTATGTTTTATGTATAATTTGTGGTTGTTAGAATTAGTTGTTAGAACATATTTCAGATCTAATATTCTTCTGAAAACTTATTTTGCTCGCTAATTTTATTTTGCTATTATCTGGACAACATTTTCAGTTAATAGGTTTTTGGTTTTAATTTCAGATTCATTATTTTGAGTTCCTCAATTGAAACAATCAAAACCTTCAGGTTTGTTTTCTGCTTAGTTCTGCGTTTTAGTCATCCCTCTTCTTTTTTTTTTTTTTTTCCTTTTTCATTTTTCGAATTTTAGGGTTCAACAAATTTTCATTTTGTTTTACCTTTTCTTTTGTTTTGTTTGCTGTCAGTTATCACAATTCCTTCAATAGATCACCCAACAAGAACTGTAAACTTCTTATTTGGTGCATGGACAACATGTAGAATAGTCGAAGCAGCTTGAGCAAGAACTGGTATGGATCATCTGTTTCTAACTTTTGCCTTTTTCTGTTCTTTATTGAGATGTGGATGTTTGATCGTTTGCATATGCATGCAGTAGCTTTAAATGATCTCTAGATTAACGTGCCACCATAACTATCAGTATCAAAATAAATTTTAGACCACATAGAAGTATTTTATCTTCTTGATGAATTAGAAACAATGTTGTAATAATTCATTGTAAGGCTTCAATGTTCAAAGTAAACATAAGTGTTTGCTTTGTGAGAAGATGATGAGAGAATGAGAGAGAGTATGTTTTTATTGCCATTTTTGTGAATTTTTCTAAATTTGAGTCATTGTGAATCTTTCTTATATGCTCTTTTTGTTAAATAAGAAGACTTGCTTTTGCAATTCTTCTGCAGTAGATAGAAATTTACTTTTACTTTTCCATGTTTCTTTGGTTTTTTTACATGCATTCATCACAAATGAAGAATCAGGTGGCTGAAACTGGGTAATTGATTTGAATTGTTGGCGTAGTTGTGTCTACTGTATGTAATTGTTACTGTGGATGCACTTTTAATGGTTAAGGTTAGCCATAATACTTGAATTTGTTGCATCTAAAGGTACTTAGCTGTTATTGCATGATGAGGTATAGTACTTTTTACACTAATTGATTCTTGCCAATGGATTTGATTGGTTCCAGGCCATGGAACAGACTTTTGGATACAAGTTCATCTTATAATAGCAGCAATTTTGTGTAGCTTGAGCCTGTTTTTAGAAAGAAGAATAAAATTTTCAAAATGGGGAAAAGGGTAAGAAAGAACTTGTGAAGTTGTATTGCGTTTATTAGAAATGCCAAGTTGATGAAATTGTTTGAAGGTTGCAGTTGCTTGGTGGTGTGATGATCATGGAATTGTCTCTTTGTCATTTTTCTTTTTGCTTCCTATATTCTCAATCTTATATATAAGTTTCTCATATGAGTTCTAAATCATAATATCTGTTTGCTTTCATGAAAAATGTAAGGACATGGTATAGATTCGTTTTTCAATCATAAAATGCTTTACTTTAATTGCGTTTTAGATGTGTCATCAATTAACATTCTTAACCTTGCATGAGTAATTTTAGAATGATTACTGTATGTGCTACAAGAGTTTGGGAATAAAAAAAAATGACAATAACCATAGCATTATTTACAAGCTAATGGAAAAAAATAGCATTATCTAATGGCCTTAGTGGAATTTTGACCACAATATAGCTTGTCATCAAATGGAAATGACTAGATTGGATAATAAAGAAATTTTTGTCAAACTTAGATTAAATATCGCTTCAAATTTGTAAGCCCTCATTCATTAACTTAGATTGTAATTCGTTCTTTTTTTCACTGAATTTTCCATATTTGAAAATAAGAGACAAGCCTGGTTTATTACCGTACCTTGATGTTATGGTTTCATTTTTCTTGCTTTGCTCCCTTTGCATGTATGTGGTACTTAGTTATGAGTTACTTGGTTGGTTGTTGATTCCAAGAATGTGTTTAAATTGGATTTTGCTCTATTTGAATGCAATTAGGGTTTTAGTTCACAATTATGTTAATTAGGGTCCAGGATATGTTGGAGTTGTGTATAATTAGGTTTTGGGTCTCAAATGTGTTGTTATACTTCATCTAATATCTTGCCAGGGTCTGTTTAAGAAAGGAAATGGATATGGATAGAGAGAGCTGAGCAAGAAGTGAACTTGGCATTTCCTTGAAAGTTGATAGAGTAGAACAAAGTTTTATTTTATTTTATTTCTTTTGTACCTTTAAACTTTGAAGAGTTCATTTCATTCAGTAATGGGTTTATTTGTGTTTTAACAAAAGATGAAATAAGGCAGACTTTGCTTGAAAGTTAGTTCATTGGTTTAGTGGTTTGCTAAAATTTGTACTAAGCATGAGCATACCTTTGACATTGTACAAGCAAAGTGAAATAACTCTTATTTTCATGTAATATGTAGTGATTGGAAGCATAAATGTGATTTTAGCTTCAGTTTACTTTTATTCTTCTTTCCTTGTCAATGGTAAGCTCTTGTTAATTTTCATTAGTACAAATCTGCAGGCCCAATGTGATACAAAAGTTGATAGGTGGAGATTCCTGGGATTTTATGGAGGCTCAGCATTTGAACTTTGCAGGTTAATTTATTGAAGAAACAATGATGCTTTAAAATAACTTCGTGGTATTGTGCACTTGAAGCAATTTGGAGCCAGTTACTTTGGTGGTTTGATTAGTGATGGAGTGCAATAAAGAAGAGGCAATCAGGGCGAAGGGGATTGCTGAGAGTAAGATGCAAAACAAAGATTTTCATGGTGCTCATAAAATTGCACTCAAAGCCCAACAGCTGTATAACGATTTGGAGAATATTTCCCAGATGCTAATGGTTTGTGATGTGCATTGTGCTGCTGATAAGAAACTTTTTGGGAATGAGATGGACTGGTATGCCATCCTTCAGATTGAGCAGACAGCTGATGAGGCCACAATTAAGAAGCAGTACAGGAAGTTTGCTCTCTTACTTCATCCTGATAAAAATAAGTTTCCTGGTGCAGAGGCTGCTTTCAAGTTGATTGGTGAAGCTCAAAGGGTGCTATTAGACAGAGGAAAAAGGTCCTTGCATGACATTAAACGAAAAGCTCCCACAAGCAAACCAGCACCGCCTTACAGGCCTCAACAGAGAGCAGCTTACACCTCTAGTATTGGGGTTCAAAACAATTCCAGGAACAACTTTATGGGCTTCAATCCTCAACAGCAACATATGCAGCAGTCGGATCAACAGGGTTCCTCCAATGGCCGTGCTACTTTCTGGACAGCTTGTCCATACTGTAATGTAAAGTACCAGTACTATGTGGAAATTAAGAATAAGTCTCTTATTTGCCAAACTTGCACTAAGCCTTTTATTGCACATGAGCGGAGTGTGCAAGGGGCTCCAACTGGAACTAACTTCAGCCAGTCGGCATTTCCCCCAAGAAAAGATGTGCCAAATAATAGTTTTAGCAAAGTAGAACTTAACCGTCAGGGCAAGTCAAGTGCTGAGCAACCTAAAATGGATTTCTTTCAAAAGAAAGGTTGCAATTCTGAGTTTGCTTCACAAAAGGCAAATGGGAAGAGACGAAGGAAGAAAGATGCAGAATCAAGTGAAAGTTGTGACTCTGATAGTAGCATTGACAGTGAAGATGGTGATTTCAATGCAGGAGTGAATTCGAAAAGTTTTGGTGAGTTCCGAAGGAGATCTGATCGGCATAAGCGGAATGTTTCTTACAAGGAAAATCTGAGTGATGATGAAGACTCTACGACCCATCCAAAAAGGGCCAAGGGGAGTGGATCATTCTGTTCAACTGAAGAGGATTGCAGAAATGGCACAAAGGATGATTTCATTGAACCAAATAAGCATTCTGGTTCAGCTTCTTGTGCAAAAGGTCATAATGGGGAGAAACAAAAAGCAGGTCCAAAGAGCTCTTTAGAAGAAAATGGTCATAAGAAGATCAATGAGGTTCATATTGATTCTGCATCAGATTCAAGCTCAAAATCTACATCAGTTCCTGAGCTCCATGAATATCCTGATCCAGATTTTAATGACTTTGACAAAATTAGGAATGACAGGTGCTTTTCGATAGGGCAGATCTGGGCTGTTTATGATACCTTGGATGCTATGCCTAGATTTTATGCTCGAATTAGGAAAGTTTTCTCTCCAGGGTTCAAATTGAGGGTAACCTGGCTGGAGCCAGACCCAGATGATGATGATGGAATCGAATGGGTCAGCGAGGACTTGCCAGCCTCATGTGGTAAATTCAGACATGGGCACTCAGAAAATACTGAAGATCGTCTTATGTTTTCCCATAAGATCGACTGGGAAAAAGGCAGCCAGAAGGACACCTACAAGATATTTCCAAGAAAAGGAGAAATTTGGGCAGTCTTCAAGAACTGGGATATTAGATGGAAATCTGATGTAGACCCTAACCGGAAGTTTGAATATGAATTTGTAGAAATCTTGTCAGAATATACTGAGGATGTTGGTGCATCTGTTGCATATTTGGGCAAGGTTAAGGGCTATGTGAGTCTTTTTTGTCGAATCAGGAAGGAAGGAAAAGACAAATTTCAAATTCCACCAGGTGAATTGTTCCGCTTCTCTCACATGATTCCATCATTTAAATTGACGGGTGAGGAAAGACAAGGTGTGCCAAAGGGATCTTTTGAACTCGATCCTGCTTCTTTATCCCAAAATATCGAAGAGATTGCTGTTGCTGAAGATATGGCGGTTGATATTGGTAAGACTCATGCTGACAGCACAGGTTCAAAATCATCAGATAAAGTGAAATTCAATGTGGAATCTGAAGGACGTACTGCTGCTCAGCAGGCTAGTGATATAAAATGTGAAGTTGCCAATGATGATCATAGTGTTCCTTCAACTTCAACCCCAGAAGCTCTCGAAATTCCAGAACCAGAATTCTTTGACTTCAATGCTGAGAAATCCTTTGAAAAGTTTCAAGCTGGTCAAATCTGGTCTCTGTACAGTAATGAGGATGGCTTACCAAAGTACTATGGTCAAATTACAAAATCTGGTACTAGTCAGGATTTCAAATTGCAGCTCAAGCGGCTTGTTCCATGTGCACTACCGAATGATGTTATACAATGGCAAGATAAAGATATGCCTATTTGCTGTGGAAGATTTAGGACTAAAAAGGGTGAATCGCAGCCCTATACATCTGCTGTTTCCTTCTCACATCAATTAAGTGCAGAACCTGTTGGTAAGAAAAATGAATATACCATCTTTCCTAGGAAAGGTCAGGTTTGGGCACTGTACAGGAACTGGTCTGCTGAAATTAAACATTATGAATTGAATGAATGTAAATATGATGTAGTGGAAGTGCAGGAGGAAAATGATTTGGTGATCAAAGTTTCACTTTTGGAGAAAGTTGAAGGTTTCAACTCAGTTTTCAAGGCTCAATTAGAGGATGGTTCAGCTGTTACAATGGAGGTTCTCCGTGTTGAACTGCTTAGATTCTCCCATCAGATTCCTGCTTTTCGACTAACGGAAGAGAGGGGTGGCAGCCTGAGAGGCTTTTGGGAACTTGACCCTGCAGCACTGCCTGTTCATTATTTTGCTACTTGAAATGACAGGTTTATTTAAGTGCCATCTATTTGCAGTCAATATCAACAGCCAGGGCATGTTTGAGATTGCTCTTTTGGTAATGGATTTTTGGCATCAATCTCTCAACTGTGTTATGAAGTTGTTTTCGGAAGTTTTATGCAGTGCTTGTTTCTTTTGGTCTCAGTTTATCTGCATTCAATAGAAAGAAATTTGTCTGCTGACTCTTTGGTCCCTTTAATTTTGGGTTGGAGCTTGGTTGATTCGGCCACAAATCAATGGTGGGGATAGCAAATTAGCTGAAGCCTAAAACTTAGATTTCGTCACTCTGTTGCTGACAGTAGATTGTCTTACGCGACTTTATAGTTTCATGTGAACCCTCTCATTGTAAGATGCTTATGTTATCCCCTTTTAATTTGGATGTAGGGATCAAATTTAGCAGCTCACAGCAATTGTATCAATGCTGCACTATTTTTAGGGGTTAAAGCTATGTTTAATGGGATTTGATAGTAGCATTAAATATGGGTAACTATTGATGCAATCAGGTCCAAAACCAGTGGGATAGTAGTTTAATGATCGAGTAGATGTCAATACAATGGTTGGTTTTATATTTATAATGGTTTGTCCTAGTTTATAGATTGATGGTTGTCTCTCTTCTTGCCTTTGTCCTTTTTGCCTTTTTATTTGTGCTTGCTGCAGGGACTGCAAGAAACAAATCTATCTAGGTATGTGTCTATTTCGATTTCTGTTAGGATTCCTTGTTATTATTCAAGAAACTTGACTCAAATTGTGAAAGGCCATTGTGTTCTTCTCATGGGTACTGCAGGGACTATCGCTCTGTGACATTAGGTTATTGAAGGTTATACATTCTAATCATATCTATGTTCTTTATATTCAACAACAAACTACTTTCTCGGTCTTGTTCTTTATGTTCTCTATATTTAAGTTTAGTAACGGAAATTTAGAAACGGACTCATCTGTTCTGCTTAGAATGGCAATGTAAGTATGCTTCCATCTAGGGTGGCATTGTAAGTATGCTTTTATCTAGGGGTTGAGCATTCGGTTAATTTGAACCAATTCAAATAATCGAACCCAATAATATGAGGTTTATTACAAAAAACGGTTGCGCCAAATAATCGAACCCAATGATATGAGGTTTATTACAAAAAACTGCAACCGTCCGAATAAATGGATTAATATTTTCAGTTGGTTAATTAAAACCGACTACGAGAAAATATCTAGATTCAAACTTTTGCAATATATATGTTTTTGTCTCCAGATTTGCAGTTTGCACTCTTAAAACAACTATATACATATATGCTTATAAGTTTACACTCTTAAAGCAACTAGATACATATGCTTATAAATTTAGACAATTGTATAGAATAAAAAAAATAAATAATAAAATTAATTAATTTATCCAATAAGTCACAAGTGTCCAAACAAAAATTACAATGGTAGTCATATATAAATTCAACTATCCAAATAACAATTAATACGATTAATATTAAAAGAAGCATTTATTAAACTTTTAGTTAAAAAATTACAGTTAATAACCAATTAAACATGACCTCTTTGTTAGTGATTCAAAAATTATACCATATTTTTGTCACATGTCATAAAAACTATACAATTATAGTCTGCACTCTTGCTTTTATTTTAATATGGGGTAAAAACACAATGTTTTGACAAAAGAAAAAATCTGAGATAAAAAAATATATATATCTTGAATAGAATTTGGATTAGTTGAGGTTTTTTTTCACGCTAACTGCACCATAACTGAAAAAACAAATTAATATTTATAACTAACCGATCCAAATCAAAACTAATTTATTAGCAGCCGAAAAAATTACTCGGTTTGATTTAAATTTCGATTATATCCGCGATTTGCTCTCCCCTACTTCCATCCCTGTGAAATCATCATCACAAATTTTGACAAGAATGTGATGCCTTCAACTCTTAAGTGATATTTGATTATCAAAATTTAATTTTTCTATGGAAAATAAAATTTTAGGAAAATATTGCAAAAAGTTAAATTATCATATTTGGATGATAATAAAAGTTTGCTTGGAAAGTAAATTAATTATGAAAATAAATGCTATTATATAATTTTAAAATATTTTATTTTCGATAAACTTATAATTTTCTCATCATTTGAGATGTGAAAGCACTTCCCTATAGAACAAATTTGCCTAGACTAGTTATGACCCAATTTATGTACCAAACAAATGAAATTAATAATTATTTAAAAAGTATATCAACTTTATCATTTTTTTTTCTAAATGTATGGTCAACAATACCTTCATTTTAATAAAAATCTTTAATTTTATTTGTTCGGCCATAAGTTGGAGCCATTGATCCATCTAAGTAAATTTTTTTCCCTTTCCCATATGTATGGAAAAATATGGATGTAGTCTACATATCTAAAAAATTAATTTTCATAGAAAAATACCAACCAAATATAATAATTCAATTTTCTGAAATCACTTTTTAGTGACACTTCGATTACTAAATGTCTTTTAAAGTCATCCTAGTTTTCTAACTATTGACTTTAGAAAGGAAGAGGTTAGGTTATATTACAAAATAAGAATTGAGTTGTAAAAAATGAATTAAGAACACTGGATGAATTGAGGTCGATATTTTTAAACTTTTAAACTCAAAAAGGATTAATTATGGAAAGTGGAACCCTCTATGGTCATAGACTCATAAGTAGGGATAGAAAACGGGAGGATATCCCGGGATACTGTACTTACAGTGAAATTGCTAACCATAACGAATATAGATATAGCATGTGTATAGGCCTTTGGGTGCTCCTATCATTACATGCAATCCATTACTTGTTATATTAAATAATTTGGGCATTGATACATATCCATTATTAGTAAAAGATATATTTTTAAATAAGTTTGTATTTGGATAATTTAAAGTTTGCGGATACTCTACTTGTTTAAGGGTTATTTTAAATGGATTTATGATAGACATGGATACTAAAATTTTAACGAGTTCAGATACGAGTATTTAAATGGTTATTAAATAGAAACATGTATGACCTACGGGTTATGATTTAGTTGCTTGTAGGCTGAACATATAGAAAGATTTCTCGAGTTCGATTCCCACTAAATAGACCTACAAAAGAGGCGAAAAGCCTTAAACTAAGCACGGACCGGATTAGGAGAGCTTACTCATCCCACTTATATTCCCACTAACTTCTTAAATCTTAACCGGTTTTGATTTGGGGTGCAATTGTAATTATAAATTCACCAAATTAGGGTTCAATTGCAAAAACAAAAATTAATGGGTAAAGCTGTAAATTTGTGTAAAATCGAGGGTGAAAATGACATCGTCAGTCGTCACGTTCTATTCATTTGATTATCTGGTTAGTGCCCCATTGGGTTTTTATTCAAATCGTGCGGTGACTATATTCTTCTCCTGCTCCGAATCTTCTAAAACGAGCCTCTTCCCGCCTCTCTATCTCCTTTTCAAGCGTATTTTCGATTTGCATCTCGATTATTTCCTCAGCAGTAATAATCTTGCGGCATACTGTACTCTCTCTGCTGTGATTCTTCGAAGAAACCCTAATCGTAAGGTACTTTTTTTCTTTCCTTACAACGATAAAAATTTGAAAATTTTTTAGAAAGGAATGCATCTGAGTAAATAGTTATTGTATTGAAGTATCCAACTTGCTGGTGAATATTATGAGCATTGGACCAAATCATTTAATGAGTTTTAAATTTTAGTGTTCACTGGATTATTTTCCTATTAATTTTTCTGGATGGTTAAACAGCTTGTTTTTTCTGTTTCTAATGGACGCTAAGCAAAGTTGAACTCAAACTTCCACATTGAAGCTCTGGAACGCTTATATAAGCTTATTTGAAAATTGTTTCTCGGTCTACACTAGCTATTTGTCAACTGAATCATATGAAATGTCCGTCTACTTATTTCTTTTTTTAGCTTTCTTGAATTTTGGACAAAAACACGACTCTTTCCTGCCTACCTATGTGATGCATTTGGTCCTATCATGCCAATGTAATTCGAAAGGGGAAAATATGAAGGACTTATTTTCGCGTTGATTCTAGAGATCCACTTAGCCCTGAAAAGAAAGAATACCCCAAAGAAAGTTTAATTTGCTAGAAAGCTTTTAGGTAGTGACATAAAAGATGAATGGAATTTGCCTTAGTTCTATTGATTTTCCCCATTTGGTTTAGAGTTTCTTTTGACTTTGAGTGGTTTTGCATCTGGGTTTGGTTTGTTTCAGTTTATAATTGATTGTTGTAGCATCATTTTCATTAAATCCTCTTAGGCTATTGGGTTTGCTTTTTTGATTTATCAATTTAATGCTTATGGTCCTTGGAGTGCCATTTTCAAGTAAATTCTCATGGTTACATGAGGCTTGTGGTTATTTAGTCTAACATTGTACGTGTGTGTTGGGGTTGGGTAGAGTTTAGAGTTCTTCAATTATGTTTGTATGTGGAATTTATGGGTGATCCTAATTGGTTGCTAGATTAGAACATACTTCAGATCTAATTGTTTCCTATTATCTGTAAAACAATTTCAGATAATAGGCTTTTGTTTTTACTTTCAATTTCATTATTTTGACTGTGTTGATTCAAAATCAGCTGGAGTCTTGCGGGTTTGCTTTCTGCCTACTTTCTGTTCTATTCATCTCTCTTATTTATTTTTTTTTTCTTTCAATTTTGGAATTTTAAGGTTCTATAATTTCCATTTCAGTTTATGTTGATTACTGTTTCTTTTGTTCTGTGTGGATTCAGTTATCAGTATCACAGTTCATTAAATAGGATCACCCAACAAGAACTATAAACTTTGTATTCATGCAAGGACAGCATGTAGAATAGTTGAAGCAGCTTGAGCAATTCCTGGTATGACTTGACATCTCTCTCTCTCTCTCTCTCTCTCTCTCTAAAATTTTGACCTTTTCTGTTAATCAATGAGATGTTGATAATTTATAGTTTGCAAATGTCATGGAGTAGCTTTAATTCATCTCTAGGTTATCCTTCAGCATAACTATTAGTATCAGAATAAATTTAAGATCTTGTGGAAGTTATCTTATCTTCTCGATGAATTAATAATAATGGTATAATAATTCATTGTAAGGCCTGAATGTTAAAATGTTAAGACCTGAAGTCTTCAAACCAAATGTAAGTGTTTTGCCTTGTGAGAAAATGATGAGAGAAGAAAATGGGAAATATGTGACCTAGAGAGAGAGGAAAGACTGCAGAATTTTATTGCTACAAATATGGGTCTTTCTAAATTCAGTCAATGTTGTTGTTGTTGTTGTTTCTAAACGTAGAACATCTATTTATCTTCACTCCAATATGCTATTTTCTCAATATGGTAATTTCTTAGTTCAGAAGAAGTCACTTTATGATTTTTATGCAATAGATAGAACTTTTGCTTTTCCATTTGTCTTTGGATGTTATGATTTGCAGTCAGCACAAACATAAAATTAGGTGGCCGAAACAGCAATCTATTTGAATTATATTCATATAGTTGTATCTTATGTATGCTATTGTCACTATGGATGCACTTTTAATGATCTACGTAACGGTTAAGGTAACCATCTAGAGCTAGTTAACTGTTATTGGGTGCTGATGTTTAACTATTTGTTGGTCCTTTTAACACCAATTGATTCATTCAAATGAATTTGATTGGTTTCATCCATGGAAAAAAAAAAAAAAAAAGAATTAGAATGGCTCAATAAGGTCCTTGTTGCTCTCTTCATTGTTTTGAGCATTAAAATAAGAAACTTCTTTCTCCGTTTCACTCTCCCTTGGATCAACATCTATCAATATTGTTCTTCCCTGATTGCTATTTGTCTATCTTAGTTGTGGGATGCTCATAAAAATTAGGAATTTTAATAGAATTAAAATCGAGAGCTATTACCAGCCTCTCCTCTAATCTTATACCACGTTCGGAATGTTAACGAATCATGGGATTATTAAACAAGTTGGTATACTCAGGGAAAATATTGTTTAGCTTCAAATGATGGAACTTCTCATGCATTTCTATTTATAATCAGCTGGCAAAAATTGCTTTCATAGCTTAGTTTTCATGTGCTGCCAAGTGCTTATTTTAAGCTTGCTTTGTCATGTACTTTGCTTTTTCAATTCTCGTCCACCATTGAGGTTCATTACCCTTCAATTTAAGCTTTACAATTGCACCTTTCAATTTTCAGCATGGGTTTCCATTCTAAGTAATTCCCTAGATTGGCTTCCTAATCCAAATAGTTCTCCACATATAACTTTCCATGAAATTGAACTGCTTCAACCTTTAATCCTCCACCATTCAAATCAAGTGCATGTAGTAACTTCTCTTCCAATCCACCTCGTGTTGCTTGGTTTGTGGGTCGAACATCATGAAAGGGTTACTTGACTTTCCTTTCAATCTCAAGGTCTCCCGAATTTTGAGTTGTTCATGGTGGGCTCTTGGATTCTCCATCGTGCTTCTACAGTTTCTTGACACTACAAGGCTTGTATAGCCCTAGACAAATCCTCGGTCATTCTTTGCATCTTAGCCAATTCTGTTTGTTGGGGCCGATTGTTTCTATATTGATCTCTGCCCCTACAACCATAGTTTAGAAGAGGGAAAAAAAAATCTAAAGTAATCAAGGGTCTTTTATTCTTTGCTGCTTTAATATTATTAATTTGAAAAACAAAAATCGTGCTTTCCAAAATGTAACTAAGATTTGGAAAACAAGTTTAGAATATTTTCCTTTGTTTTCTCTTATAACAAAAGTCATGTTTTTCAATTGCTTTCAGTTAAAAAAATAAATTTTTTATAATTAAAAATTATAATATACATAAACTTGTTCTAAAAAAAATATTTTATTGAATAATCATAAAATGTATTTAAATAAATTAATAAATATTTTGTAACTTAAGATTTGGGAAAAACAAGTTTAGAATATTTTCCTTGTTTTCTCTTTATAACAAAAAAGTCATGTTTTCAATTGCCTTTCAGGTTAAAAAAATAAATTTTTTATAAATAAAAATTATAAATACATAAAACTTGTTTTCTAAAAAAAATATTTTATTTTGAATTAATTCATAAAATGTATTTAAATAAATTAATAAATATTTTTATTTTTAATTTTATATTGTGATTTAATTAGTAATTAATTATTCATATAAATATATATTTTATAATGAAAACATTTATTTTTGAAAAATTTTACGACGTAGATAAAATTGATAATTATAAAATATATATTTATAATGAAAACATTTATTTTTGAAAAATTTTACGACGTGATAAAAATTGATAATATTATTATAAATAAATCAATAGTACATATTTAAAAAAAAAAATCTAAAATAAAAAATTTTCTAAATATCTTTTATAATATTTTGCTTTTTTATGAAAGTTATGAATATTTTTATTTATTTTTTGAATTGAAATAATATTTTACTTATTAATAAGTGAATGTGCTTTCCATTTATTCGTTCTTTTTTTTTTCATTTTCCAAAAAAATTATTTTTTTAGAAAATAGAAAGCAAAAAACTGTTTTCTATCTGTAAACACACCCTTTATGTTTGGATTTTTCAAGAATAAATTTATGTGGTGAATATTTTGCTAAGAATAATATATAGTTCCTTTATATTAGCATGAGCTGTATTGTTCCTGTAGCGTTGAGCAAGCAAAGTGTTCAGAATGCATATTTTCATGTAATATATATATAGTGATTGGAAGCATTATTGTCATTTTAGCTTCAGCATAGTTTTCTTCCTCTTTTCATTGTCAATTGTAAACTCTTGTTGATTTTCGTTTGTACAAATCTGCAGGGATGATGTGAACATGAAAGTTGTTCAATGGATATCCCGAGATTCTAAGGGGCCTAGCATTTTAACTTTGCAGGTTAATATGTTGAAGCAACAATGATAATTTGAAATAGCTTCTCGTTTTTGTGCCCTTGAATCAATTTGGAGTTGGTTTGTTTGGGGATTTGATTAGTGATGGAATGCAATAAAGAAGAGGCAGCAAGGGCGAAGGGGATTGCTGAGCAAAAGATGCGAAACAATGATTTTGTTGGTGCTCATAAAATTGCACTCAGAGCCCAACATCTTTATAAAGATTTGGACAATATTTCCCAGATGCTAATGGTTTGTGCTGTGCATTGTGCTGCTGATAAGAAACTGTTTGGGAATGAGATGGACTGGTATGGCATCCTTCAGATTGAGCCGACAGCTGATGAGGCCACAATTAAGAAGCAGTACAGGAAGTTTGCTCTCTTACTTCACCCTGACAAAAATAAGTTCCCCGGCGCAGAGGCTGCTTTCAAGTTGATTGGTGAAGCTCAAAGGGTGCTATCAGACAAAGGAAACAGATCCTTGTATGACATTAAACGGAAAGTTTCCATAAGTAAATCAGCAGCGCCTTACATGCCTCATCAGAGAGCAACTTATAGCTCAAAAATTGGGGTTCAAAACAATTATAGGAGCAACTTCGTGGGCTTCAATCTTCAACAGGAGCACACACAGCAGTCAATACATCAACAGGGGTCCATCAATGGTCATGCGACTTTCCAGACGGCTTGTCCATTCTGTGATGTGAAGTACCAGTATCATGTTAATCTTTTGTATAGGTATCTTCTTTGTCAAAATTGTAGTAAGCACTTTATAGCACGTCATTGTCTTGCGCAAGGGGCTCCAACAGGAACTAATTCGAACCAATCAGCAATTCCCCCAAGGAAAGATGTGCCAAATCATGGTTCTATCAAAGAACTTGACCGTCAGAACAATTCAAGTTCTGAGCAATCTAAAACCGAGTCCTTTCAAAAGAAAGGTTGCGATCCCAAGTTGGCTTCACAAAAGGCAAATGGCAAAAGGCGGAGGAAAAAAGACTCCGATAGTAGCATTTATAGTGAAAATGTGGTAGTTGATGAAGCTGGTGATTTTGAGGAAGGATTGAATTCAAGATGTTTTGATGAATACCGAAGGAGATCTGATCGACATAAACAGAAGGTTTCTTGCAAGGAAAATTTGAGTGATGATGAAGACTTTGTGACCCATCCAAAAAGGGCCAAGGGGAGTGGATCATCCTGCGCAACTGAAGAGGAGTACAGAAATGGCTTAAAGGACGATTTTCTTAAAGCAACAAAGTATTCTGGTCTAGCTTCTTGTGAAAAAGGTCATAATGGGGAGAAACAAAAAGCAGGTCCAAAGAGCTCTTTAGAAGAAAATCATCATGAGAGAAGCAATGAGGTTCATATTCATTCTGCTTCAGATTCAAGCTCCAAATCTGTATCTGATCCTGAGCTCCATGAGTGTCCTGATCCAGATTTCAATGACTTTGACAAAGGCCGGAATGAAGGTTGTTTTTCGGTAGGGCAGATCTGGGCTGTATATGATACCTTGGATGCTATGCCTAGATTTTGTGCTCTAATTAGGAAAGTTTTCTCTCCTAAGTTCAAATTGCGGGTAACCTGGCTGGAGTCAAACCCAGATGATGAGGATGGAATTGAATGGGTCAATGAGGGTTTGCCAACTTCATGTGGTAATTTCAGACATGGAGACTCTGAAAATACTGAAAATTGTCTTATGTTCTCACATGTCATCAGCTGGGAAAAGGGCAGCCAGAGGAACACGTACAAGATATTTCCAAGAAAAGGAGAAATTTGGGCTGTCTTTAAGAACTGGGATATTAAATGGAAATCTGATGTGGACACTAACCGGAAGTTTGAATATGAATTTGTAGAAATCTTGTCAGAATATACTGAGGATGTTGGTGCATCTGTTGCATATTTGGGCAAGGTTAAGGGCTATGTGAGTCTTTTTTGTCGAATCAGCAAGGAAGGAAAAGACAAATTTCAAATTCCACCAGGTGAACTATTCCGCTTCTCTCATATGATTCCATCATTTAAATTGACGGGTGAGGAAAGACAAGGTGTACCAAGGGGATCTTTTGAACTCGATCCTGCTTCTTTGCCCAAAAATATTGAAGAGGTCGCTCTTGCTGAAGATATAGTGGTTGACGTTGGTAAGGCTTATGCTGTCAGCACAGGCTCAAAATCATCAGATAAAGTGAAATCCAATGTGGAATCTGAAGGAAGTACTGCTGCTCAGCAGGCAGATTTGCAAGGTGCTGATCTGGAACCTGAAGTTACATATGAGGAATGCAGTGCTCCGCCAACTTCAACCCCGGAAGATATTGAAATTCCAGAACCAGAATTCTTCAACTTTGATGCTGAGAAATCCATTGAAAAGTTCCAAGTAGGTCAGATATGGTCATTGTACAGTGATGAGGATGGCTTGCCAAAGTACTATGGTCAAATTACAAAAATTGGTACTGGCCAGGGTTTCAAATTGTGGCTTAGGTGGCTTATACCATGTGCACTGCCGAATGATGTAATTCAATGGCGTGATGAGGATATGCCTATTTGCTGTGGTAGATTTAGTACTAGAAAGGGTGGATTACAATCCTATTCATCCACTGATGCCTTCTCACATCAGTTAAGTGCAGAACCTGTTGGTAAGAAAAATGAATATACCATCTTGCCTAGGAAAGGTCAGGTTTGGGCACTGTACAGGAACTGGTCTGCTCAGATTAACCATTATGAATTGAATGAATGTAAATATGATGCAGTGGAAGTGCAGGAGGAAAATGATTTAGTGATCAAAGTTTCACTTTTGGAGAAAGTCGAAGGTTTCAACTCAGTTTTCAAGGCTCGATTAAACGAAGGATTAGCTGTCATAATGGAGGTTCACTGTGTCGAGCTGCTTAGATTCTCACATCAGATTCCTGCTTTTCGACTAACAGAAGAGAGGGGTGGCAGCCTGAGAGGCTTTTGGGAACTTGATCCTGCAGCACTGCCAGTTCATTTATGAGTTGAAACGGTAGGTTTATCCGAACGTCATCTATTTGCAGTTGATATCAACAGACAGCGCATGTTTTGGGAAATGCTGTTTGGTAATTGATGCTTAATTCCCAGTTTTCCGGTGTGCCTGGATGATGGACGCCAAGTTGATTCTGCTTGCATCAATGCATCAACTGTGTTTTATGATCGCTTTTGGAAGTTTCTGCATTTAGATAGAAAGAGAACTGCTAGCTGACTTGATGACTCTCATTTTGTCTAGCTTGGTTGGTTAGGCCACAAATCAGTGGTTGGGATGGCAAATCAGCTGAAGCACAGAAATTGAATGTTTTCACCTTTTTTTTTTTTTTTTTTCAAGAAAGGGGAAGGGGACATGCAAACTTTTCTCATTGTATGATGCTTTTTTATCACCTTCTGATTGGATGGAGATAATCAAATTTAGCTGCCAACATATTTGTATGATGCTGAACTTTTATTTTCTTTTTTTTGGGAGGCTTCAATGGTATAAATTAAACCCTTTGAATTCCTTCACGGCAAATTCCTTTTTTTTTTTTTTTTTTTCCTGAAAGGGGACATGCAAACTCTCATTGTATGATGCTTATTTTATCACCTTCTGATTTGGATGGAGATATCAAATTTAGCTGCCAAACATATTTGTATGAATGCTGAACTTTATTTTCTTTTTTTGGGAGGCTCAATGTATAAATTAACCCTTGAATTCTTCACGGCAAATTTTTTTGGCACTCGCTAATTTTATTTTGATATATTAAATATTTCAATTTATTAAATTGGATTTACTAAATATTATATTTAACTTATTGAACATCTTAATTTTTAAAATTAGATTGATTAAACACTTATTGAATAGATAAAAAAAATATAAAAATTATTGTTTCAAAATTATATTAATTACATATCAAATTAAATATTTTGCATATAAATATCAAAAATTTTAAAAATTATTGTTTGTGTGAGATTATTATAAGAAGAAAAGTTTAAGAAGTAACAAAAAAGTTCAAGATGTTACAAAATTGATTTTAAAATTCAAGGTGCCATAAATTTTTTTTTTCTCAAAATTTAAAGGTTAAATTATGTATATCACTTTTTTGGCACTAGAACTATGTTATGCAAATGTGATGACAGTACCAAATATGGATGAATATTGATTCAATGAATACTTCAAAATAATAATAATAATAATAATAATGTCATTAAATTTATTAACAAAAAATACATCTAACAAAGTTAAAATACTTTGTAACATAATTGATGTTACAATAAATTTCACAAAGCTAACATTTCAAAATTTAGTACAAACTAAACTAAATTAATTCAAGTTGGGTCACGATTGCAGGTTTACCTCATGAACATCCGATTCAACTCATTCATAAATTATGAAGATGATTGATCTAACTTAACCTGGTATCTTTTCAAACCTGTCGAGTGAGATTGGGTTGACTTGCGTTGTTTGAATCTTGGAATTACATCGAGTTAAAACAGATCATGCAGGACCCTACTTCTTATTATATTTGAAACCATTTTAGGCTGGTTGGGATTGACTCAAATAATGAAGTAGCTGTATTCTTGTTTTGCGTGCTGCGGAAATTCTTTCCCATGATGTTAAGCTTTAGTGATTTCTAAGAAAGGAATAATGTACTGGAAGTTTCCATCTTCAATTCCATTTGCCAATCTGGAATTCTTAGAATCTATTCAAGTTATAAATGGTTGTCTTGGTGAATGCATATCTTCGTGGCACAGGATACGGGCGTTCATGAACTCCATCCAATCCGAACCAAAACTACGGTTTTAAAAGGTTGATTGTTTGATTTGGTTTGAAAAACATAAATACAGAAAGGTCAATTTGATTTATAATTTCAAGTCAAAAACATCCAAGTTAAACTGAACTAAATGCACTCAATATTATTAGTTTATATGTGCATTTAAATTAGCCAAATTACTGTTTTTTTTTTTTTTATACATGGGAGGTCCAACAGACTGCAATAACATTGTGGGCTGCACAGTAGAAGCAACCCTCCTCTTTAAATAACATTCATTAAATTGGTGATTACATCTACTTCGAGAGGGAGAAAGACCAATCAGACCACACCTGATTAGCTACTATTCTTTTTAATTATGTTAATATTTAAAATTTTATGTATATTTCAAACATATTATAATAGGTAGATTTTAATGCATAAAGGGTTTATTAATGTGATGTGAAACTATTTATTATTATTATTATTATTTTTTTTTTTTTGTAACTAGCAAAGGATTAAGGAAATACAGCTTGAAATGGTTTATGGGGTAAATAGTGTAAACAAATAAAGAAATTTACAGTGTCAGCATCTCGAAGAAATTTAAGTTTATTGCATGGCGTTGAGTCATCTAAAAGTTTTTACTCCAAATCTGAAATCTTTCACATGGGTTGCAAATATAACGCATAGCTTTGTTCTGGAAGTTTGATGCATCACCAATTTGTTATTCTCTATCTTCCATGAAAACGGAAACGAATAAATATGAAAATGCAGAAATTGTACGAATAAACTATATTTAAAATATAATTTTATACGGAACGATATTTTATATAGAGAAATGGAAACGCGAAAATGATATATTATATAAAATTACAATGCAGACACTCAGATTATCGTGCTGTTTGTCTAATTACAAGTACATAATTTTATTCAATAAAATGCCACAAACATGAAATACCTCAAACCATAAGAAATTAAAAAAAGAAAAATATATACAAAATGGGTTTCGACACAATGATGTTATAGTCGTCTCCTGGACCAGGATGTCCAGGAGGAGCATATGGAAGTTTAAAGCTTCAATTGGAGCTTTAACTTAAGAAGAAGAAAAAGAAATTATGGAAAACTGAGCTTTTGATTTACAAGAGCCAAAGCGTTGCTAGTGATTCTTGAAACATTCAATATAGCTTTCTTTATCTTACTCTTAACTGCAGAGCTTACTTTAGTACCATCAAACCCATCAGTGCAACCATAATCATCTGTAATGGCAGCACTAACCCAAGTTTTTATATTAGAAATTTGGAATCTCACATCAGAACTATTAAAGTCTAAACTGCTCAAATCGCTCAATGATTGGTTTAGCTCATAAATACTGTCTCCAATTTCATCAATGCAATCTTGAACTACTTCAGCTTCAGTTTCGCTCAGTTCTTGTTGGTTTGATAAATCTGTCATAAAATATGATGTGTTAATGGAAATTTGTAGGGATACATTTAATGCTGTGGTACAAAGGATTAGGTCATCGGTTTTTATTATGGATGAATAGGAAGAAAGAGAGCTATAGCACAGTTTTGGATATGTGGTGGATTTGCAGGCTGTTTTTAGGTAGTTTCTATAGGTTTTGTTAGAGGTTTTGGTGGCGGCTGTCGTGGTGGTTGTGGTGGCGGTGGCGGTGGTGGATGCTGCGGTGTTTTTGGTGTTTGATATGAAGAGAACGAAGGTAAGTAGAAGTGGAAATATGAGAATTTGGGTTTTGGTTTCCATTCTCTCTCTCTTTCCTATCTTTTTTCTCTTTCTTTTTTTTTTTTTTTCCTGTGCAATTATGGGTGAATGGAGAAATTCCAATTTATAGGAAAATCCCAATTTGGTGCCAAACTTTAATTATTGGTTGTATCTTAAAAAAATGGAAATAATAATAATTAATTAATTAAGGAAAATTCAAATATAAGACATGCAATTCACATATAATTCTAATTCTAAGATTGGAGATATGGTATTAATTATCTTACTGCCTAATTAAGATACCTTAAGTTTTGATAGCTATCCCTTTCAAAATGTATATAAGGCATGGTCTGAAATGAAAATACTAAATTTGAGGGGCTAAAATCTGAAAAAATTATTTTGAGGGCTATTTCTAGATTTTTAAAAATTATGCACAAAAATTTTGGGGATTATTTTTAGAACTTTTGAAAGTTTTAGGGCAATGGCTATCCCTATCAGATATGTATATTTACTCAAAGAAAATTGCAAGTTTCAGTTTTTAAAATCATTTTGATTGATAGATTTTAACATTCTATGAATCTGACAAATTATTTTGTTTGGTTCAAAAAATTTATTAAATTTATAAAAATTTCATTGTAGTCTCAATTTTATCATTTTAGAAGAAGAAGAAAAAAATCTTATTTCACACGTAGAATTTCTCTATTCTATTATTTCTTTAAACCTCTTAATTTTATTTTAAGAATATCTTTTAATTTCATAAATTTTATTTTTCAATTAGACATAAAATGGAAAAATCCACAAAATTTAAATTCCATATATTTTGTGAAAAATTTAAAATTTATAAGAAATTAAATAATACAATTTTTCTATACTTTATAACTAACAGAAAAAACAAATATAATTAATAATTAATAATATTCATTGAGTATCAATCTTTTATTAGTAATTATAATCTTAGTAGTTAGTACTAACAAATTTATAATTTTTAAAATTAACAATATTTTGTGATAATATTTTAGTATGTTTGATATATATATATATATATATATATCCACATGATTGTGTAAGAGTATCCTACCTATAGTATGTATAAGCAATGTGTGAATGACAGTTAGGAATTAAATTTAAGAAACGGAGAATATGTATTGATAATTTAAAATTTAGAAAAGATTAAAATTAAAAGTTTTGAAAATTAAAATTGAAAGCAAGAATGAATTAGATATTTAAAAGACTTAAAGGCTAGAAATGTGTATGGAAACGTGTATATTTTGACAAGAACTTCATTATTATTATAATAATTAATGTTGTGACAAGAACTTTATTATTACGGATGTCATGTGGAGAAGAAATAGGTATAGATGCTGGCAAATATCGCATGGCGTGCAAGTGTTGTGCTACTAGACAGCAGCCAAGCCCGAAGCGTGATAGTGCGAAAATGCGTGAGGATGGCTTCAGCAGGCAGCAGCAACAGCCGCCTTTGGGCTCTCTCTCTCGCAAAAATAGGAAAATGGTTTCTCACAAAAGGATTACAAAAAAGAACTTTATTGATCCTGACATAGTTACTAGAAAGAAAGAGAACAATGAAATCAAAAGAAGAGAACTTTATTGATCCTTACATATGATTACAACTCGATAACTACCTTTGCCTGCTCAAGTTGCCAAGTAGAAGAATACTGGTAAGACCATCAAGATACACAATCCACATATCTAGTAAAACAATTGCACGCAGTTTGGAAAAAAAAAAAGTAGCCAGACAGGAATCATGACTTGCAAAATGCCCGGAGTGTATCATCGAGAGCCTTCCTATCATAATCACCCGTAAATACACAATTACCCAGAGGACCCTTAAGCAGGATAAGTCTTAGCAGCCCATCAGCTACCTTCTTATCAACCTGTCATAAGATAAGAATACAGGCACATTAATCATACGAGGAAAGAACTTGAAATTTATATGGCAACAGCATTTATCGCTCTTACCGCCATGACGGATTTAAACATTTCTACAGTCATGGTGTCTGGTGGCGCGGTGGGTAACTTAGCCTGTTGAAGAATGTTATGAACTCGCTTTACAATTGAATCATCAATCCAACCAAGGCGGTATGACATGTCAACAGCCATCACCTGAAAATTCCTCATGAGAGCAAGATCAGCACATGGAGGATGATATAGAATAAAAGGATGACAAAAACAAGAGCGGCAAATGTAATATACCATGCCGGCTGCAACAGCTTCTCCGTGAAGCCACTGCCCATATCCAAAGCCAGTTTCTATTGCCTGAAAAGACATGCCACACAAGAAAAGAAGCTATCAATGAAGTATTTGGAGATAAAGAATGAATTATTTTGATAATGGAAGAACCGGACAATGGCAAGCTCAAACACAAAGTTTGCAGCTTAACTAAAAGGTGGCAGCGAAAAAGGAAAGAGCATAGTGAAAGAATGGAAGTAACAAATTCTGCCTATGAAATCAAGAGATATACTTCATTAACTATTTCTCATCTTTCAGCATTAGCAGCAAGTTCTGCTTAGGTGAGGCAAGGTATGAGTCATTACCAAGAAAGCAACTCCACAAGTTGCTTCATGATGAAGGAGAAATGAATAAAATATTGGATGAACATTTCACGAGAGACACTTGGGTAAACTGCCATAAAACACTTTGTAACCAACATCTGTTTGTTCCTCACTGTTTAGACGAAAATAAAGAAGCATATGATTTAAGCTAACATTGCAGGATAACCTGTTATGAGCAAATATCACCCAGGAAAACAGTCCTTCACTTGTCTGCCTCTCTCTCTCTCTCTCTCACACACACACACACACACACACACACATACACACACATGACAATGTCAATTTCAAAAGGACAGAACTTACATGGCCAAATGTATGACCCAAGTTCAGTGTTGCCCTTAGTCCACTTTCCTTCTCATCCAAGGATACGACCTCAGCCTTATTTTCACATGAACGCTTTATGGCATATGCCAGTGCATCTGGATCCCTGCCATAGGCGAAAAACCAGAAGAAAATAGCATTGTTAATGGGAAAAGGCAGACAAACGCACACACACACACACACATACACACACATGACAATGTCAATTTCAAAAGGACAGAACTTACATGGCCAAATGTATGACCCAAGTTCAGTGTTGCCCTTAGTCCACTTTCCTTCTCATCCAAGGATACGACCTCAGCCTTATTTTCACATGAACGCTTTATGGCATATGCCAGTGCATCTGGATCCCTGCCATAGGCGAAAAACCAGAAGAAAATAGCATTGTTAATGGGAAAAGGCAGACAAACGCAAGATTTTTATGCATATTTGCTTTATGAAGAAACCCAGTTTTTTTAAGATAATCATTATAGATTAGTTCGAGAAAAAGGCTAATCACATGTATTCCTGAAGGAAGAAATTAGATCCAACATTATGGATTCCATTTCAAGTTGTTCACTAGATTTCATATAAAACAAAATTGATCTTAAAGAAGAGTTCAGTTAGAAAGTATAAAATGCAAATTTGCTTGTTAGAAAACCTAATCAAATTTCATTTTTGATTGAAATCTAATACCTTGCCATTAATTTTGGCATATTCTTCTCCTGCCACTCAAAAAATTCAGCATCTCTTATAAGCCCATACTTTACAACCTCTGCAAGGCCAGATGCCAGTTCCCTATTGGGCAGAGTGTTTAAAGTGTCAGTGTCAATGAGCACACATTGAGGCTGGTAAAATGCTCCAATGAGGTTCTTTCCAAGGCGGTGATTAATACCAGTTTTTCCTCCAACAGAAGAATCAACCTGAAAGGCAAACAATTTGCAAGAACAAAGAAATGATAAATACTTGTGAAATCAGATAAAAAGGCTTAAAGAAAATATAATTGAAAAACAAATGAGTTTGGAGTAGCAAAAGACCTGTGCCATAACAGTGGTGGGAATCTGAATGAAATTAACACCGCGGAGAAAAGAGGCAGCGGCATATCCACACATGTCACCAATAACACCCCCTCCAAGAGCAACAAATGTACACCGTCTATCCAATCTTGATTCAATGGCCTTGTCAAATACTTTCATAAGAGTTTCCTGTCAGCATTAGCAATATTTGCATCGATTCTACAACTTTCCGTAAAAAGGAAATAAGAAAACAAAAGTTGAAACTGAATTTTTATGAGACCTACCATATTCTTATACTTCTCCCCATCAGGCAAAATTACACTCTCAACTGAAACATTTGGGTTCCCTCTTGTTAATGCATCAACCACTCTATCCAGGTATATTGGTGCTACTGTGTTGTTTGTCACCACAAGCACTCTCTTTCCATGAACATGCCTAATGAGAAATCAACCATTAATGATCAAACTGAAATTTTTATTTTTATCTTTTTACTTCAGTAAGAACCCACAAGAATCAGCAAAGCACACAATTCACAATACCTTTGGAGCAATTCAGGTTGATCAAGAAGTCCTGATCCAATGTAAATCGGGTAGCTCCGGTTACCCAAATCGACTTCCACAATGGTAGGCGCTTTAGAACTTGCTTCACCAACCGACTGGTCCATAACCTGCGCAGAGCTGGCAATTATCCTCGAGGACCTAATTCGAGTCGAATTCAGCACCGGTAGGCCAACCCGTTCCGAACGAAATGAAATCAAGTTAGGGTTTTTGAGTTGTAGATAGAAATCGGGCAAGTTTTTAGACCTTAACGTGGAAGAATTGGCGGCGGAGAGAGAAGGCGAGAATGTGTTTGCCATGGAAGCCATGAGCTCCGATTCTGATTCGAATCAGTTCTCTTTGCTAAAGAGAAAATATGATTTTGGGTTATAGTTTGTGGTTTGGTAAGCATCATTGAGAGTCTGTTGAAGAGGAAGGACACTGGGGGTAGGTGAAGCGAAGCCTATTGGTGATAGACGTCGGATTGACCAGATCTGTAGGTCCGGTTAACCAGATTATGAATTGTGGTTGGTCCGGTTCAACAAAATGTCTCTTTTTTTTTTTTTTTTTTTTTTTTTTTTTTTTTTTGTTTTTTTTTTATCTCAAAGATCCAAAGTTTCCAAACAAATTTAATTTAAATATAAAGTGAATTAAGTTTCAATTTTGTTAGTATAATCAACTTGAAATTCTAGAATTATTTTATAAATATATAACTTGATTTAATTATATTTTTTACAAATTTTTTAAAAATAAATATTTCATTTCAATTTTTTTTTTTTTTTTTTGTTTTTTTTTTACTCTCAAAGATCCAAAGTTTCCAAACAAATTATTTTAAATATAAAGTGAATTAAGTTTCATTTTGTTAGTATAAATCAACTTGAATTCTAGAATTATTTATAAATATATAACTTGATTTAATTATATTTTTTACAAATTTTTAAAAATAAATATTTCATTTCAAATATAAAAAATGGGTGTTTCCAATTTTACACCCATTCAATGTATTATTTAATTCAACTAACGTTGGAATAGGTTTTTAATAAACTTGTTGGGTTGAAAGTTGAATCAGGCATCATGGGAAAACAATACATTTGAAAGTTTGATGCTAACTGAAATTACTAATGATATGTTGTCTGAACTAATTAAAGACAATTAATCACCAAAAAGTTAGCTTGTAGCTAAGTTCTGGCTGCTCAGTACAAATTCTTGATCAAATATTTGTTTATTAATAAAAAATTCCTCATGGTTGTTGTAGATGTAATAAAATGGTTTTAAAGAAAAAAGTATAGTTTGATTTTGAAGATAGGCTGAAATGCAATGACCATTTAGTCAAAGGGATAGACTTATCTAAACTTGGGTGTGTTCGGCAAAATTAATTGTTTTGGTAGTTGTTAACTGTTTTAATAGTATTTACGTATTAGCTGTTAGCTATTTGTGTAGTGTTTCATAAAATGCTAAAAGCTAAATATCACACGATTCATTTTTTTATAAAATGCTGACTTACGATTCATTTTCTTATAAAATGTTGATTTAACCTCTAACGGCTAATTCAAATGTTATGTTACCGAACACTATAAAAAATAACATTTAGCGTTTTAATTGACTACTTAAAAGCTGTTATCAAACACAGTCTGAGTCTATCACCACATTCATAAACCAAACCTAAAAATAAGATTTTTTGTTTTAATGAGAGTATTTTGACCATACAAATATTGATCTGATTAATTTTGTAGGTTCATTTTGATATATGATTAATCACTAACCAAAAAGAATCATATGTTTATGGGAAGTCTTCAATATACGAATGATGCTATATGACCACAAAATTCAATTTATTAATAACTACTAATCCAAGAACCAAAAATTTTTAATGAAGGCCAAGCATGACTTCCTTTCAAGAAAGCTCTTGGGCAACAAGATAATTCTTGTTATTGTGTGACTATAACCTCTATATCAATAGCTTTTCTCACCATAGAAACAGCAAGAATCTCTAGTAAAGAATAGTCTGGCTTTGGGTGTGTAAACATTATTTTAGAATTGTTATAGAACAGAACTACCATGCTTTGCAGAAATGGCCATATAAGAAGTTTATCAAGAAAATGAAGCAGCTAAGCTTTTCGGATTATGGAAACAGCAACACTCACATGCTCTACTTCCTTAGCATCAGTTGCCATAATTTCAGTGAACTTTTCAAATAAAATATCCATAATATTGGCTCCAAAGTGATTCCGAATCATCGACTCATTGACTGCTCTGATGGCCTTTCCCATGTTTTTTGCAGTTTTTGCCCTATCACACTTGATTCCTCCATTACAGCCATCCCAAGGAAGTATAAGGGTAACAAGGCGATCGAGGGCAAATGATCCTTCTTTCTCTATTTCAGCTTTGATGTCTTCTGTATATGGTTCATAGTATGGTGTATTATATGTATCCAGCTTTTCTTCTTCGATAAGCCCCTGAAATGGATTGATATTATATGAATTTAGCTTGGAAAAAATGAAAATGAGAGGAGCAACTGAAGAACAGCGCATACCTTTGAAACTAAATCTTGGAACGCCTGTCCTAAATAATCCCACAGTAAACAGCTTTCATCTGCAGCTGGGTCGACTAGTCTTCTTCCCTTGAACATCAAGACCATGCGCCCTCCTGGAACTACCTCTCTTGATCGAGCCTCGAGAAACGAAGAGAAGTCTCTCTGAAATTGTGCCTTGTATGCGTTTATCACTTCAGGTGGACTTGTCTTTGAAATGAATATCTTTCCTTTGTTTATTAGAGGATTCAATTTGTTGCTCAATTCTGGAGGCACCTTATTTATGAAATGGAATCAGCAGAAATAAAAAGAGAACCGTGCAAGACTAAAAAAATGTGAATGTCTTAGCAGTTGGTACAATTAGGAAGAACATTAATTCATTACAATAACAAATTCAATCCAATTATTTGCAGCCACTAAGATACCATCTTCCTGGACTGAATTAACCATGATGGTGACAGTTATGCGACTATTATAGAAGAATTTTACGATATGCTTATCAAGGATTGGAGAAATTTATTGATAGAAAGCTAACCTGTGAAAGCCAATGAAGACTGGAAGCTGAGTGCACAAAATGTAGGCTTTTTGATGGAAAAAGCCTCCCATAAAAAGAACCTGGAACACCATAAATATAACATGGCCCAAAGTTGTGTCCGTTTTCTTCCATCATTTTCTCATGGAAAGCTGGCAAAGACTTGAAAACAGTGTTGAAATCATTCCCAGGGAGATCATTTAAAAGCACACAAAATTCAGGTGATGATTGACCCAATTGAGAGCACTTTTTGTGGATGATGCTTGTGATTTCAGCAACAGCAAAAATACTGGTTGGCCCTGAAGAACAACCAAGGTCGGCTATAGTAACACACTCAGGTAAGTTGCTGTCACAGAAATCTATCACTGCTTGCACTAGTACTGGCACTGTCTTGGATAGATATGCACTCTATCAAATATTAAAAGAAAAGCAAAATAATATGGGCAAGGTACACAACAATAAAGAAAATTTCCACTTAATTGAACCTTTAAAAAGAAAAAGAATCTTACTTTCACATCATTGAGCCATACCCATCTGAAACCATTGACATTCTTTATTGTTAAAGACAATCACACTGTTTCTTTGCAACGATACTACAAACTGAATTTTTTTTTGATCCAGCGGTCCTCTAACACTATTACAACCTAAAAACGATACTACAAACTAAAAAACTAAAAACTAGTATGAACAATTAGTGTTCAATTCCAAACTAAAAATTAGTATCAAGAAAACCACTAAGACTACTATTTCAAGAGTGTCAACCACCAAGGTTACTACTTCATTGTTAGTAACTTAATAGAAACCAAAAAACAAACATCTAACCGGCAATATCAAAAGAACTTGCAAAATGAGGAAAGAATTGAAGAATTTAAAGGAAAACAAAAACAGCAATAATAATAATAAAACATAATATCACTAACCCACAAATAGAATTAGAAAGCTTTTAGCCTAACAGCCATCTTCTTCATCCTAAGAGAATTAGTAAAGAATTCAACAAACCTGAACTGATCAAAACACAACAGAATACAAAAAGAAAAAGTATTGGAAATAGGAAACTGAAGTGACCTGTGATTTTGAGTTGTTAGCATAGCTTTCCTCTCCAACACCTCCTTTCATGCGGAGGACATGCTGCATTCGCTTGTTATCTTCCTCCATTTCTGAATCACCTCTGTTCTTCAGAGACTGAGCTCCTTCGGTTAATTAGTTGATGTAAACTACTAAAAAGAAAATGGAACTGTCGTCGTGTGTGCATTTTGAGGTAGATAACTACAACTCTGCCGTTTTTTCTTAATTATAACGACGTTGCTCTTGTCCTTATTCCATTTTATTCTAAAGCTTTTTTCGGAAGTTACTTTAAAGCGAATTATTAATTTATTATTAAAGTATTTAAAAAGTATATTATGTTAATCTAAATTTTTATTTTTGAAAATTAATTTACTTCAATCTGTATTTTATAATCATCACCTTTCTCTATTACTAGTAAACTGATGTCTACTGATTGATATTGTGAATAATTAACTTTGTCATTTTCTTCAATTCTATTATGAATTTCTAAATTTTCAATTCAAAGAAAGAACTTACACTTTATAAATTGTTTTTCTTTCTTTTTTTTTTATTTTTGAAAATAAATTGTCTTCCTTCAATTAGCAGTTTGTTAGAAAATGGCTCAACGTGAGTGGATCAAATTGATGCAAATATTTCTCAATTAACATAATAAGGGATATGTTAAAACGATAACCTAGTAAAATAACTGACAGCTTTATATTAAGACAAATAATAATTATTAAAACAGGTATAATCTAATTAATCAGATACCAAAATTGTCAAACCATGAGTTGGCTTGGCTCCAATTCCAAGTACAATTCAAACTTTTTTTTAAAAAATTAGTTTTTATAAGTTGTTTTTTACGGTTCAAATCGAAACAAATCCAAATCAACCTGGTTTTAGTTCTTGGCAAGGGGGGAACTGAAACCTAATATAATCCCATTGATTGATTTTCGTTCTGGTTGGAAAAGATGACGCCAAGGAATTGAAATGGGCCAGCTTTATTGATGTTGGCGTTTTGGGCCCTAAACAGCCCCAAAATGGGCTAAAGCTGAAATAAAAGTCCAGCCCGTCACGCAATTTTCACGAGCTTAGTGGCTTCCTTTGTACTCTCTCTAAAATTTTCTCTGAAAAAAACCCGCGAAATTATACTCCCGTAATTTCTGCAACTGAAAGCACTTCTCCTGTATTTTTCCATTTCTCAATTATTTATTTTTTCCATTCCGTGTTTCAACAAAGTTCACTTCCTATCGTTTAATTTTGCTCTGATTTTCTAGCTTTAGGGTTTCATTGAATTACGTTACAGGAGTATTCAAGCGATGGATGAAGAGATTCAATTTCAATCCAGGTTTGTTAGTACAGAACCCTAAACTTTGAGTTCTTTTAGGTGATTTCTTTTTGCAGTGACGGTGATGGGGAAAAGAAATGCCGTTGTCGTTTTATCATCGGATGATGAGGATAATGAGACTTCACTGCATTTGAGTCGGAGCTACTCGAAGCCGAAACCGAGAGCATTGGTTACTCGTACAAACCCTAGAGATTTGAAGAAGCCTCGCCTTTCCAGTTCTCAGTCTTGTTTGAGTAGAGAAGCTAGTAATGTAAATGAGGTATACATTTATTTGTTTATACTACTATGTTACTCGATGAAATTTAATTTAAAAAAATTTTATGAATATATAAACGTAGGATTTTAAGTGTTTTATTTTTTCTCAATTTGCTAGACATATATGCAATTACTTTTGTGGGGAAAAAGAAATGAAAATACAAAAATTGATGCTGTTCTTTGGTTATCTTCCAATTCTTGATTTTTGGATTGTCTTCCATGCAGATCAGATTCCCTTGTGAAGATTTTGATGATCTTTTTTATGGGTCCAAGGTATCTGCTGGTATGCCATGGTTTTCATTTTTGTTATGGGCTACGCTTACTTTTTCTCTTTATATATGTTGGATATTATTGTTAGTGTTAGTTGGGAAATGGAAAGGCCAATGTCTTAGGTTATTCTTCTTCTCAATGAATTTGACAACTGTACAAACAGTTGAATTTATCAGTTCTACAAAATTGTCTTTTCCTTTGAACCCCACATATTCATTTTGCCCCCTTAGAGCTAATTGGAAGGGGACACATGGACCAGGTTCTGCAAGGAGCGAAATAAAAGAATTATGGATTGATAAATACAAGCCTCGTTCTTTGGAGGAACTTGCTGTTCATAAGAAGAAGGTTAGTTCATTTGCTTCACATTTTATGCGTGAATTTATTTGTTTTGAAAATTTCATTTTTGTCTGTATTATTTTCAGGTCGAAGGAGTTAAAATATGGTTTGAGGAAAGATTGAGAGCTTCAAAGGTAACTCTCTAGTAATGTAAGCTAGCAAGAATAATATTCAAGTATGTAAATTACCCTGAAAGAAAAATATGAAAATGAAGTTAACAACCACATAAATATTTTTCTGGCCTAGAAGCTTGATTGTGAGAATAAAAAGGATGAGATTTACATTCAAGCATTAAAGGGCAATTATCACTTATTTAGTCCTTTAATAAATAATATTGAGTAAAAATTGAAGTTCTATGACCAGAAAAGACCTTTCTGTCGATCATGCAAGAAGAAAGACCTATAATGTAAACCAAGGACTTCTGCCAGGAATTTGTTTACATTCTCTGGCTGTGTTGCATCCCTTGTCCACTCAGTTCAGAATCCTAGTGACTACCCACCTCACAATTATTGCTTGGTGATGAGGGGGTGTGGGGGCTATTTGGTTCAACCTTACCAAACTAAAAGAAAGTTATTTGGCTTAAGGTTACAAATTTATTTCATGTTGCTTGCTGTTGTTTTATTTTCTCACTGTTTTCCAGAATTTAGGAAATTCTCAGGGCTAGTGCATGGGAAAGACCCCTGTAAACTGTAATTCTTTTTATTTTCTTTTATTCAAAAATTCATTCTGCTTCTGGTCAATTTCCTTTTCTTTTTTCTTTTGTGCAGGAAAAAATTGAAAATAATGTTCTTGTCATCACTGGGCAAGCTGGTGTTGGAAAGTCTGTAAGTTTCTGCTCTGCGGTTCACATGTTATTGTTTTGAACCTGCCTAATCTATTGGCAACAGATTAGATTGCATGGCCTTGAATAATATTTGGTTGTTGCTCCTTAAATTATTCCAGAATTGATGTGATCTGAGATGAAGATGCTTCAAGTTCCATTTATTTCTGGAAAATATTTTCCCACAAAACATTTTCCAGATTTTCTGATATTTGGGGCACCTAGGAAAATTTGTTAATGGAGGATATTTTCCTATCACAAGGAAAATTAAGGAAAATAACTTCCTTTTTTTTTTAAGCGAAGAGAACAAGTTACGAGCTTTCATAAACTTATTATAATGTAAAAAATAAAGCTTGTAAGTATATGCAGATTTTTCCACTAATCGTTGATATTGTTATTTAGAATCTTACAATTTGCAATTTGCAATTTGATTCGATTCCCATGCCAAACAATATGAATCTTTTGGGTGATTCAGAATTGGGCATGAATCTTATGATTCATACAATTCAAATCGATTCTCATGCCCAACAGAACAAGTGGAAAAATCAATGTAGGGAAGAAGAGCAAGAGAATATGGTTATATTAGAAAGATGAAGATGAGAAAAGGCTTGAATTTGGCAATAATAAGGAATGAACATGGATTTGTGTAGGAATTTTAATGGCTTAATAGATTTACTTTGTTTTTGTTTTTAAAATTTAACTTAATAGTTTGATATTTTCTACTCAGGAACTACACAAGTCATTAGGATCACTTTCATTTGTGTTTTGTACATGGTTTGAAATTGAAATGTATATAAATACATTATTTGCAATTAAATTTTTAGTATCTTTTGATAAAATAATGGGAAATGTATCCATAAATAGTATATTAATTTTCATTAATTTTGAAAAGTTTACTGAATCTTACAATTTGATCCAATTCTCGATTCTCGATTCTAAAATAAGAATTCTGATTCTTGACTCAAATCTTTTGACAACTATGATCAGTAGTCAACAATGCCAATTGTGTGAACACCAGTCACTGATGACTGCCTAGCCACTACTACACCAATGACTCTCACAATTTATATTTTTATGTATTTTTCTCATATTCAATAATAAATTTGTAAAAAAGTGAAGTTTATATAATTCTGAACATTTTTATAGTCTTACTAATTAAAAATGATAGTATTCTTTAACTAATTTTCAATAGTTCAACCAAACAACAAAAGTGAGTTATCTGGAAAATATTTTACAAGGAAAACAATTTTTTGGAAAATATTTTCCAAAAATAAGCTATTTTCTGAAAATAAATAGAGCCTAAATGTGATCCATGTCCTTCTTTATTCTCTGTTCTATGTGTTTGGCATGTGCGAATGACTAGCTGTGTGTGAATGGACCTTTCTCTATTCTAAGGAAAGAAATTCATACATGCTTTATGTGTCTGTGGTTCTGTGTGATGTTCCCATCGCTTGCTTTCTTTATGCATTCTAATAATCAAATTTTGGTTGATAAGCAAGGGATAAAGCTACATTATAGAACTAAGACCATAATTGAGATGGTATCCCATTGATGATCCAAAAATCTTTCCTCCTGTCTTGTAGACAACTATCCATGTGATTGCATCTCATTTTGGAGCCAGATTATGTGAATGGAGCACGCCCACTCCCACGATTTGGCAAGAACACATTCATAATGCAAGTGCAGGTAATTTTTTCTGGAGAAATGAACTTGAGTGATGGACTGGTCATTGGTCCATTATTGCCTTTTGTCATGCCCAAATTTTCAATTCCCAAGTTATGTTCACTTCCATTTGATATAGGCCTCAAAACTCTTCTTGCTGAGTAAAACAGTCTCCTCTGAAGGTTGAATGCCATGTGATTCAATACATACAATTTGTTTCTGGCTGTTTGATCAGTGTCTTTAGGAAAGGGGTTTTAAGTTGAAATTTCTTCAGAATGATGCTATTTAGGACAAGGAAACTCTACATTTGATGTCAGATTCATGCCATTTTTTTGTTTTATTAAATTTTAGAAGTAATAGAATTGTAACGTCTGATGGTGGCTATAATTGTTGGCATTTCCTGGTGTATATTAGGGACACAGTACATGTCCAAGTTGGATGAATTTGTGAACTTTATTGAGAAAGTAAGGAAGTATGGATCGATTCCTCCATCTTATTCAGCTGAATCAAAATTGCCAATTATCCTCTTAATAGATGATCTTCCCGTGACAAATGGAAGAGTTGCTTTTGAAAGACTTCAAAACTGTTTGCTACTTCTTGTAAGAACAACTCGGATACCAACAGTGATACTGGTAACTGACTATGATAAGGCAGATTTGGCAGACAACACTTCACGATACATGGAAGAACTTCAGTCGTCTCTTGAGAGTGCTGGAGCTTGTAAGGTTACTTTCTTAAACAATTCATAAAAGAATTGTTAGTATACAGGTACTGGATGCTTATTTGGACTTGATTTGCAAATTTTCCAGGTTGCTTTTAATCCAATTACAAATAACTCCATTAAGAAGGCACTTACAAAAATATGCAAACACGAACAGTTTAATGTGACTGCTGAACAGATTGATCTGATAGCCAAAGCCAGTGGAGGTGATATCAGAAATGCAATTACATCTTTACAACTTTTCTGTGTGAAACCAAACATGGGGCTCAACTCATCATTGTCCAATTCTACTCCGAGTTACTCTGATGGAAAACCAGATGATATTAATTCTTTGATCTGTGGTTTTTCATTGCTATTTGGCAGAGATGAGACTCTTTCTCTGTTTCATGCTCTGGGCAAGTTTCTGCATAATAAAAGAGAAACTGAAGTTACAATGGGATCAGGTACATCCTGATAGGTTATTATCTGTTGAAGTTTAGTAGTACGTCTTATGTGGTTGTGTCAAGCAAGCGTGTTCATGTGTAAGATGGTGCATGTGCTATTTCTGTCTTGTGTGCAGTTGAATGATGCTGTTACATATGTCTGAAATTGTTTTCTTCTAAGCTAATTGTACATTTGTTGTAGAACATGATGCATTTCTTCTACGGGACAAGTTCTCTCGGTTACCATTGAAAATGGATGCTCCTGAGAAGGTTCTTTGCCAAGCACATGGGCAAGCAAGGCCAATTGCTGATTTTCTGCATGAAAATGGTAACCATCCTATATAAAAGATACTTGAATAGTTGCTTTGCTCCTCTTTTCCCCCTCAATTCTCTTTCAATGACGTATGGATATACATAACATTTTTCTACTTTTGGATTCTTTCTACTATATATCCTGCATAATTGGCTCATTCTATTTTCCATGCAGTTTTAGACTTTATAAGTGATGAAGCAATGGATGCTGCCAAAGATGTGGCTTCATATTTAAGTGATTCAGATTTGCTTATTTCCTCTTTCCGTGGAATCTTGGCCAGATATAATGAGGCAGAGAGCGTTCTTCAATCAGCTGCTGCTTCAGTTGCTGTTCGTGGTGTGTTGTTTGGAAATTCTCATCCTTCGCCTTCCAGGTTTATGTTATATGCTTTATGCATGTGATCTTATAAGCAATAAGTTATGGGTCTGAGCTCTATTACCACTAACCGGTCCTTTTGGCCATGCAGGTGGCATGCCATTCGCAGACCAAAACTTTGGCAAGTGGAACAATCACTTTTGCTTAACCAAGTACGGTGAATTGGTCTATTCCATTTTGTTCTCACTAATTCCTGTTGCTTACTCGTACTTCTCTTGATCATTTTTTCAAATGAAAAGCCAGCACAGATAAGTACAATCTGCCTCCTTCAAATGTAACATCCGATATAAAATAATCTTGAACCTCAAAGGAAAACTACTCTAACCATAAGCTGAACCTGAACAGAACTCTTTTAGATATAAGCTCATTCCAATAGTGCTGTTAAAAGTTTACTTGAGCAGGCTCATTTTCATGTCATTTGGATTTTGAATTACTTTGTGTTGAATGATAGCCTTTGAGAGATTTGAATTCTTATGTAAGGAGTTCTTCTCAGTTGTGCCCTGTAGTAATTTAAGCAAATTGTTTACTTGTTCTATGGTCACCTTGTGTTGTGAGCGGAAACGTATGGATGCAGGTGGTTGCATGTGACTTATGTAATTACTTTTACCTTAAATAAGTAATCTTTTTATGTGCTAAAATGCAGAAAGAGACCATAAGCCAAAGGCTTACTGTTTATGGTGGATCCAGCTTCTCTAACATGTCAGATGTAGCTGCCGAGTACTTACCTGCTTTAAAAAGCCTTGGAGATGGAGCATCAGGTTTTGAAGCTCATAAAGTACACCACAAAGGGACATGGGATGACAGTTCTGAGAGGATGAGCTTGGATGACGAAGAAGGCCAGATTTCTGATGATGAAATTGAAGATTGGTAAGAAATAGCGACTCCAGATTGGAAGATTGAAGATTGGAACAAGGCCAGAAACAAGCTCAAGTTCAGATTTGTTCCAAGGTAAAGATATTATTGCGGTTTTTGTACTAAAGTCTTGTAGAAAAAAATGAATGTAAATTTTTTGTCCTGGGAATATCTTGTTAGTTCTTGTTCCCGATTTTTGAAATTTCTGTTCAGTTTCTAGTTGAAGGTAAATATCCAAGTGGAAGCCAATTAGTCTGGAAAACTCTTAGCTGTTGATGTTGGTAAACAAATTAGATTAATTGTTATTTTAATTCAAATGTGTACAATGGCAATAGTGTATTACTTTGGCTAGGCAGATTCCAAGTGGAAAAAAAAAAAATCAATTTCATTGTAGGTAATTTATATGTAAAGGCTCAAAAAGCAATTAAGAAATTATATAAGAATGGTGTATGAATTGCTTAAATTTCATTGTAGATCGTTTCTATATACGTTTTGAAATTGAAATAATTTATCCTTTACAAAAAATTAAAAAATAATTTACTCAGATGCTCAATGTATTTATCCCAAAAGTAAATTAGAAAGAATAACAAAAAAAAAAAAGTAGGAACTAATCTAATCGTGTTCATTCGGTGATAAGCGCCCCTTCATTGGGTGATAAATGGCTTTAACGTTTACGATTTATGGTCCAAGAGGATTAAATTTTCTAATTATAAAAAATAATTTTATTATAAAAAATAATTTTTATTAGGCATAAGGAGATTAAATTTTTTGATTATAAAAAATAATTAATAATAAAAATTTGAATTGACTCCAACTTTTATAAATAAAAAATATTTATATTTTTATATTACAACATAAATTTTTATAAATATAAAACTAATATAAAAAACTCACATATGACCCAAATATAAAAAACTCGTCAAATTTTTATGCACTCCTAAAAAAAGAGTAATAGAACTTATTGTCATTCATTAAGCCAAACATACCCTATAATATAAACTATATAAAGTTAGAATTGAATATCAGTCAAATCTAAAATATAAAATAATAATAAAAAAAAAAACTAGAGGTTTTGACTTCTTTTTTTATTTATTTTAACGCGGTTTGGATTTTCAAAACGGAAGAATGAGCGTTATCGAAAGGTTCATCTGTTTGTGTTTATTGATGACCTAACCAACCAATTAACTGATACGCATTGCTGATAATGATTTTCTCCTAAGGTACAATTGCTTCTTTTTTTTTTTTTTTTCTCTCTGTATTTTCTAGGGTTTTAGAATGCCTTTAATTTTGAAATTTCATCTGCGATTTCGTCATGGTTGTCTCTGAAATTTAATTCTTTCAATTGATGGTTATAATTGTAAGCAATCATCATCGTGATCCTTCTGGGCATGTAGTTTCTGTCTGTTCACAAGCATGATTTATGAACTAGGAGTTACTTGGTTTCTTGTGTGTGGGAAACCATTAATATATTAGTTTATTTTGAAAGTGAAAAACATAGGTTTCTTTTGAGATGGACTATATTACATGATTTGATGGAAAGTTTAGTTTATGTTTGCTTCAGAGACCAAAGATCCTGTGAACATTTCTTGTAATTATCAGTTTTGCTTCCATTTGATAATATCAGAAATTTCTAAGTTTCCAGTGATTATTGTGTCGATTTTTTTTTTTTTCTTTTAAATGCACTCGTTTAATTTGAAAGATTTCATACTGCGATTTCGTCTATGTGTGTCTTTCGATATATTCTAATTCTTTCATCTATGTGAGAAACTGTATGGTGCAACATGCATCGTGATGCTTTGGTCATGAGTTCTGGTCTGCTTCACAGCTATGATTTATTAACTAGAGAGGTTACTTGTTGTCTTGTCTGCGGAAACCAATGTAATACTATTAGTTTACTTGTGGAAATGAAAACATAAGGTCTTTATATGTGTGTAGATGGAGCTAGAGTACATGATTGATGAGAGTGTAGTTTGTTGCGTTCATGAGACCAAAGATCCCTGGGTGAAGAGGTATACGTTAATTGTACTAGTTTTGCTTCATTTAGATGAGAGATCCAAAATTTCTACAGTTTCAGTGTGAGTGTGGGATTTCTTATGTTCTCTTTGGGGGGAGCGCGTGGGGCGTGGTAATAAGCTTCAGACATAGGATTCGAAACTCTATACTCTGTGTCATTGGAATGTGTTCCATGACTCACTGAGCTGTATATATGTAGTCATGTGTGTTGACCTCATGACTTTGATCCTAACTGAAGAGCTTTCTGGTTACCTATATTTTTTTTTTCTGTCTATTGAAGAATTTTTATTGTATTTAGTTTTTCTTATATTTGTTTGTTCTCTTTCAAACTTAGATAGTTTTTATTGATCGGCTACACTCCTGTAGTTATCCCACCGGCGAAGGCAGGGATTTACGGCAGATCAAGAGCACTCCCAATATCACTGGGCTCGGTGGACATATTCCTGGGCCGTTGATCTTATATATACTTGCAGACTGTGTTAGTTGAACCAGTTCAGCCACGGAAAACTAAATAACAATCTTTAACAAGTATAAGCATTGACCGGTCTTATGTGTGAGTGAAGTAGTCAGAAGACAGGACTGAGATGGGACACCACGGAGCAGCTCAATAACATAGGATTACTTCCTGTCTATAAGACATCGAGTCTATTGGTAAGAGTCACTTAGCTAATCAAGAGAATTTTGGCTACGATTCATCTACAGGTACGACCGTTATTGCAAGCAATGAAGCATGAACGATATACATAAAGGTAGCTGACTGGCTGTCTTCTGTGCTGAGTATCTCTTTTTTTGCTGACAGAAGATGCTGCCTAAGATTGAGGAACCTGACTTAACCCCAGAGCTTGGTTGGGAGAGCTTCTTGGCTACAAAGGTGAATTCTGAGAGATTTATGAATCTCTCTTTCAGATTTTGAGTGGACTGAGCACGTTAGCCAACTTAGAACCTACAGGAAGAGGTTTGATATTTATCGTTTGCATGTATTCGAGAGAAAAATGCCCTATCTTGTGAAAATATCTGATTAAAGTCTATAGAATTGTTGTTTTTTTTTTTTTTTTTTTTTTTTTTTTTTTTTCAAATAGAAGTTTTAGATGGCTACCCGAGTTACACGGTCAAGGCAGGGATTAACGCAGCAACCAGAACCACAATCACGGGCTCGGTGGACAACTGGGCTTACTAAGATATTTGCAGACTTGTTGGTTGACCAGGTTCAGAAAGGGAATAAACTAAATAACAATTCTTTTAACAAGAAAGCATGGACGGTTATGTGTGATGAATTTTATCAGAAGACAGGACTGAGATGGGATAAGGAGCAGCTCAAAAATAGATACTCTGTCATGAAGAGGCAGCACTCTATTGTAAAGTCACTTATCAATCAAAGAGAATTTTGTCTAGATGCATCTACAGGGAACGTTATTGCAAGCAATGAAGCATGGAACGAATACATAAAGGTATGCTTCTTCTGTGTTGATATCCTTGTTTTTGCTGACAAATATCTCCTGCCTAAGATGGAGGAATCTGCCTTAACCCCATACTTGGTGGTAGACTTCTTGGCTACAAATGGAATTCTTAAATTTATTGAAACTCTTCTTTTCAGATTAGTGGATGAGCATGTTAGAAATTGTACTAATGAAAGGTTTGGCATTATTGTTTGATGTATTGATGAGAAAAATGCTATCTTGAAAATATTGATTAGAAGTCTATAGATTGTTGTTATTAAAGTTAATTTGATATGTTCTAATCATAAACATTTTATAACAACTAAATGGCACTCTAAAAATACTTTTTTCAATAGAATATAAAATGGGACATTTTTGAAAAAAGCAGGTTCAATCTTAATGTCAAATAGGCACAAATGTGTCCTTGAGAATACCATGGAATGATTTGTGAAGCAAACTTTAGTTCCATAATAGCCATTATTTTTTATCCACATTATAGGGTTTGGAGTTCCTCCAAAGTTGGGCCAGGGGCTGACCTATGTTTCTTTAATTGTCCGTCTCAAACACTATGTGAAACATCCACCTCTAGGCACATCCTGATGCTGAGCCTATAAGAGTTAGTGGCTGCCCAATCTTCAAACAGCTTGGTGTGATATTCTCAGATGCGCTAAATAATGAGAACCATGAAGAGTCAGCTGAACAAGAGGAAGAGTTTCCTTCATCAGTTCCTTTTGAGAGACCTTTCAGCACAATTCGAGAAGTGGAGCCTTTGAACACTATCCAAGAGGACGAGGAGTCATCAGAATCTGAGGATGAGGATGATGTTGCAGACGATCAAGAAAAGTATCAACCTAGCACACGTAGTACTACTGTTGTGCACAGTACAAGTACTGCTTTGGACAGTGCAAATGCTGCTAATCGTAAAAGAGGTCGCAAGGGGATTGATGATGCTATTGCAGGAGCTATATCACACATGGCAGCTGCATCAAGGCTTAGGACAGCTGCCATAAGGCAAATTAGTGAAAGATACAGTGTTGCTGATTGTATCAAGGAATTGGATGCAATGCAAGGTGTGGAAGAAGGGATCTATTTTGCTGCTCTGGATTTGTTTGACAACCCTAATGCTAGAGAGATTTTCTTGTCTCTCAAAGGCGACAAGCGAATGATTTGGTTGCGTGGTAAGTGTACTGCTCATCTAATATCGTAGTTTATAAAGAGGAATTATCTGGACTTGTGCAATTATATACTCTTTAAATAAAGTAGTTGCTTCTTTTAACTTTGTATATATTAAGTCTAGTTTTTGTTTTGAAAAGTATATCTTTCTTGATCTAAGCTTTTTGCCCACAACATCATCATATGGTGCAAGAATGGGATTTTGCCAAGGAAGATATATTTTAGCTAAGCTTGCAGCTGTTTAGGACCATTAATCTTAGAAGCATATGGCAAACAAAATAAAAGCATTTTCTATTGAAGGAGTAATTAGTATTTAATCCTTAGTGTTTTCTCAATTACACTGTTATGGACCTCTGTTTTTAATTATGGATAAAATTTGCCTATACTCGCTGAATAGGATCATCCATACATGATACATCAAGCCAGTCAAAAAATGGTTTTTTTGAAAAATGATTACTGTTTTATCTTTTTTTTTTTTTTTTGAAATTATATTATGTAGTTCCTGTATTAAAAAATTAAACATTGATTTGAACTTTTTTTCCAAGGCAAAAATCTAAACTCAAAATGGCAATTAAATGCAAAGATTGCAGAATTTAATGATTAATTGCAACAGACGCTAGCTAATTCAACAAATTATGAATAGCTTATATTTACAATCAAAGAACTCCCCTGCCTTTTCTTCAACCTCTCTGTATCGATCGAAGAAAGTAAATAAAAGAAAAAAAAAAAGAATCAATTACTTTGAGACAATACAATCACACAAACAACTAAAGCTAACCTAAAATGCCAAAGGTGAAGGCAACAAAAATCAAATCTTGGCTTTTTACTCATCTTTCTATCTATTCGTCCATCAGAAAGAAGGAAAGGTTTCACCTTTATCTCTCTCCGCATTCGTAGTTCTCAAAAGCTAACAGTTCTAATCTAGAGAGAGAGAGAGAGAGAGAGAGGGAAAGAGAGAGACACTCAACTTTGGATTTTTTTTTTATTTTTTTATTTTTTTTTATGGACAGGAAGATTTTTTTCTTGTATGTATTACCGTATAGAAGATTGCTTTTTAATGGTGGCTTCTTGCATGGAAGATTTATTCTTTTATGATTTTCAGTCTCTTGTTTCTGATCCAGTAACTATTTCCATGCAGGGCACGTATAGCCGTAAAGGTGGTTCTCCCTTTACCGGCAGTTTTGTCTGAGTAAAAAAATAATATAATGGCCTCACATATGAAACGAGCGTTTAGAGTTAACTGTTAAGGGTATTGGAAGCATAATAATGTACATAGAGTGGCGTAATGTAGAGACAAGAAATTTAAGGGTGCAATATAAAAAAGCACGTGCAGAAAAGGGTGCTTGCTATGGTACCACGATGTATCATAACTCAAAATTTTACACTGCTTAGGTTGAAATTTTACACGTTTACGCATGCTAACGTACCTGGTTTTTATTTTCATTTTAGTTTTGTTTTTTTAGCCTTTAAAGATTTATCTATAGATACAGAAATTTTCTATTTTTTACCGTAGTTTTATCCATTGTGTAAATAGTTTTAATTTAGTAAAAAAAAATGTGTGTATAGGAGAATTAATTGAAAATATGTTGTTTTAAAAAACGGTAAACAACACGTCATTTATATATACCACAAGGATAAATTTTGTTAGTTCAAATACATAAATTAACCCATAAAATTTACCGCTTCAACTCTTAAAGAAAAGCATGTTTTATGCCGGTCAATATTAGAGCCTAAGCCCTTTCACAAAACAAATTATATATGTTTGAATTAATTTCATTTATGGATTAAATTAATGAAAATAAAATTTTTTTAAAAATATTTCTTCCTTTATTTTTTTTTTTCAATGTATAGTCAAAAATATCCTCTTTCCACTGTGCGACTTGTTACAAAATCACTTTATGATCTTTGTTACCCAGACACCTCCATTTGAAAATTTAGATATATTGATACCCTAATTTAAAAATTAAATCATAAAAGGACTGAAGTGATATTTAGTACGAGACCCATTGATTTATCTTGGGTTAGCTTAACCCGCTAAACCAAAAATTCACCCTAGTGTGCTTCCCTAATCCAAAAATCTCTCTTTTAGAAACCAACATTCATCTTCTAAAATTCCAAACAATTATTGAACTTTTAAACTCTCTCTCTCTCTCTCTCTCTCTCTCTCTCTCTCTCTCTCTCTCGCAAAAATCATTACAGGAAAGGCCAAAAGATCCTGTGAGAGATTTGTCGGATGCATGATAAAATGGCGACCTTACTTCTTAACGTGAATCAGGAGCCAGTAACTGATTACATAATGGTTAATATAAATTCCATTATGATTTGTATTCACCTATGGTGTTTGGTGACTAATTATTACAGTTTAAGGAAAGTGTTTCTCAATTCGCACGAAGAAAATATGGCTCCTCATGCATCTAAGTAGACCAAATTGATAATTTCTATAGGTAATTGAATGGGACAATTTTAGATAGTCTTTATGATTATTTTCAACCCTAAATGTGGTGTTTCTGTTATAGAAAGTTAATCTCTGAAAGTTTACGGGAGATTTTATAATCTCCATGGAATTACTGCACCAGATTTATTTATTTTATTTTATTTTAAATTTTGTGATGATTATTACGTAAGAAATGACAAATTAAAAATCTAGTTAATAGAATATTATGCATTTATTAGTTTTGTTTATTTGGAAGCATTAGAATTTTTTATATGAACCTCTTAAATAGTCATTTTTTTACATGAGTCAATTTGTTGAAGTTTTTAGTCATTTTGTAGAGGAATATTGAGGACTTAGTTTTGGTTACTTGTATCAATGCATAGCAATGTAAGAAATCAATCATCCTTCAGGATCTCTTGACCTTTTCTATGGTAATTTTTTTCGAGGGAGAGAGAGAGTTTGAAAGCCTAGTAATTATTTAGGATTTTAGAAGATGAATAGTTGGTTTGTAAGAGAGATGTTTGAGTTAGAGAAGTTAATCCAGGGTGAATTAATGGATCTCCCACTAAATATCACTATAGTCTTGTTTATGGTTTAATTTTTAAAATCAGGGTATCAATATATCTAAATTTTCAAATGAAGGTGTCCGAGATAATTGAGGGTATTTTTATAATTTAAGGCTGGTATATATGACCTTAAATTCAAATTTGTAGCAGTATTGCACAAGTTCAAGCAAAATTAAAATAGTCTGTTTATTAGGGTTAAGACAACTATACAAACCATACAATGAACATGGAAAATTTCCATTCTGATTTTCCTTTCGCTTTTTCCTAACATATTTTAGAGGCTAAGTGGGTATTTTCTCAACTTGATCACAATCAAAACAATCCACATTCAATTAGCAACCCATCCTTTCAATATTCCCACAAAGACAGTAACTTCATCCTTTTAAAGCAATACAGAAAATTCAAAACCATTCACAACTTTCCTATAACAGAACAAAGCTGCTATTATAAACCCCTCAATGCAAAATTTCAAGCTCCATGGCAACACCAAGCTCATACTCCATCTGATCCTACTACCTGAGTTCTCGCTTCATGTGCTCATCTAGTTGTCAACCATTTCAACTGATACTGACATAACTTTTTCCAATAAATAGAACCTAGGAGGTTCCTGCAACACTTCTCCATGGTTTTATCTAGCTACAGAACCGGATGCCTATCTATATACAGAGTTGTGATTTCAAATACTCAGGCTAAATCCAGATCTCTTCTTAAGGTAATAACCTCTTGACCTCATTTTCCTGATCAGCATTTTTTGCTTGGTTGTATACGGACTCAAATGCCTGCATGCATACACTTGAAAACCCTACTATTGCCTGAAAGACGTGTGGGAATCCCATTTGCAGATTATTTAGTGTCATCGCTCTTGTAATGCTTACTGATTTTTCATGCTTAGTTTTCTCTTCCTCTGCCTTTGCTCTCAAGATCTCGACTTTAGCTCGCTTTTCTGCTACTGGGTCCTTGCTTCTTGTACTACTAGAAGTTTCAGGCACCGAATATGGACCATACTTGATCTCCAGTGATCTAAGCTCTGATACTTTCTTCTCAAACTCCTTGAATGCTGATTCTGATTTCTTCTTTTGCTTGTGCTCTTCTGCTTGTTGAACTACTATAGCATGAATTACTGTTAAGAAGCTCTTAATTCCTTCAGATGCAACTTTATCTGGAATTCGATCAACTGCATGATGCCACTCTTCACAGATAGAGTAAATTCGAGATTCTTGATTGGTTCGAGAAAGAGGGTTTTTGCTGAACTGAAAAAGACTAAGCCGAAGCCAGCCGGTGAGGGACTGAATATAATCCCTCTGGGACTTGACTAGGTTGCAGAAAGATTGGTGCCATTGCTGAACTTCGAGTTCAAGCTGGAGAGTCGATTGCCTGTGAATCTCCGATGTTGGCTCAGTAGATGGGATAGTGTTGAGGTATTTGAGCTGCTGAACTATATGTGTTTGGACCTGGTGAGCTTCATACATGCTTCTCCACATGCACATCAATCTGCAAGCCAGTGGAAAATAATTCATAAAAGGAAAAACAATTCATCTCATAACATTCTTTATTGTACTAAAATCCTAAACTTGTGCTAACGCAATTTCCTAATTACCATCAAGAAAAAAAAAAAAAAAAAAAAAAAAATCAAGAAAATAAAATGTTGCATGGGACTAGCCAAGCCTGCTATATATCCTCTAAATAAAAGCAAACACACTATGGCCAATATATCAGAACCATTATTTATCTGGTGACCCCACATCAGAAATACATAGTACACAGAGCAGCAAAATTGTCTCCTTGAAAAAGACAACGGGTCGACAAAAGTTTTAAGCATCAATGTAAAGACAGATTCACATAACAAAACCAAAGTCATAACCCCCAAATTACAGTACATGGAAATAGTAACTGGATCAGTAATGTAATCTTTGAAACAAAAGCAAACAAGAGAGTGAAAATCATGCCACCAGTAAAAAAGAAGTCAAAAGCAATCTTCTGTACATACAAGAAGCAAATCTTCTGGTCCATCAAAAAAAATTCCAAAGTTGACTCTCTCTCTCTCCCCTCCCTCTAAATTTTTTTCCTGAAGATATGTTCTTTGTTCAGTACGTACGCACAACCGATTAATTGCTGATTTAATGAAATACTCTTTCCTTTTAAATCTTATAACGGCTAAATGCACTAAAGTACTGAAAACTACCGTTCTTAAGGCTCTGCAACCCACAAAAAATATAAACCATGTATATATATATAGATATACACACATGCATATATATATATATATATAGAGAGAGAGAGAGAGAGAGAGAGATAATAGGCTTAGTGAGGCCATACAAACTTGGTCATTAATTCTGTTTGAGTAATAAAGCTCTAGAAGTATAGTCCTAAAATGCAAGTACCAATTTGTACTATCTCTAGATTTGGAAAGTGAAATGGCATTGTCACATGATAAGCTTGAAGTGTTATACTAGTGGCTCTTAGCTAGCTCCTATTATTAAATGTTCATAGTCTTATGGAAAGAAAAGAGAGAGTACTAACCCTTTTACAAGCTCAAGAAGTTGAGGGTAAAGCTCTGTCTCTCTTAATTTGATGATTTCAGCAGAAGTAGTCTCAATGGCCTGTGCAGCTACCATCATTTGTGATTCTAATTTCTCCACTTCTTTCTTTGTCTTTTCTGTTTTTACATAATCAGCCCTCTTTACCTCTAATTTCCTCAGTAATGCCACTTTCTTCTCATGCTCAATCTTTATACTCTCAGCATTCTGATTAAAATCCAAACAAAAAGATCCCAATTAACGAAGTTCACAAAATAAAATATTATTATCATCATCATCTTCAAGATTGATAAAGACAAGGCAATGACCACTTTTGACTCTTTTTGACCCTTTTTGACTGTCAAATAAACTGGTAATTATGGGTCAATTAATTAGTGCAATAATTCATTAAGATCTACCTTGACCTCCTGGAATAGCTTCTTCTCCCAAGCATATATCCTCTCTACAGTCGAGCAATGGCTAATTCCTACATTATTTGCCACCATTTCATTACACATTGTACCAAATCCATTCATTTTTGGACTTGAACCCCATGCCCATAATGATGGATTAGTCAAATTGCAGCCATGATCATAAACTTTACCTGCAATTAACAACAAATAATTAAATAAAGAATCTTAAGAAGAAAAAACAGAATCTTTTATTTTATTTAGTTTTCTCAGCAACCAAACAGAGGTAAATTAACGAAATCCAAGGAAAAATTATTTACCTCCTTTCGAAAAGTTAGGATTGGGAACTTCTAGCAGCAACGAAAGTTGACTACCAGCATCAGCAGCCTTGAGAAAATACTCATCAACTTCTTTTACAATTTCTACAAGATCCTTACTATTCCTTGAAACCACCATAGCAAGCTCACTCCCACTTCCACTACGAGTCTCCTTCGAAAACCCACTCATAACTGAAGGCGGCGCTGTAATGCTGGCCGCCGTTCCTGTAGCTGTAACCGCCACTTCAGACGCTGTAGTTGTTGTCACCTCTTCCCATTCCTCTTCAGTAACGGACCGTGAAGCTGAAGGAGGTGGCGGACCAAAAGGATCCCAGAAGTCCCAGCTCGATGATTGAGGTGGTGGAGGCGGCGGTGGTGGCGGAGGAGGGGGTAGTGGAGAAGCTGTTATCGATGTCCATGTGTCGGAGCTAGGACTCATTGGTGGAGGAGGAGGTGGAGGTGTGGGAGGTAAAAGTGGCGATGATGGTAAAACAGATGGGAGATGGTGGCGCTGGTGGTGGTGGTGGTGGAGGTGGAGGTTAGCTTCTGTGTTGGAGAACTGGAGGAGAGCTGATCCAGTACTACGCAGTGAGCGAAGGTACATTGTATGAGAAACAGAGACAGCTTGTCTAGCATTAACCAACTGTTTCATGTACCTCTTTCTTGCTTTGCACCTTGAAACCATTTCTTCTCTTTCTAATCTTGAATAACAACAACCCATTTTCTTATTTTCTTGATTTTCTGGTTTAGCTTTCTTTTTCTAGTAGATCAAGTTCTGCTCTTCTTTGTTTTTGTTCTCTAAAGGTAATTAAAGTAAATTTAAATGCTTTTAGAAAGCAAAAGAAGGTTTGTTTTTTCTTTCTACCAATTTGATGGGTTTTGGAAGCAGAAGAGGGGGACGGAAAAGGAGGGAGGAGGAGATGTTGGCGCGGCGGCGGGGGTGGTGGTGGAGGAGGAGGAGTAGGAAAGTAACAGTTGCTTCACTTCTTGAGCAGTGATTGATAGAGAGAGAAAGAGGGAGGGACAAGGAGCATTGGGCAGAGAGCCAAAGTAATTTTATATTTGAATTCTTGTGACGAAAATACCCATAGGAATATTTTTATTTACCGCAAAAATGCCATGGAACATGCAACGCAGCACACAAAGCCAAATGGTCTATGGTTGGTGTCTGCCAAGATGAGGTGTACGCTAAGAATCTCCGTTTGCCAAATCCGGGAAAAGAAAAGGACTCGAGGGTTTTTTAGTAATTTGATGCTTCAACGGCACAAAATATGGCAAATCCTTTCGAAATTAGAGGCTGGTGAATGGTGACTACACACACTTCAGATTTGTTGGAGTTTAATGGCCCTAAATGCCTTAAAATTTACGGGATTTTGTAATTTTACCCTCAATTAATTAATTTCAATTAATTTATCTCCATCTAAAAATAAAAATAAAAATGTACAGAACAATTTCTGTAGTTTATAAAATATAATTAATCTGTTTTTCTATTTTTAAAATATATCAATTAGTCTTTATATTTTGCTTTTGTTATATTTCTAGATCATTTTGTTCAATTTTTATATTTTTTTCCGTTAACTCAACAAGAAAATATAGAGGTTAAAGAAGATATATTAAAATTTTATATGAGAAAAGTTGTAGTATAGTCTTTGTGGTTTGAGAAATACAATTAGTTTGTTCTTATAATTTTTAAAAATATACTAAAGGTGAGAAGAGATAAAAGTGATATTTTCGTCATTCTATAAGGCACTTGACGAAAAAGTTATAAAAATTAAACGAAAGGACATTATAATCTGATGAAAGTGAATTACATAGAGATTTTAATATATTTTAAAAAAATACAGTGTCTGACTACTTGTATTTCGTAAAATAGGGGACTATTATAATTTTGCCTTCTAGTATTGAGAGAAAACTAATTCTTTTTAATTAATTAAAAAAAAGACAAAATCCCAAAGATTCTTTTCAAGTTTTGTTTAATGTATTCAGTTGTTTTTATCCCTTTTTTTCAGAAAAAAAAAAAAATCTATGTTAAATTGATTTATCTAGTCCAACTACTCGATTAATTAGATTTAACCTTTTTTTTTTCTTCTTCTTCTAAAATAATAATAATAATAATAATAATCCCGACGTAAAGAAAAAGAGAAAAAGATTCAAAGAAGAAAAAAAAAGAGTTAGAGCTTCAATTTTTAGTTATTTTTAACAAGAATTGTGACGCTTATCGCCTACACCATCTTTTAATGACTTTAAGAACGTTAAAAGAGAGAGACTATTCAATTCTAAATTTTTCAATTTTATTTTATCTTATTATGATAATATTGGAACAATTAAGGTGATTGAAGATCTTAGTAACTGAGAGTTTGAAGATGACATTAACATAGTTAGTAATATTGCCAAATGTAAGAGAAATACATTTTTTCCGATAGTAAATCAGGCCTTTTTCCGGTGAAACTACTGGCAAACTTTAGTGAGGTAAGGAAAACCGATCTTCAAAACTCTATTAGCCATTGATTGGTAGCTTTATGCCCTTATTCTCTTTCATATGGAAATGAAGAGTAGCTTGAAAGAGGTAATTTTGGGAAAGAAGAGAATTAACTTGTGTCAAACTCTCAGAAATTGAGTAATGAATAAATTGTGAATTGTGAATTAATCTTTATAGGCTCAATTAAAATATTTGTATTGGTGAAGAGATAATTATGGTTAAAAATGGGTCTCGTAACGATATAATTAGCTTTGTGATTATCCAAATCAAATTTGTATATCTAATTATTATTTTTTTTTTATAAAAGTCAAGCACTTAACCGATAAGTTTTCGTTTAAAAATTTTAAAAAAGTTTAGACGCTAAATATAATATCATCTCTTTATAAAATACTTAAGTTTAATTAATTTAATTCTAGTTAAATTAAATTTTAAATAAAGAAGATTGAGTAACAAGTTGATTTAATTTCAAAAATTATAATAAAAAAATTTAGTATTATAAATTATAAATTAGTAAATTCAATGATCTAAACGAATTAAGCCAAAATATTTAAATATAATTTAAGTATAATCAAGTTGAATTTAAACAAAAAAATAATAATGCTGAGTTTGAATATAATTACTCGATTATAGTAATTGATAAGTCTAATAGAATATTTCAATTTTAAATATATTTTATATTTATATCATATTTAAATGCTAACTTATTAAGTAATACTCCAAGCATGTTAAATATTTTTTCAATGGATGAAAAGAAATGTTATATTGTTATTATATAGAGAGTATTTCGGACCGGGTCAAGCTGAAAATATCCGACATCCAAACCCGATAAAACCTCCTTTGTTAATACTTTTTTCTTTCTTTATCGATCTTTCATGCACCTGTAAATAGAAATAGGACCACATGGTCTCGTGATAGTAAAGAATTGTGAAAAGATTTGCTTTGGCAGAAATCAGATTGCATTGGGAATTAATTCAGGTCAGGTATAGTTTATATATCAATTGCTTGCATTTTTTTTTTTTCTTCGCTAAATCGGTGATAATTTTATAGTGGAGAAGACTCAAATTCGAGACATCTCGCTCTTTATATCTTCTACAAAAATAGAAAGACCAATCACATCCCTCTCTCCTTACATTTTTATATTTCTAGTATAGAAATGTTATTATATTTTCTAATGTATTTTATAAAAATTTAATATATGAATGTAAGGAAAAAAGTTGTGTTTGACAGTAACTTTTTAAATAGTTTTTAAAATTTTGATTAGTCAAAACGCTAAATGCTATTTTTTATAATGTTAAGTAATATAACATTTGAACAATCTTTTAGAGGTTAAGGTAGTGTTTTATAAAAAGTTAACTCATGTAACGTTTTATGAAATGCGTATCGTTTTACAGTTAATAGCTAAACGCTATTAAAACAGTTAACAGCTATCAAAATAATTAATTTTACCAAATAGACCCAAAAAGCACCAACACATTTATGATGAAACAATATATGAGTCAAACAATTAAAAATACATATTCTAGTGAGTGACTTCCATCAAATAATTTTTTAAAATGTAGACATCTTGGAACCAAATTTACATGTAAAATGAAAAATTAAGGTATTGAAAATTTAATATTTAAATATTCAAAATGAAATATTTTGAAGGGAAATAACATGTAAGTGTCAAAATTAATAAATCACATAGTTTTTAAAAGTCTAATAATTAATTGAGTTAAACTTGCTTTTAGAAGAATAAACTTATCATTTTAAATAAATTTGAGTTTATTTTAAACATTTAAGTGATATAGAATATAAGCTTAACTGTCGAAAAAACATGGTCCGATTGGTCTTCCACTTACATAGGGAGTGGAGATTCTCAAATTCGAATTTTCTAAATAATAAAAGTTTTTATTAATTTGACAAGTCAAAATAATGTTCTTAATAAATATATATACTTAACCAACAATTTAAAGTAAAAAAAAAGGGATAATAATAAGGTGTTGACTGGAGTGATAAGCAATTTCAATTCCCGTAAAAATGACGAATTCATTCTTACTAACGATGTCGATAAATATTTAGATATTATAATCTTTTTTTTTTTTTGCCTTTTTTTTTTTACTTTTATCTTGTCCAGTGAATTTCCACATTCTTACTAAAGTTTTGCCTCGTATTCCATACTTTTTAACATTGGCTTTATTTTTTAATTTTTATTTTATTTTTGGGGTAAAGAATGAAATATTACTTTGAAGGTCAGTTCCTATCTTTTATATTGTTATACACACTTAACTATTAGTCCAACAACAGACTAGCTTAAATCATCCCATTATGCAATATTTAAAATGTTTACTTCTTTCTTTCTTTCTTTATTCTTTTTTGTGGATTTTTTTTTTTTACACAAATTAGAATTTTTTTCAAATGCATTGCAAATTATATTAAATGCTCGTTTAAAGGTAAAGCAATCTGTTACGATAAATATTAAAAATTAAATGAAAATTAGAAATGAAGAAATCGAATCGGAGATCTAACGGTCTGAAAACATCAGCTTTATAGTGAGGACGAACTATTTTGTAATTTTCATGCGTGGTAGAACTAAAATGCATATAAAGAGTTTTGGGTTAAAGCTTTTTCGTACATTTCATTTAAGTATAATTTTATTCCTAATGTTGAGAAGGAAACAGACATTAAATTTAGAAAAGACAATGTTTCTTTAACATTAAATTTAGATTCGAATAGATTAAAAAAAGCACAAAGCCAGCTAAATTTTCTTTAGGAATCGCACTCTTTCTCTACCTGTCAAAGTTCATTATGATTTATTATTTTCTCACATGGAGCTCTTCACAGCCACAAATTTAACTGCGACTCATGATCCACACTAGCTAGTCTTTTTTTTTAACTAGAATGTTTATTTCTCTTGGACCGTAAAAGTTTTTGGCTCTCTTAGTAAAGTGCGCTTTTTAGATATTAAACTTGTATTCTCACTCTTATGAGAAATGAGGTCGCTTATCACCTTAACCAACACCTCGTTAGTTCTACACTATTCTTTAGTAACACTTTCAAGGTGACTAAATTGTAAGTTTTATGAGTGCAATTATTCATATTTAACTTTGATTTAAATATCGCGGTTACTTCGGTTTTATGGTTTCTGATTGTAAAGCTCTAGTGGAAGAGCCATCTTTGTGTTTTGTGTCTTCTGTGCCTCTTAGTCAGATTGCTCATTGCATGGGCAATGGCGGAGGGAGGGAAGTCAGGGTTGCGCCCGCACTCCTAACCAAAAATTTTTTAAAAGAATTATCTCATAAAAATATTAAAATTTTTTATTTTAGTTTTAAAAATAGTAAATATTTTCAATTTCGCTCTCTTAATTTTAATTTTGGGCTCCGTCACTCTTCCATAATAAGGGTTGCTGTTTCTACGTTTGAAAAAGTTGTATGGAATAATACCCATCATCAGTTATTTGATGTATTACGTTTTGATTCCGCTAATCTAATTGAAAGTCTTGAACTTTTCCTAATCTTCAGCCTATCCATGGTTAATGTCTATAGTCCTTTATTAAGGTTAAATTTTCTGATTCCTTAATATTGTTGAATGGAATATTCTTCAGATAATATGAGTGTTGAATGTTAGTTTTCAATTTGTTAGAAGACAATGTAATGGTCCGGCACTTAGTTTAGCAAAAGGTGGCCTTAATAGTTCCTTTTGTCTCGATTTGTATTCCCAGCTGTGTTGGATGCGGGAATCAGTTTTTCTGTAATGTTTGCTTTCTATTGATGAATATTCTACATCTTCATCAATTATATATATATATAGTACGATGCAATAGTGACTGTAAAAGTGGAAATGGAGGTGAGAGTGAGTGGACGAGAGTACCTAGGGGTGAGCAAGTTGGTTCAAATGAATCCAACCAAGGTGAAAAAAATATAGGGGTTGAAATTGAGCCAAATTGAAGTTGGTATCTGAACCGAACCAACTCAAACCGAACTAATCAATTTGATTAGTTTTGATTGATTTTTGTCATAATCGATTAAATTTTAAATCCAATTGACTAGTTTCTGTAAATTGAGCCAAGCCAATTATGATTTTAATTCCAACTAATTAACTCGACAAAAGCGTACTTCTCTTAAATAAATTGACTGAATCAAAATGGATCGATTCAAGTTTTGATTTGGTTCGGTCAATGGTTTTGTACAATCTAGGAATACCTTAGAGTGAAAAGAATAAAATATTTAAATTTTGAGGTAATTCCGGCGTTGGATTTAGAATATTTTAATTTTTAGACAGTTTGAAGAGCCACAGAAGCATTTGGGCGAGTCTATGGTTGAAAAATGGTCAAGGATATTTTATTATGATAAAAATTAAGTCTAAATCACCAAAAAAAAAAAAAAAAAACAAAAAAAAAAAAAAAAAAAGATTTGCGCAAATTTAAACCAATTACACTTTTAATTTTGCACTTTTAATTTTGTTAATTATTATCTCAAACTTATATTTCTTTGCCAATTGCAATCTTCATTCAGCCTATCAATTTGTTGTTTATTCGACTATTAATTGGCCCCATAACACGCAAGTTCACATTCATATGGCAATTTTTTGTGCATTCATTTTAACTTTTAGAATCTCTAAGTTGGAAAATTAATTATTGAGATAATCTCCTTCTCACACTACAACTAGGTATGGCCATCGGTTCATTTTGAATAGGAATCGAATCGGAATTGAACCGTACTTTAAATGAATTAAAATCGAACCGGAACAGTCAGTTTAAAGTTTTGAACCAAAATCGGTGGTTCAAGGACCGGTTAAGGTTCATGTGAATGTTAAAATCTGAACCTGAACCAGCCTTGAACAGTCGATAAACCGGCGGTTTTGGTCCCGTTCGAACCGAAAATTTTCTATTTTTATTCTCAAAATGATAATCACTTAACCTATTTTATACATCTTTAAAAGTTTCAATAATATTTTACTATATGATATACTTTACTTAAGAATTTTTTTTTTTTATAATACACTTTACTTTAAAAGTTAAAAATCTAAAAAGTAAAACAGTAAAAAAAAAAGAGAAATATTTAGTCTAAACTTATATTGTTTATATTGTTTAACTTTTGTTTACCCTTTTTAAATTGTTAACAAGTTTTAAAAATACATTCTTTTTGAAGCATTTTTTCAAAATTCTTATAATTTGTTTTAATAATAACATTTTAAACAAAATAAAGTGATAATTTATTTAATATTTTTGTAAAATTAATAATTTGTTTAATTAATAACATTTAAACAAAATAAAGTGATAATTTATTTAATTATTTTGTAAAATTAATTAATTTTATTCTTATATGAGTAAGGGCATTCTAAAATTTATTTAAAATAAAATTTACCAATATTTTTAAAATTCATATTAATATTTTCAAAAGAAAGATGTAACGTTGACCTTTTTTTTTTTTTGAAAAAAATATAAATCTCCGGAAACCGTGATCGGTCGTCGATTCATCGAAATCGCACCGGAACCGGAATTGGACCGGAACCGGTGGTTCAATGAACTGGCCATGCCTACCCACAATAAGTTTGAATGAATTTAGTTATGGGCTTTACAATTAACGGACTCTTGATAGACCTTTGGCGAGCAATTCACACCGTCAACAACCCCAAGGTTGTAAGGTCTACCAAGTATGTTTCTTTGCTCTTGGAGTTGCATCACTCATCCACGCCTATCGAACTCCAAACATAGGTCAAAATTGACAATAAAAATAAGTGCATGGTATTAATTGACAATTAAAAATATTGACCAAATTTAAAAAAAGTTCATAAGTTCAAGCTTTTTTGGTGAATAAGCCAAAAATTAAAGTGGTGATTTTTGTGTTACAAATTACTCTCTATTTCCTGATGTTTGGTTGGGTTAAATATACTAGGGAAGTGTAAGTAGACCAGGTGATTTTTGTTGGATTTTGGATTCTTTAGGTTCTTTTGTTTTTGAGCGACAATGGGATGTCCTTCCACAGGTTCGCATGCTATGCTTGTGGTTATGGACATGTCACTAATAGTGTAGTTCTGAGGCTTATTTAGAAAAGCTTAGGTCCAATATAAGATTCGTTGATTTCTTTGAAGGGTTGCTCAGAGGAGAATAACATGTAATGACGAGCGTTTTAGAAGGGTAATTTCATAATGTATTAGTATTGCGCTAGTTGTTCTAACATCATCGGATATACTCTTTATGTCTTTAAGGGACCGGTGTACAAGGGTGTGCAAAACCATCAAATTGAATGGAACCAGAGGTATTTTGGTCCAGTTAACCCTACTCAAAAAAAGTTCGGTTCGTCAAGTTAATCAATTTGGACAGAAATTTACTACCGATCAAGCTCGATTTTATACAAATTAATTGGTTAGGCTTAAAACCGAACCAATCTGGCAAAAATCAATATCAAACCTTCATATTAATGAGGTGTTTTCAAGATAACCAAGTAAATGGTTATATGGTTTTTCTGCATCTGTTGGTAGCTCCATAGCTTTTGAAGCACAATTACCAGTGTATTTCATGGCTTAATTATTGTTGAGAGATGGATGGGTGAATATTGGAGTTGCATACCGATTCTTAATTGATGGTAGATATATTGTCAAAGCAGGGAACAATTTTGTCAAGTTTAGAAAATATATAGCGGTTTTTCTTGCAAATGATATTTTACTAAAGCCTCGAAGTCTTCATGTTGGAGGGTCCATTCCAAGTTCAGGAATTTTTGGATGTTTGATTTAGTTATAACTTTTCAAGTTTTAAAAATTTTTGAATGCCGTAGAGAGTTTAAATCACATTGTATATACATTTATCATGATGTTATGTCTTGGTGTGCTAATTTTAAGTTAAACTTCCTCGTGTGTTTATATATATAGTTTAAATGAAATGTTAAATTGTAATTATGGTTAAGCTAATCATGTGGTATCGATTGGTCGTTTAGCAAATATAGAAAGTGAGGGATCTCGAGTTTCATGAAATTATCATCAATTTAGTGAATGTTATTCAAAAGGAAGAGTTGCTCTCGCTGTGCAGCCCAAATTATTATTCCGATCCTTCGGAACTCTTGTGTATCCAAAAATTGTAATTACGGCTAAAACATATTTAACGACAAAAACGTGATAGGAAATAACTGATGGGAGTTGGGACAGAGGGAGTTCAGGGCCCAAATGAGATTGAGTGGGCCCATAAATGATGATAGTTTGTTGCAGAACAACGTAGGTGTGACGAACCAGTCTGCTTGTTCCATGCCAGGAGATCACAAGGCCCACAACCCAATGAGGATAAGTTGCTCCATCACCCAACACGCGCTCTCAAAGCAACGAGAACCACAACCGCTTATTAATAATACTAAATATTATTAATATTTTTTAGTTATTGAAGATTGATATGTATGTTAATGATGTAATCACTTAATTCAATCATACTTATGTAATTCTAAAAAAAAAAAAAAAAAAAAAAAAATACTTATTGTAATTCTAAAAACAAAAAAAAAAAAAAAAAAAAAAAAATACTTAACTATGTATTTGTAGGCTTGATGGAGAAAATCAACTTATGAGAGGTAACAACATATTTTTATTTTTTTTTTTTAAATAAATGAAAAAATTAATACTTAGTATTAATTAAAAAAAAAAAAAAAAAAAAAAAAATCTAACTTATGTATTTGTAGGCTTGATGGAGTAAATCAACTTATGAGATTTGTTAACACATATTTTTATTTTTTTTTTAAATAAATGAAAAATAATACTTAGTTATTAATTTCATTATATTAATATTTTAATTAAAAAGTAAATTAAATTAAGTATAAAATACTATAATTTTTTGAAGTAATCAATACTGTAAGTTTTGAAATTGAAAATGAAATAATTTTCTATTTTCTAAATATAAAGTTAGACAAATTAATAGATTCATAATTATTTAAATGAGAGAATGAAAATCCAATGAAGGAATGAAAATGCTAATCGAATTGAATGTCATCATTTGCGGATGTTCAATATGGTTAAATTCTGGGGTTCGACTCTTCACTAATTGACCAATTCATTTATTTTTTGTTCTTAGGTATATTAATAATTTTAAAAAAAAACTAGTTAATTTACTTTTAAGAATACTCTAATAAATAATTTAATAATTTACCAAAAAATTGAAGTGAATGCCAGGCACGCGCTCTACGAATGCAGCTCCATGAAACAATCGAATTTAATAATCTTATGGAAGCCTACCTTCCCCCCTTAGACAGAAAATTCAATTCTTTGCGTTCTCTTTTCAATCAGGTCCTTCCCTTACATTCTATTGTATCTTTAACTCTTTCTCATCTCTAATTCCATATATAATAATTCCAAACAAACCTTTATAATACATCTGTTTCGGTTTCTGTTTTTTCTCCTTGATCGATCAGCCTCTGTTTTTCGTTTGTTCAGTTTCTAGTTGCATCAATGGCAGCTCCAAAGGTGGATAGAGAATACTTGAAAGAGATAGAGAAGGTTCGTCGAGACCTTCGCGCTCTCATTTCCAGCAAAAGCTGTGCTCCTCTGATGCTTCGCTTAGCGTGGCATGATGCCGGAACTTATGATGCGAAGAATAAAACAGGAGGACCTAATGGTTCTATCAGAAACGAAATAGAGTACAAGCATGAAGCTAACAAGGGTCTTAAAATCGCCATTGATTTATGTGGTGAGCTTTTCTTTTTTTCTTTTAATTTTTTAATAAGTTTCCTCACACTTTAGTCCTTAATATTTTAAATTAAATTGCAATTTCCTCTTTCAAAATTTAAAATTAACTTCTTTTAATATAAGAAATTTCAAAATTTAAATTAAATTGCAATTTCCTCACTAATATAAGAAAAGATAGCAACTTCAATTCACTATTTCTTTTTTAAATCAATAAAATAATATGCTAATATCAAATTTCATCTCTCAAATTCCATTAATCATCTTTGAAAGTCTTATTATATGAGGACTAGATTTTTAAAAAAAGTTTTTAATTGAGGCAAGCCTTAAAGGGTTCCTTATGTTGTTTATCTTGTGATTTCTGATTTTGGTTTTCATAAATTTTGTTTTAATTTTTTTGAATGTTTTTCTGTTTTTCATTTCATTTCAGAGGAAATCAAGGCCAAAAATCCAAAAATTACATATGCTGACCTTTATCAGGTGATCATATATTCATATTTAGTGAAACACGAAGGTTAAATATTTATTTATTTTCTTGTATGTTTTAGCTTGCTGGAGTTGTTGCAGTTGAGGTCACTGGAGGTCCTACTATTCATTTTGTTCCGGGAAGAAAGGTATTTTAATGGAAGAACTCTGTTCAAATCTTCATTACCTAATAGTTCATGTTTATTAATTTTCTTTCTCTGTTTTCTTTTATCAGGATTCTACTGAATCTCCTGACGAAGGGCGTCTTCCTGATGCAAAAAAAGGTTTCTTTGAGTCTATTTATATTGGTTTTGTTTATTTATTTTAACATGAATTGCGTTATCACTTTAACTGAAAAACATACTATTGTGATTGTAGATGCATCACATCTGAGGGATGTCTTTTATCGTATGGGTTTATCAGACAAGGATATTGTAGCACTCTCTGGCGGTCATACATTGGTAATTTTTTTTAAGAGATTTTAATTACATGTTGCATGGAAGCGGAGATGAGAAAAAACAAAAATGATCGCGAGAAACAACATTTAAAATATAATTTTACATAGAAAAATAATATTTTATAAAAGGAAACGGATACGTAGAAAGTTTCTGAAACATTGCATGTTTGATGACTAAAAGTTTCTATGCATCGTAAATGCTAGTGATTTTAGTTTTTGAATTGTTGACCCCGGCTCAAAATTCAGGGCTGACATGCATTTAAACAAAATTGAACTTAGATAATTTTAATTGGTTTTGTAGGGAAAGGCTCATAAGGAAAGATCAGGATTTGACGGTGCTTGGACAAAGGATCCTCTGAAGTTTGACAACTCATACTTCAAGTAAGAAACCTATTTTTTATATATAATCAAATTGCATAAATACAATGTGGAAGATAAATATGCTTATGTTCTCAATTTGAACTCAAATCAGAGAGCTATTGAAAGGTGATGATTCTGAGGGATTGTTAAAACTCCCCACTGATAAGGCTTTAGTGGAAGATCCTAAGTTCCGCTCCTATGTTGAGCTATATGCAAAGGTAATAAACTAAGATCTTTGTTTGGTGTGAATGAACTTCACCAAATTTTCTAGAATTTGTTTAAAATTTCATATTTTTATGCTTGAGACGAAGGTTTATCTAGCGCACAAACATCCCACATAGTAGATTCTGCTTTTGGTTAAATTTAATTAAAATTGTATCTACACAGCCTTCCCTCTGCTTTTGCAGAAAGACTGTTCCTGTGGCTTGACATGTGCTTGATATATATTATTTTACCATCATACATGAAATATTATGGAGTTCAATAGCTTAACAAAATTCTATCATTTTAGATTGGAAAAATTATATTTTTATTCCTATATTTGGAGATAATTAACTACTTTATTTTTGTAGTTTAAAGATTATAATATTTTATCCTTATAGTTGGATCTGTTAAACGAAATTAATCATTTATCCATTTTTTGAGATTTAAGTGGTTAAGTGTTAGTGAAATTACAGGACTGACCCTATATACATATGAACTAAAAGGGAAAAATTATATTTTTTGTCCCTACATTTTGAGATAATTAACTATTTTGTCTTTACATTTTAAAAATTACACTATTTTATCCCTGTAGTTTGAATGCATTAACAATTTCAATCTAAAATAATAGATGGAAGGGTAATTTCGTTTAGTGGGGACAAACTATAAGTTCACTTATGCGAAAACGTAGGGATAAAATCGTATTTTATCCCTTGTAGATTTTAATTTCACCCATGACTAACAAGGACAAGAATCCTTTTATGCAATACAATCTGCAAACATGGACCAGTACTTATGATGTAAATTGTTGAAAATATGGCAGGATGAGGATGCCTTCTTTGCAGATTATGCGATGTCGCATAAGAAACTATCAGAGCTGGGCTTCAAGCCTCCTTTTAAAGCAACTGCAAAATGCAGTGCACTATTTGCACGGAGTGTCGTTGGAGTAGCTGTAGCTACAGCTGTGGTAATATTTAGTTACTACTATGAAGTTCAAAGAAGAGTTAAGTGAAATTAGTACTTTTGAGTGTTTCAAAAATCACAAAAACAAGTTTTATTTCATTTAGATCCTAATTTGGGATCAGAAATTGCAAAACCCACAATAATTTATCTGTCTCTATCTTGTATGATTTTTAGTTTCTTCAATGTTTGTCAATTAAGTTAGAATATGATTCAAACTCATTATAGTAATTGTCCTTCTACAAGTATGCACTCACAAGCTTTCTGCCGATTAATAGCAACTGCGTGACCAAAGGAAATTGCAAGCCAATTAGGTGTGGTCCGATTGTTACTGTTTGGTAAGTCGAAGAGAGTGCTACCTATTTTGGATAGAGCAAAATGTTATTTCGGCACGTCGGCCTCCTCATAACATAGAAAATGCGTGAAATGAGAGACATTGAATTATTCCCAAATTGCCTTTTTCAAGAGGCTTACAATAAATAGATAGAACAACAATAAACTACTTGCAGCGGCAAAACTCCACTGCATGCAGGAAACTAGGGTGCTCAAGGAGAACAAGTTTATCTCCATCCTAGAATTTATAAAGATAAAAATAAAATTAGTTAAACTAATAAATAACTAATTAATGCTTATTAGCCTAATTTCAGCAAGCTCTTGGGCTCAGAGACAGAGTAATGTCTTGGAAAACCTTTAATCTCTTTTCGATCTTGGGTTGAAGAATCCCTCCATTACTATTGTTGCTAGTTTCATTTGATGGACCTAAAACAGCTGCAAGAATTGCATCCTCAAAATCTTTACTATCTGGCAATAACTCACATAATTTCTCCTCTGTTTCATCTGATAGCCTTCTTGATTTTGTTTCTGGTTTATCAGTCTCCACTAATGGCATATTGGCCAAAACCCCCATTTCATTTCCTCTTTTTGAGTTTGCAGCATTTCCTGATCTTGTTCTTTTGAGACGCTCATTTAATTGACTTCCAATTGGTTCCTTAACCAATTTTGTAGAATAAAATGGAGGTGCATCTACATTTAATGAGTTTCCAAAAGGAGCAAATAACTGTTTGATACTTTTCTTCTGAGGAATAGCAGTTTGATTTGTTATTATATTGGAATCGATATTCTCATCTGCAAAATCATCATGTATTTTTGTTGTATTTGTTGTTGGAAATACTGTATTTTGATCTTTGCAGGGTTGAGGTTGCCAAATTGATGAAGAACCAAGAAAGGCATCGAAAAGCCTACTCTGTTCTACTCTGTCTCCTCCTTTGTTCATCATTTCGGATTCGAGATCTTTTAGCATTTGCTGTGCTCTTTCGTAGGCTTTGAGATGCGAATCTACTCCTCTTGGTCCATCTGCAACTGCTGGTTTCACTCGCCGCAATGTTTCTTTAGCCTCTGTTATTCTCCCCTGTTTCATTAAGCATATACCAAGATTGCACATTTTGTTGTTATCAGGCGCAATTGATAGTGCTCGCCTGTAGGCATCCTCTGCTTCCACATAGTTATTCTGCTGCATTAATGCCCATCCTAAGTTCCCCTGAAACAAGCAATTGACCAAATTTTCAACTTATATTTTTCTTTATAGTTAATGATGGCTGGCAAGTTGAACATTTTTGAACAGAGGGAAAACAGAGAGACGCTAGCATTTCTTACCAGTAATCTAGTTGCTTCTTGTTCTACAGAGACCTGAAATTTCTTGCCTTGAGACCGAGCCGTTTTTGTTCGTTTCCCATTAAAAGCAAGGCCTTGTTGAATCAAATAAAGCTTGTGTTTCAACAATGATATTTGGTCATCTAATCTCCCACATCTCTGTAACACAATTTTGAATCAGAAAGCAAATTTAATGGAAAAAAATTGTTTACATATGGGAATTAATTAGTCAAAAACCTTGTAAAGATCCAAAAGAATATTGTCGAGAGACTCCTGGGCTTGATCTGAACATCGACTTCGCAGTGACTTAATAGCTTCAATAGCTTCCTCTGCCCTATTTTGTTGTTTCATAACAATTGCCATATCTTTTAAAGCACTATCAACTCTATCTCCAGCATTAATGGCTGCCCAAAACAGAGGAATTGCTTTCTCCGGATCTTTATCTACCAACTAATAATAAAAAACCCATCAAGAAAAACACATTAGTTAAACAAGAAATCGAAAAAAACTGCTTAAAATCAACAAGTAATTAGATAATCATAACCTATCGACAAAAAACATAAATAAAACAATAAAAAACAAAATTAGCAACACATTTGAAATTACTCACTTGAACATTTTTAGCTCTAACGTAAGGAGTGTCACCAACAGGTACTTTATGAATGGCATGAAACGACTCAGACCGAGTTCTTGAAACTCCAAGAGGCTTTGCCGGTGAAGTAGGAGCAGATTTGGTGGGTCTAAAACCAGGAGGAGCATTCCACATATCTTGCAACATTTTTGAAAAAAACGGAGAAATACCCTTTTTCCTCTTCCTGTCTTTTCTGCTTCCGTAGGTAGAGAGAGAACAGTAGAGCTTCTATGGGGAGAAGATGAGAGATGGAGAGAAAAGGAGAAGAAGAGGAGACAGAGAAATACGAAGGCAGGTTGCGAGTTTTTTAGAGGCGTACCAGTACAGAAAGAAATTTGAAAAGTTTTCGACCGTTGGGGGTTACCGTTTAACGTAGTAGCCGTTGCGGACTTCTCTAATAATTTATAGATACACTGGATGTATATTAGAGAACATGTATTCGCATTTCAACCCTTCGATTTCAGTAAACTTGTAATTTAAACCCTTTTCTTTTTTTTTTTTTTTTTTTTTTTTTTTGCTTTGCGGACTTCTCTTAATAATTTATAGGGATACACTGGATGTATATAGGAGAACATTGTATTCGCATTTCAACCCTTCCGATTTTCAGTATATAACTTGTAATTTAAACCCTTTCTTTTTTTTTTTTTTTTTTTTTTTTTTTTTTTTTTTTTTTTTTTTTTTTTTTTGAAAATAGCTCATTTCTGTTTCTTTAAATAATTTTTGGAGTTTTGTAGAAAAAATTATTTTTAAAAGCTTATATTGTTTTGTATCTTACATTTTAGTAATAGTTGTCAAATCATGTTTTGTTAATCTGAAATTTTCTAATGTTTATCATGACGCAAATAATAAAAATTAAGAGTTTATATCTTTATAGTCACGATCTTATTTTAGCTTTATTTGAAAAGAAGAAGAAAGAAAATAATGAAAAATTATCGATTTTACCATATTTATTTTCCATCTCTATATTTGGATATAATAAAGAATTTTTTTTTCTTTATTTGAAAATGACAAAATTTTAGAAAAAAGAAAAATCCTATTACTAGAGATTGACCATTATACATTTATTGGAAATTTTGAAATTGATAATTATTAGAAATATGGGGACATTCTAATTTCACAAAAATAATGAAATTTTCACTTTTTTTTAATTAATGTTTCCTTCAAATTGGAGAAATTTTGAATATGTAGACACGGAATGAAAATAAATTAAATTTATTTCATTCATTATTTTCCTCCCCTTTCTTAAACAACATAAAATTCTCCTTTGAAAAAAAAATTCCACCCAAATAAAGGGCTCGGATTGAAGTTTAAAATTAGGTCAAAACTATTAATTAGATCAGTATTGGCTTGTAAGATCTTAAATCTATCCAATTAGAAACTTTATCAAAAAAAAAAAAAAAAAAAAAAAGTGAAAGAGACAATTTTATGATTACAATAAAATGATTACTCATAATAAGTAAAGGAAATTTTTTCTTTTATTTACCCAATAATGAAGAAAAGAAAAAGTAAATGTTAGATCTTTATTCTAATTATCATGTTTCCTAATTAAGTGAAAAAAAAAAAATTAAGTCATGTTTCTAAATTGAAGTGAAAAAAAAAATTAAGTTAAAAATATTGATCCTAATAATATAAGAGTGTAAATGATGCAAAATCCTTTCAATTAAAAACTTTTGATGTGTCAATGGGAAAAATAAATTCAAAGATTGAATGTATGATAGTATAGGAGGACCGTTGAAGTATGCACTGGATGAATATATTTGGAGTAAAGAGTATATAATAAGAAAGGTCAACAACCAAAATAGTAGAGGTTATATTTTGTGTTAAAGGTAAGTACAAATCAATATAAGCGTAATTCATTATAAGTCTAACTATTAAATGCATTTTTTAATTGAATTTGATTAATTGTCCCTGGAGCTTAAATTCTTAATATGGTATTAGAGCTTAAGACTCGAACATGCATGAAGAAAGTTTTCATATGGATCTTATCTAGATGGACCCGTGCTAAGCTATGGTATACTTCTTTAGTGGTTAGGCCACTTGAGGGGGGTGTTAAAATGTGTGGGTAATCTCACATTGATATGTACTATCCGTAAAAACTAACATGGGATTTATTGATTAACAAAATAATTTTAAAAACAGTCACATCAGATTTTTTTTTTCCTCTCCTGCTTTTTCTATAAACGGAGCAATTAGTATATAGAAAAAAAATAATAATTGGATTCTTTAATTTTGACCTGATTAACATTTGAGAATCTCAATTTTGAAAAACCAATTTTGAGGTTTCTAAATTTTAATTTTATCAACAGAAAGGTCCGTCTGTCCGAAATTAATGATTTCTTCGTCAAATGGACGTAAATTCCACAAATGGCCTCCCGGTCCTTCTTTTGGAACTGTCCTTTTGGCTTCTTTGTCCAAAATCTTAATCCTAATCATATGGTTCCGGCTTTCGTAAATGTAACCTTCCATGTCTCGATCCTAGCAACGTCGTCGCGTTTTTTCCTCTGTAAGTCTGTGCGACACTATAATAAGCCTCCACGAGCTCTCCTCATTACATCTCTTACTTCCCCTCTATTGGTTAGGTGGCTTGCAAATCCCACATCGAAAGAAAGGGAAGAGAATAGGGAGTTGTTTGGCTATAAAAGGAGCTTAGCTCCTTAAGTTTTATATTTTCTTCATTTCCAAAACTTGTCTACTTGTCTTTCCAATTCTTTAAGTTGATTAAGACAAGTTTCCTCTCCTCTTTCTTCATTTGTATATTTCTTTAGTAAATATAAAAATTTGGTAGTGTCCGAGGACGTAGGGGCAAAATTGCCGAACCTCGTTAAATTTTGGTATTCTCTTTGTATTATTGCTTTTGTCTTTATTTATTAATTAGTCTATTGTTGGGGCAAAAATATTTTTGGTGTTTATTGTTCTAATTAATACTTTCTAGAGTAAAATTCTGTCTAGGCAAGTGGATTTTAAGTGAGACCATTGTGACCCTCACCTTCTCCACTTACCTGGGAATTTACTTAGTGTAGTTAGTAAGTACAGTAATTCACAAATTGCTTTTGGTGGAAAAAGCCCAATTTCCACAACACCCTCCTATACCCTCAGCTTTTATTGCACTCCAAAATGCTGAGATTGAAAAGCAGATGACGCTGAAATTGAAAAGGAAGGAACGAACTGTTATTTCATGAGAGATGATGAGGCCAAACAACGATGGTAGAGGAGAGAAATATTAGGGAGTGAAGATGAGAATGAGGGAAATGGTGGCGGAGATACGATAACCGAATAACAGAGGAAGAATTTGGCTAGGGACTTATAACACTGTAGAGGAAGCAACTAGAGCCTATGATGCTGCACTTTTTTTGCTTACATGGACCTTCTGCAATTCTCAATTTCCCAATGAATCCACCGGATATTCCTCAGTAACTGATCTTTCACCGTTGCAGATTCGGGAGGTTGCATTGAAGCATGCAAGGAAGTGGCTGGAGATAACAACATCGAAAGAGGCATCTAGGTTGTTGAAGGACTCGTTAGAATTGCATGGAGAAGCATATTTTTTTTACCTGCCATATAGTGTAGAGTAGAAAAGTTCGGAAAGGATTTCCAGTTGTGCTTGCGGCGACAATAATGGCTATTGTATTCAAAGAAGCTAAAAAGACAATTCCAAAAAGAGGATCGAACCAAAAGGGCATTTTCGGAATTCTACATCCATTTGGTGGAAAAAAGCATTGATTTTGGATGGAAAGACCTTTCTGTCGACCGAATCAAAATTTAGACACTTAGAAATTGATTTTTGAAAATTAAGGTCGAATATTAATTAGGTCAAAACTTAGAATCCAATTATTATTTTCCCTTATAGATAATATAAAATAAGGTTTCATCCAGTTCAACATGTCTTCTTAACAAATTGACTTTAATAAATTCTATTCAATTAAGGAAGATATTTTAATTTCAATTATTAGTATACTGATTTCTTTATTTTTTTAATCGATAAAATTAAAATCCTTTAATTGTTTTTAACCAATAAAATTAAAATCATTTAATTTTCGATTGCTAAATTTAGTATGTCTGTTTTTGTCAATCTTATTATTTTCCATTACTTCCACTTTTATATACATTGTAGACTCACTAATACAAATTTTAAATTGTTGTCTTAAATGTATATTAAATAATCAGATTGAGGCTGCCATTTTGTGGTTATAGAAGGCGACTGAAATAAGAATTAGTTGTCTTATTCTGGAATCTAATTCACTGCTCTTGGTTCGGCATTTCTGTCTTACTCTGGAACTCGTCTTATGATTTTGGATTTAATTGCTAGATCTTTTATTGATATTAATCAGATGTGTTCATGTTTATCATAGTATTAATCGGGTAGCTCATGAGCTATCAAAGTTAGTTTTTCCTTATTTGTTAGGAGAAACGTTTGGATAGAGGAGGTGTCTCCTTTTATCGTCAGCTTTGTTCTTGCTGATTATGCTTAAAATACAAAATTAAAGATAAATAATGGAATCAAAATCCTATTTTAAATATTTAAATTTTATTATATATTTATTATTATCAAATTCAATAGTTAATTGTCCACTTTCATTTGAAATTTATAATTTATAAAAACATTTCCTTTCATGAAGCTGAGATTCTATAATTTCCTCTTCATTGAAGTCTTGAGATTCTATAGAGAACGAAAAATGTTATTTGCATTTCTTTTTCTTAATGAGATCTGTTTCTTGTTGTTAGGACAGCTCTTGATTACCTAGTTGTTGGCATCAGCTCTGATACCACTCGTTGTGCGGCCCTTTCAAAACCGATTAAGAGAAAATTACGCACGGCATAAACACAGCGGAAAAATAGAAATATGAACCACAGATATTTACGTTGTTCACCCTCAAACTGTTTAGGGCTACGTCCACAGAAAACTCGAATTAATTCTTCCACTATAAAACATAGAGACATAAAAAAGAGGTAATAAAAAAAATAGTGGCACCACAAGTGTTTCCAAAACACCCCAAAAATAGATCCTCACTATTTTTCTCTTCCAGTTCAGAAACCCATATTCGCTAAACTTATTAACCACTCTCGCTTGCTTACATTTTCTCTTTCTTTCTGGTCCGCTAATTGTGCTTTTGAAGTGTTGCGCCATCTTCCTATTTATAGGAGAAGTGGACGCCGTTAATCACGCGTTTCCACCGAAACTGTTATGCGTTTGCCACCGAATTCCTAACGCGATCCACCGAAAATAAATGTTTTCCTCTTCCTTTTTATTTTTCAAAACCGTGTGGGTCCCACTGAGTGGGCCCACACCATACAACAATCTCCCCTGCACGCTCAAGTTGGGAAAACATAGGCCATTCATCATCCCGTGCAGCCTTAATCTA